TGCCCTATTTACGTGAGAAAAAAAAACAGTTTCTAGTTCCATAAAAAATATTTACATGGATCTCCCTTGGTATATATGCCTCTTCTCTTTCTCGATTTCGGGGCTTAAAATAACGCATTTAATTTTGACTTCTTTCCAATTATTATCGTTGATATTACACTTTTTCCAGGTCATCTTTTGTAAGTTTTATTTCCGACTGGCAAACAAAATGTTTTACTCATAGGCATTACTATCTGTGTGTACGTCCAAGGTTGAGGGGCGTTACCCCCAACACATACATTCCCTGAAGATAGATATCCTTTCTACGTACATACACTTATATTATTTCATGCCTTACCTCCACTGTCAAAGTTTTCTTTTTTTTTTGTTGAGCATGTGTCCTTTTGTTGTTATTCGCATCCTCTCCTTAAACTTTCATACAATTTGAATAGGAGAGACTACCTTGTTTTAACGCACCAGCCTTTCCGTCATACGACCTCCCTAGATCAATAGTTATTTTAAATGTTTGCATAATCAACGTCTTGTCAAGATAACCCTTACGGATTATCAAATAAATACTCCCAATATAGGTTTATACCTGGAATGTCCAAACCAGTGCCGATGCGTAAATCAGCCCTCTAAGAGGGGTGGGCATTGGGAATCTGGAACAACGGGAGGGGGGCAAACCGATCTAAGTCAAAAAGTAAAATGCGAAGTTATCAGCTTGCTGATTAGGGGGTGCGGGAGGAGGTCCAGACGTCTTATTTTTTGTCCTTTTCCCCTCCTCCCTTTCTCTCTCTCTTTCTCTCTCTCTCTCTCTCTCCCTCCATCTCTCTCTTACGCCGTACACTAAAGTAGCGACGACACTGATCAGAAGCATACCCCAGAGAATGATACCCAGTCACTTATGTTAAAACAGAGTTTATGTCCTGGGTAATGTTCTATCTCTCGCTTAGAATTTACTTTTTTTACCACTCGGTGGGGGCGCCGACCCCCCTCCCGCCCCTCCCCCGTGCGCACATGTGCCCTCCTGTACCGTGCCGCTGGTCCAGACCATTATCTAGGAATTAAAGGAGTATATGTGTCGTGCACGTGCATTTGTTTGCTAATTCACTATTATCTAGAAATTAAAGAAGTAGATGTATCGTGCACGTGCATTTGTTTGCTAATTCATACCAGGGAGATGAGACTGTTTGTCTCACCTCCCTGTTCATACCGTGCCGTTTTTTTTTAAACGCTCAACAACCTAATTTGCATGGCCATTATAATTTCATTTCCTCTTCATCACAATTGGAAAATAAATTGTTTTGGAAATTTGTATCGATACAGGCGTACGGTTTCGCTAGGGGAACTGACATCTCTTATTCGAATATATAATCTGCTGTTGAACTTTATATTTTTTGCGAGAGGGCCGTGAAGCAATCAAGCAAACCTGATATAGCTTTATAGTTTTGTAATAAAACTCGATATTTACTGAAAGAGATTTCAAGTTTCCTGCAAACAAATAAACAATAAATTTGTCGTTAATTTTGTTTACCCACAAGGTTTTTTTTCTTTGTGTGTCACATCCCACAACCTGTCCGTTCCACGACGTCCCTTAGTTTGAAAACTGTAGAGTATCCTCGTTATATCATATGGAAATTATTAGGGTGCAGCCTGAATTGAGGCAGCAGGAAGTCGAACCCGGGCCGGCCGGTATCAAGGCCCTATGTGATGATTGTTATCATCACATCAATCAGGATTATATAGTAGGTTAACCTCTTCAGTCAAGTAACTTGGGAATTACAGAGCACACTATCACCAATGTCAATACGAGGGACTGTGGTGGGCTCGTTCTTTTCCTTCCTGAATTTTGTTTTTATTCAAACCCCGGGAATTTTGACCACTCCCTTTATGATTACAGTGCCAAAACAACTGTCTCTTTGCTCTCATTCCGCTAAAAGTTCAATATTTCCTTTAACAAAAATGCGATTACAATTTAAGTCATAGAATTCAATACTTTCCTAAAGGTTATGTCAAACATTGTTTTTTGTGACAAATGTTTTTGACAGGGGATTTTGTACACACTTGAAGCAGATGGAACCCTTTGCATCTCGTTGCTGTTAATTTCTTTGTTTATCAACTTCCCGTTTCGTCTATTTTATTTGTTGTTGTTGTTGCTGTTTTTGCTTGTTTTCTGTTTGTTTGTTTTTGCCATTTTATTTAGGAGGCATCCCCTTCCCCCTCTACCTATGCTCCTGGGAAAAAGGAAATAAGAACACACACGATGATCATGGTGTTTTATTTTCGTATATGTCTTACCAAGTAACTTATTGGTCTTACCTCATGGCTAAGATTTAAAGACTATATGAAATGAGTGACAGAGGCATATAATCACTATTACTCATCCCCGGTCTTAGGATGTACGGCTTTCCTTCTATTCGCTCATCATGCTCACGTGTTACGGTGATAAATACGAGTTGATGTTGAGTGATTGATGAGAATGACGTATGTACCCCACCTCCGCCACTCCTACCTCACACCCCCTTGTTCGTGAGACGCAGTCACAGGCTCTTCAAAGGCACTAATCATTATGAAGCTTTCTGCAAATCAAACAATACGCATGTTTCTTAGACTTTACTTATAATCACGGGTTACTGCGAATTTTCTCGCTATTACTAGATTAGCCTATATCTTTTTTAAAACAAGAAGTAAAATGGATATAGGCCTAGTATTTTTATAGTCCTTTGTTATTACATATATTTCATAAATCTTGTTTATTCATTTGTTTATCAAATGTACAAGTTGTTGTTGCTGCTACTGATTCTTTTGGAGATTTTTCTTACAGTGCATCTCCAACGAAAGCTTATTAGAGTTCGTGCCTCTTTCACTGTTGAGTTCCTGTTTATCATATTAATGTATGAAGCAAGGTTGTTCTGATTTGAAATAACTTGACATATTTGATAAAGACACGTGTCCGTCATGTTCAGTGTTAAGAGAGAGAGGGAGGGAGGGAGGGAGAGACATAGAGGGAGGGAGAGAGAGAGACAGAGAGAGAGAAAGAGATAGAGAGAGAGATGGAGAGGGATAGAGAGAGAGAGAGAGAGAGAAAGAGACAGAGACAGAGATGGAGAGGGATAGAGAGAGAGAGAGAGAGAGAAAGAGACAGAGAGAGAGAGAGAGAGAGATGGAGAGGGAGAGAAAGAGAGAGAGAGAGAGAGAGTTGAATGAGCTGGCCCAAAAATCGTCCAAGGGTAACAATTCTTGTATTATTTCATTGACCTGTAAAACAATTCTTTCCTGCGTTTAAACAATTCTTCTCATTTGTACAAGCTTTCTGGTTTACCATGAATATGTAGGCCAAATTGTATCATTGAACCGAAATGTAATCGTTATTTTTTTCCAACGAGTTTAAAGACACAGATTTTGATTATTGACACAACAAAAACTCAAGGAAACCTTATCAGCATAAATGCTGTTCTTCCTGAGGGCCTGCAATTATTATTACCCCAAGCAGGTACCCATTTACACCTGGGTGGAGATTGGCAACTTTGAATTAATGTCTTGTCAAAGAATGTTAGTGACGGGCTAGGAATGAAACCCTCAACACTTGGATTGAGAGTGAATGAACCTCTATACCACGATACCTCCACAGATTTCGTTGGAGTATATCAGCCCAGCACTATGAATATGACGGACAATGAAAGCGGACAAAATATACAGTTCCTCAGGTAGACAAAGGAACAACCCTTCACAGCTTTTATGTAAAAATGTGTGGAACAGGTGTCACATGCATATTCACCTGTTCTACGCAATTTTACTAATAGCAGTGAAGGGATGTTCCTTTGTCTACCTGAGGAACTGTATATTTTGTCCGCTTTCTTTGTCTGTCATGTTCATAGTGACAATACCATCACGAGACAAACAACTTGTCAATGTTGTCAATGGAGTACTAGGCAGAAACCATCGAATCAGGATGTCAGATCATTTTAACCCCCCAGACTACCGAATTGTCTTATTTTACATGGGTTTAATATAGGACCCACCTGGCTCCAGTAGAAAATGGGTTAACGATTATCTATCACCACCAATGCAGATCACTATCCCGTAACCATTTTCCGGTAATTACAAAACATGCAGAATAAATTATGCAATTTCCTCTGATAAACTGTTTGAAAGAGTAAACTAACTTCCTCGCTCGAGCAAAACCCTGGTATGTTTTGGTCACGTAACTGGAACAGAATGAAACTACTTTTTTTGTTAAACAGTCTTGAAGTATTCAATTTCACTTTCCCACGAAAGTTCGTTCCACTTTTCATAAGTCACAACATCCCCTCCTTTTGAAGTTCTTTCACAAAATACAACCGGTCCTTGAAAGGGGTAGAACTTACGTTTTGCCTCAAATACTTTGATGTGCAACTAATTTTTTTTTTTCTCTGACCTACATATATCGATTCTAGATCTAGTGGATAAATCACCAAAAATACGGGGTTCGAATCCCTCCCGCGGCACTTTGGTTAGACATTAATATACATTTGACTCTCTCCCACTTAGATGAAGTAAATGGGTGCTCGTTAGGAATTAAGCGTCTAATTTTGGTAACTCGGCTAAACCGGGGTATCCAGCACTTTAAATCTCTAGGAAGAAATAAAATACTTTATTATTTTTATCAATATCACTGTTATTATAATTATTTTACGCAAAATCCTGATAATATTATGGCTGCAATACTGGAACCCTACATTTTTTATGTTACAATGTTTTCTCGCGGAAGTTGCAAATAAAAAGAGACCCTCATAATATCGACTACATATTTGGTTAAAGAGAGAAAGGGAGAGGGGGAGAGAGAGAGAGAGAGAGAGAGAGAGAGAGAGAGAGGAGAGAGAGAGACAGAGAGAGAGAGAGAGAGAGAGAGACAGAGAGGGAGAGAGAGAGAGAGAGTATGTCTAAAGAGGGGGGGGGGCAGGGTTGAGGGGCTGGGATAGGTGTGAGATTGCTCCGTCCGTTCTTTTGTCGGAAGTAGACGTGTTCATATCATTCTTTGTGACCGGTCGCGCTCCATAGAGATAGACGCTTTTCTTGTCTGCTCTACTTGAAGGGGGTAAAAGGCATTGCTCGATCGCACGAGACTTTAAAAGTCTCCCAAACTTTCAATCCAGACTTAGTCACGACACGCGATCCTCAACTGGCGGAGCTCTATTGTCTAGATTTCTTTGCAAGTAAAGATTTACTTGCAGTTTTCAAGTCGCACACAATTCCCCATCAAAGTTTCTGGTTGAAGTTGTGAAGTTTCTCAGGATTGCAGTAAAAAAAAAAATTAAAAAAAAGCGGAGTGGATCGTGGATCGGTCAGTTGCCCATATATTGAATCCGTATTTGTTCCAGGACATTTCTGCTGGCTCTGACAAAGGGAGAAGATTTTGCTGAATACTGCAGGATAATTCTGTGAAAATGGATTTCTTCAGGTCTTTTGCAGGACTTGCATCTATTCTTACGGCTTTCATGGGACCAACAAGTAAGTTAAAACATTTTAATATCAAACCATGTCAAAGACGACATATCGATCAATTTGATTCGTGTATAACTTTCATGAACAAAAATGGAATACAAATTAAATCAATCGAATTCTATTGCGTTCCTGGTCGCGTTACTGAAGACTAACTTTTTACAAGAATTGTTGAACTTTTGTACTATTGCTATTGATATTTCTAGCGCAAAGTATAATTCTATTTATTTTTTTATGTTCTCCAAAAATGTGATTAACCCTCCCTTTCAGGAAAAAAAAGATTATTCTAGACACTATATACCTTTCATCAATATAATTTGAAAATGTAATTCTCATTGTCGTATAACAATTGTCCATGAAACATTGTCATTCCAAAGTGGGAAAGTTTACGAAACACTTTGAAGCACTTTGAATAATATTTCGAATCGTTTCAAGGTAGCCTATTTGAGGAAAGAACGAATCTCATGGTCGTTTATCAACTTGAATTCTTTCCTTTGGGTTGATGATTTTTTGGATTTTAAAATCTAAAACCTCTGTTTTTTCTAAAGATATCGTTATCAGGTTTGAATTGCAACACGTTTATAAATAACGCAGTCATTATGTAATCACCCGTGACAAAGTTGCTCTTTATTGTACAGAGAGAGTTGAAGGTTATTTGTTTCAGGGCTCAAACTTTTTCTTCAAACTGATTCATAAACTTTAGGAACTTTGCCCATTCAGTTTCGCAGTAAATTTACAGCAATTTAAATAAAAGTTAGTAAACTTTACGCTAATTATCAGAAAATGAGAATTTCTGCAAGTCAAACACGGTTTCTTTATATTGTGGCGTGTTGTTTTCAGGTTTGGTGCATTAATTGACAAAGTTTTATAGGATCTGCAATGTTCTTAGTCATAGTATTATGCAATTTATATCTAGGGTTTAACTAGTTGCATTTATTTGCCATTTTACGAGTTGTATTTGCACACTTTAGATAAGATGTTAAAAGTACCCATTGTATTGAAATGATGGGATTTAATCTCCACGAATCATGAAACTAATTGTACTATGTAAATGACCCTTTTTCTCATCTGTTTCTGTTTTATTTTTCAAGAGTGCAAACCAAACCATTTGACAGTTTGAATGGTATGGTGTGATGGTGTGACATCGCAATCATAACATAAATTGTCACCGTATTAAATGCCAAAATTGTTGATGATAGCACATTTTACGATCTTCTACAGAAGGAGAATATCAAGTTTAGTTTACAGCTCTGTCTATGAAAGAGGTTCAAATTGTGGCAAAAAGATGCTGGATATTGGGAAAATGGTAATACATTCATAAATATTTTCGGGTGAAAGTATAAAGGTGAAACTTTGAATATTCTGTGCTAAATTGTACCTAATTTAGTTGGGGCTATTTAGACGTCGGGTCTCGTTAGATCTCTAGGGTACAAGTTACAAGAGTAAAGACCTTCCTCATCCCCCCCCCCCCCTAAAACAAAAACAAAAAAGAATCCAGAAGTTTGGCGTGGTGAAAAGGGTGAAAGTGAGGAAAACAAAGAAAACAAGAGGAAAGATATAAAGGAGATGGAGAGGTGACTGGGGAATGAGGAAGAGAGAGACAGAGAGACAGAGAGAGAAATTAAGAGAGAGGGAGAGAGAGAGAAAAAAACCCAGAGATATACGGAGTAACAGAGAGGCGGAGAGACAGTGTAAGAGAGAGAGAGGGAGAGATAGAGAGAGAGAGAGAGAGAGAGAGAGCAACAGAGAGAACAGGAGAGACAGATGGAGAGAGGGAGAGAGAAAGAGGGAAGAGGTTATAATAAAGATCATGAATCCGTTTGGGAGTCTCTGATGGATCTACACAAATGCTTTGAGAAAATCTCAACTGGAAATCGATCAGAGGTGATCCTATAATAGCTAGAGGTCGTGTGCGAAAATAAATTTCTAACAATTCAAGCTCAGACTAGCTGTTGGTCTTAGCCTAAGATCAGAAAGCAGTGTGTTAAGAAGTAATGAGTTTAGTCATCAATTAATTGTATGTATGTATTTTCGCCTATAATTCACTTTTGATTTTGTGTTCTTTAAGTACACAAAACCTAATAAATTTTAGATGTTGATCTATGGTAGACAATAAGCAGAACTATTACCGATTAATTAATTCAATCACCCAACCCCCCACCCCCCCCCCAAAAAAAAAAAAATATATATATAAATATTTATAATAATAATAATAATAATAATAATAATAATAATAATAATAATATATTTTTTTGTTAATGGGACCACATTCTTTCTGTGTGAATACTTGTAGACTAGTGAGTATGATGTTCCAGTTTGATACCAATTATATCTACACCAGTTCACGGGTCAAATTTGTGCAGCCACTTTCACGGAAGTTTTAGTTAAGATGAGAAATTAAATGAATTTATGCAAGATTCAGGTCATGTCTTTATTAATAGGCTGTACACTTGCTTACCTTACTATCATATCAAAGTAGACGAAGGTTAAGGCATCAAGAAAATTGTAAAAGAACAAATGGCCCCCACCCAAGAATACACAATTTTGAATCCTTTCATAGAGTGAGTCTACAACTTCCTAATTGTGAACGAAACAAGGAAAGCACGTTCGCAGCAGTACGTCGGATGCAGAGGAGGTCACTATAATATTATTTGTTCATATTATGTTAATAATCAAATAAAACATAACCGCTGTTTCCTGTCTACCTGACCCCTTCATCCATGCTGTGCTGAAATCCAGATCGGTTTCCCTGACTGTTTACTGTCTGTCTGTCACTCATCTCAGAAAGAGAGCGCTCTGATTTAGTAATACACATCGAGCTTGTGAGAGTGATTTAAGTTCTCAGCTCATTAGCTGCCCCACAATATTCATGATTAATACAATATGCTGAACCTTGGACTATAACTTTCCCGCTGCTGCACATAATTATGGTGGGCGTCAGTTACATGGTTAAAGGTATGGTATAGATTTAACTTCGTCGCGAGATAAAAGGCAATGCATACTAAAGTCTTCCACATAATGCTTGATATTGAGAAGTTTAAACGAAACAGATTTTATCTTTTAGATTATTGAAGACTTATATATGACAGCAACAAGAATAACATGACTAATAATATATAAATGATGAAAAATAAATCATGGTGAGAACCATCATGGTGGTATAGTAGTGAACAAATTGTTTTCTGGATGATAATGACCGTGTTAGCATTATCAACAATTTTATTTCACAGTTTCAGTAACTAAAGAAAATATCAATCACGCAGAGAATTGTTTTTTTTACTTGTTACCTGCATTTCGTTGCCATACATATTTAAGACTGATGTTTATAATACCCCTCTCTCTTCACCACATTCCCTGTCCCCATCTCTGTATTTCTGTCTGTATGTCTGTCTGTCTCTCCCCATTGCTATCTTTCTCGTTCCATCATTCTCTCTCTTCATTCCCCACCCCCCCCCCCTCTCTCTCTCTCTCTCTCTCTCTCTCTCTCTCTCTCTCTCTCTCTCTCTCTCTCTCTCTCTCTTCTTGTCTCTCTCAGTCCTTCTCTCTTTCTATCTACCAACTAGCTAATTTCTTCCTTTACTGGGAAGCGCTCAGATTTATCAAGTTGAAAGTACTTCTTCCTTCATCAAAAAAGACTTGGAACGATACCAAGTTTAGAGGGCGTACACTCTCTCCCCGGTTAACTTGACACTAGGAAATGAACTTGAAAATGATGTGTATAATGGTCACTTGCAGGGCTATTCTATGTAATCATATCAATAATTGAATAGGCAGCTGGAGACAGATGTTATTCAACGATATTGGATCATTGAGAGAAAAAAAACAGGAAACAAAAAGCGCGGAAAAGAATGGAACAGAAACTAGAAGAGGATGTATATACCCCCTCAAAAGTAAGAGACGGATAACGTTACAACATCGATGATGCCAATAGGGCTAGCCAATAGGCCTTACATGTTACTGGGGCACCATAAGAGGACGATATAACAGGGGAGTTTGTAAAGGAGGAACACTTGGGCAAGGGTTCAATAAAAGAATAACGGGGAAAGACAAAAATGAGAGAAAAAGAGGGAAGTTAGAGACGAGGTATAAGGAATACATGCGTCCTCTCTACCCTTCACATCTAGTAAGGCCGGTGACCACCCCCCCCCCCTCCGCCCCACCCCCATTAATACTCTCTCCATGGATGGACCCAAATTACGCAGCTGCTACTATCGTGTTGTATTACATTAAAATTGATTCAATTCAAGTTGATTAGAACTTGACTTTTAGTGACAGTATATTCCGAGTTTAACATCTGGATGAGCGTCTGTCGTTTAAAATATCAAGATTGTAATCACCCAAGAAGTTTGGTAATGGAAGTGGGCTCACAAAGACATACAGGACGACAATCCCTTAATTTGGCAAAGACTTCTGGCAATCTCTGTTTATGGCCTTGTATATATCAAAAGAATAATGGCAGGTATATATATATTTTTTAAATCGTTTGTTGTCTTTTTCGAATTTTAATGTGTATCCAAAAAGCGACAACGAGCAATAAATCCAGCCAATTTAGAGGAAATTCGGCTTAGTTGGCGATTGATCCACTATCTAACAACTGATCTGCAAAATGCCCTTTAAATGGAGACGACACTTCAGGCAGTCCGCCAACGAATATATTCGAAAAGATGGACTAATTTGGGAGGGATTTGGAAACGAAATGTTGAATACTGTGTTTTCCATTACTCCCTAAACGTAAATTCTTATAGTCTAAGGATTTCAAATCTTTTATTTCATTTCAATGCTTATTGTCCATGACGTATGTAAAATCTTCTCGTTTATGTAGAAAGTAAGTAAGGAATATCCATGTTCATAATGAATCAAAAAGACAAGCACATAAAACTACAGTTCTAAATGATATTTGAAACCATATGTAAACAATTATTTGTCGCAAGAGAGAAATACATAATTAAACCCGAACTTTTCATTCAAAAGAATTCTTCATCATTCAATGATTCATGTCAATTAAAGAAAGAAAAGATCTTAATAAAGGATGATTTGAAAGTGATTTGAACAGATTCATGTTAAGATATCACACAGTTGACCTGTATTAGCTGAGCTCACTGTCAACGATGGGAAGAAATTGAAAAAGTGCATTGAAAAGTCCTTCCAGAAGTCATTGTTCTATGGCTCGCCAATTGATGAGTCTGTTTTCATTACATAGTTGTTGTTTTTTTCTTGTTTCAGTTTTACGTACTTGTCGTTAATACCATGCATATCAACATAATGTATAACAATGATTCGGTTCAGTTTAATTCGACATTTACTTTTTTCCAGCAATTTTCTTTTTACATTTTACTCGGCCCCCCCCCCCCCCCCCCCCCCACGAAAAGCCCCTCTAGAACCCCTACAACATAACTCAAGATCATAGTAACATGGGAAATAAGGCATGAATCCCATTAAGAGCTCGCGTTTGGTACGCCTTATATAGTAGTACCTGCATGATTACTAGGAAATCAATTGTTTTCGTGATTCATATGAATCTGTGGATGATATCAGAGAATAGGCTATGACCTTGACTTCAGGGGGCTCCGTAGTTAGAAGAGAAACGTTCATACCCTAGTTCTAGTAACAGCTAACAGATCATAGTTGTGTTTAGCAGATTGAAGGGGTCTGCTGCGGAAGTTGAGCTATGATCTAAATCCGTTACTCAGTATCCAAAATAACGGTTAACAGCTAATCCATCGCCTCCTGTTACTAATGGCCTATTGTCATGTCTCGACAGATTGAGAGCCAGGGGGGGGGGGGTAATCAATGGGGATCGTTTTAAACCATATCAGTGTGTTACTCATTCGCTTAATCAGTCTGTATCCGCTATCGGGGAGAAACATGTTAAAGTGCTATTATTGTGTTATTATGTGTGTAGTTCGATTTAAATAATTCGTTTTATTACACAAAATTAATCTTTTAATGTGTCATACAAGATTATGATACATTACTCGTATACATCCTTATAATTTGAAAGATTACCACAGTTACATTATTGTTTATTCAACTAAATACAAATAATATCAGTGTTGAATCAGTTTCGCATCATCCAATAATGAGAACGGTTTTTAATTTTTATTTTTAGGGGTGTGCACAGCATGGAAATGAAGTGAAGTTTGTTTTAATTGTTAATGCAAATGAAATTGACAAGATGTCCGAAAGATATAAAAATGGAAGGGGAGAGGAAAGGGAAATTAAGACACAGAGTGAGAGAAGTGTGGGATGTAACGCAAACAGAGACAAGCAGACAAAATAGGGGAAAGAGAGAGAGAGAGAGAGGGGAGAGATAGAGAGAAAAGAGAGAGAGAGAGAGAGAGAGAGAGAGAGAGAGAGAGAGAGAGAGAGGTGTACAAATTCTTTTAAATAATATTGCCAATAAAACAAAACCACGACGGTGTTTATTTTGGGACAGGTTTAGGGAAGTCAAGGTGAAGACAGCCATGAATCATCAATGAATTTCATGAAACAATTCCTTACAGGTGGTGGTATTAATCATGACTGAGAACGCCGATCAGGCTGATTAGAATTTCCTGCCACCTATTTATTAAATAATCATCCCATATTTTTATAGTCATCACAGTCAATGTTAAGGCCATGGAATTCATCGACCTTAGTATATTAACTTTTGATTTCAAAGTTTATTACATTTATTACTACTAATAAATTAATATTTCATGATAAAAACGAATTCTATAAAAAATTAAAAAGTATACGTGATATTCTAGATGAGCTATGTGTAGCTTGTAGAGGTGCTGTGGTCTAGTGGCAAGGTCATTCGACTGCAGATCACAAGGTACGGGCCCTCGGGGTTCAAATCCCAGCCCGGTATTAACGTTAGGTCGTTAATCTACATTTGCTACTCTCCACCCAGGTCTTTAGTGGGTACCCGGTAGGATGCGAAAATGAATGTGGTTTGCTCAGCATTGTGTATGTCAGTAAAATGGCACCCGGTTGGAATGCTCCCAAGGGAGTGGAGAATGTGCATATATTGTGTGCGGGTAAGCCTGAATCCGATGACCGGGGTAAAAATATATATCTGCAAAGCGCTATATAAAGGCGGAATATCATTGTTTTAGCTTGGTATTAGAAGCTCGATAACTTTTGAATAACTTTTGCACCGACAAAAAATTATAATAAGACATTTTTCTCGTGACCTTGTACCATACGCGCTACCTCCTAGGTTAAGCCCATTAACTATGTATCAAGACCGCAAATTCTATTTCATTACTAAACTTTTAAGAAATAAATTTGACGAATAGTTGTGACTCTCTTCCACATGCAGCTCCTCCAAGCTCCGAAGTATGTTTCGGCAAAGTTGGTTGCTTCTCAAACATCCTACCCTGCCACTCCTTCGAAATGTCCCGCCCCGAGGACATCAACACCCGATTCTTTCTCTTCACTCGTCTCAACCGTGACAAGGCTCAGGAGATCACGTGGAGAGATGTAATAACCATCGAAGAGTCGCAATTCAATGGGACCCGCCCCACCAAGTTTGTCATCCATGGTTGGATCGAGAATACGCGTAAATCTTCCTTTATTAAGATGAAGAACACCCTTCTAGATAATGTGAGTATCCCGTAAAATGGTTGATCTGGGCCCCTTTTCACAAAACTTGTTATCAGTAACAAATGGCAGTTTCTGTTATACGCTACTGAAATCCTTGCTTCTGATTGGTTATCAGCAGATTTGTCACTGATTTTTGTCATTTGTCATTGAAAAAGGCTTTGTGAAACGGGTCCCTGATGTTTTCCAAATGAACGAAGGGATAACTGTTAGAGACGATAAAGTGTAGAGGTTTAAGAAATGTTTCCGTATATTTATGGAGTAATCACCATCATCACCACCACTGTCATCTTCGTCATCACCATCTTGTTCTTTGTCTTTATCACCACCATCAACATGTCACCATCATCCTCACCATTTATCACCATCACAATCACCATCACCATCACCATCACCATCACCATCAACATCACCATCACCATCACCATCACCATCACCATCACCATCACCATCACCATCACCATCATAATCACCATTATCACCATCACCATCACCATCAACATCACCATCACCATCACCACCACCACCAACATCACCATCAACATCACCATTATCATCAATACCATCCTCCTCTAAATGAAGTTGACCTATCAAAGTACATTATACTGCTTAAACTGGTCCATATTAACCCACCTGGCTACGAGATTCAGGGTTCACAAGGTACTTATTTACCACACTTGGGTGATGAGTGGCAAATGTACATCAATGCCTCACCAATTAAAGGACTCGAACCTACAACCTCGCCATCACCATCCAGTCAAACGTTTAAACCACTCGACTATAACATACCCATGTCACCATGTGTAACGAGCACCGTTCTCCCTGATCATAAAATCTGAAAACTATGTTTATTGGGATTTTCTTTTGTTCAAAACTTACAATTTTTTGCAATCTCTTGTTTTAATTTTGTATAGGAGGACGTCAACGTAATCATGGTTGACTGGCGTGGTGGGTCTTTGGATATCTATGAGAATAGTGTACAGAACATTCGTGTGGTCGGCAGGGAGATTGCCATCTTGGCTCGTAAGCTGGACCGTCTTTTCAATGCACCTCTTTCCAGTATGCATGCCATCGGTCATAGTCTTGGTGCCCACACGGCTGGATATGCAGGGTCGGAGTTGTCAGGTTTTGGACGTATTACTGGTAAGAATCAAATTAAGCCTAGAGATTATGGTAATACTGACATAATTATTGATATTATCATGCAGTAAACAGAAGCATAAAATAATGTTGTCTTGTGGGCATTGAACAGGAACAGCTGAAAACTGGACGATTTGAAGGATCAGTGTTTCAAGATCCTTCACATTGTTACCCCAATAGACCCAAGTTATTAGACATTGGATATAGAAAGACAGATTGACAAATAGAAAACCTAGATAGATATCTGGATAAAGCAATGACCCTGGGTTAAAACTACTTCTATTTGAGGGAAAATCTGTATGATCTGATGACTATATCGAGTACAAAATCGCTATCAAGTATCTAATATTACCCTTTAGCAACTGACTCTGGTCGATTGCACCAATCAAATTATATGGATTGTGTGTGCTTTGATGCCATTTGCTAACATTGCCTTGAAGACTAAACACATGCCCACTGTGGTGTTCCTTATTTCCTATGAAACCACATTTCTAATAGCCCCTTTAAACCGATGTTGCTGGATGTAGCATATAAAGAAAACAAAAAGCGAACACTTGCATCAAGGGCATGCCTCCAGTTCATCCCAAATTTCCTAAATGAATATGTTTTAATTATTGCTAGCTTGTTTGTTACCATCTCTTAAAATGTTATCACCACTACCTTGTCATCCCTGCAGCCATGGATCCAGCTGGTCCTTACTTCCGCGGCCCACAGCTTCATCCAGACTGCAGATTGGACAGAACAGACGCCCTCTTCGTCGATGTCATCCATACTGACGGCACAAACACCTCTTCCTTTATCATGGGGATGAACGGTCTAGGTCTACAAGAACAGGTATCCTATAGGCCTCTTTTGCTTATTTCTCAAGCATAGTGGTGCGTAGCGTCCATGAAGATCCTATACTACTATAACTCCATCTCGTATAGCATGGACATGATTTAGGTGTTCACAAGATTCGAAGAATATCAGGGCAAGGGAAAGAAAAGAAGATAAATTGTTTGTCTGAAGATGTTAGCGACGGACACGGTTTCGAAAACTTGCTTAAATATGAACAGAGAAACCAAAATGGTGAGATAAAGATAACGATGCACGGCGTGTAAAAACTTAAAATGTGATGATTATCTCAAGGAAAGTTGGGAAGATTGAAAATGGAATTTGGAAGAACTAGAATATAATTTAAAGTTTTCACTTTCTAGGGTATCCTTCCAGAGGCTTATGATCCTCGAAAAGAGGACTTTTGAGCTTCTTTTAAAGAGTTCTGCATTAGGCATGACTCTATAAAACTATGTTCTCATTGTCGAATTGGGTTGGGGTGGAATGATCATGATTTCGTTCTGTGAGAAGTACACCTGTATAGCAGGATATAAAAAAAAAACTTAAGATTGTCGCTCCCTTAATTGTTGGTGAAATATGTTGTAAGAATAATTGTACATGACTGTATTCATTTTGCAACACCTTAAAGCCCTCACTGTCCTACTTGTAGCTACTTGCTCCCTCTATATAGAAAACTTCCCCAATCGGTGCCTGTTGGTCCCCCATGATCCTCTTTTTCTTATGTTAGTTGAGAGCTGAGTTGATGAGATAGCCACCTGTCAGTGACCTGGCTGGGTGGTCTAATCCATTCTGGCCCAGTAGTATTGACGGTCTTTAATATCTCTTGTTTACAGATTGGACACCAGGACTTCTACCCTAACGGAGGCAAACACATGCCTGGATGTCTTCCACTAACCCATTGTTCCCATTACCGTGCCGTCTACTACTTCACCCAGAGTATTTCTACCTGTTCCTACCAGGCAACCCACCGTTGTGATTCCTGGGATCTCATTGCGAACGTCAAATCACGCTGTCCAGCCTATCCTGCGCGAAAGAAGGGAAAGATCTCCAAACCTCGCATGGGATATTACGCTGACAGTTCCCACGGTGAGGGCGCGTTCTATCTCAGGACCGGAGGTTCTTTTCCATACTGTTAGATAAGATGCATCTCATCAGAACTCAATGGACTTCCTGTATGGCCGATGTGGTGATGTTGACCAGAATGGAGAAGGACATATCCGAACTTTAAACTGCTGCATAGTGTTAGCATTAGCATCGTACTTTAAGATATTTCAAAATCGTGATGCCAAGTTGTTTGGTTGGTTTCCAAGCTTTGGGGTTGAAATCCAGTCGTTATCTGTGATCAGTCTGTGATGTTGTGTATGCGATTGCGGATATGAATGGAGAAATTCACTAAACTGATGGGCAAAATTCTAAAGTAAACATTAAAGAAATCTCCGTCGGTTGGGGGTGATCATCATAATGTAGGCTTCTAGCAACCTAGATATTTAGTGAACAAGCTTTCATCCATACTTGTGGACTTTCTCAAGCCAAATGATTCTTAACAGTTTCTTGCTGTCTGTCGCCTGAGATTACTAGAGTAAAGATACCGGTAGGTGATATTGAATTACCAGGGTTGCTAAAATCAAAATGACCAATTCTCGAAAAGATCATTTGAAATGAAAAGGCAACCAAATACGAATGTTTTGAACAATTGATATTGTCATAGAAAAAGTGTATACAATGATATAGGATGCTATCATTCAAATGTTGTTGTAAAACCAGGTTTCATTGTTGGCTAAAACGTTGGCACCCTTTGTAGAATCATGAGGTTTACAAGCTTCACCTTTTGTTAAGTTACTCCATCAAATCTTTTACCAATTTAATTCGCAATCTTGTCTACACGTTTGATCACTTTTTCCATTCTTCAATTTTGCTTCAAACCACATCATCGGAACTAAGCCATTGATAATTTCACTTGTAAATTAAACGAATGTATGGTAATATTTTCCACCTAGCTGTTTTAACTGACAGCACTATTATTGATAGCCATGTACTTCAGAGTGTGTAAAGGGTACCCCGTGAGTTGAAATGCGATTAAATGCAATGTTAAGATAAAATACATGATACAGAGTACTGAAGAGGAAATATAGTACGAGATTTATTTCAGGAAATACCCTACAGTATTTCAGTAAGTCATAGAATCAGACACGATCTTTAAACTTGACTCAGGTGTAACTTAATTATCAGAAAACAGGATAATGAGAACACTTTAGACCTAGCATTTTCATTGTTTTTTTAAGATATAGAATAATAGTTTTCTTACAATAAAGGTCCTATCTGACAATGAAAAATACTTCAGAATTTCGCAAAACCATGTTATTGTAATAATCTATTGACGACGTTGCCTTGCTGTAATCATATGATAACAAATGGAGTCAAGTGAAAGAGGCCGTAAACGCCTGGTTTTAAATGATAAATGATAGACACTTTCCGCAAAATTAGTTTACAGATCATAAAAAATATGAGCTGAAGTAGTTATTCTCCCTCAACCAAATGAAAAAAGAAAGAATTGTATGCTAAGTATGTTCAAATGTAGGCCAGTATGTATCATTTTATAGAGTGTAATCTACCTCAATTTGGTACAATTATTTGAAGCACTGCTGCATCGCACAACTTACACTAAGATCCAGAAGAAGATTACATTATGTTGCGGTTCAAACGGTACTGAGAATTCCTTGTTCATATTTAATTAATATATGCATGTACAGATCTTTAATTGCTATATTACTTCAAAATACCCAACATGTTATCGTATTTTCTTATGCTGCATACTTTTAAGGATCTTTTTACCATATGTTGTATTACTAACATGCAAAGTTGTAAATGCTGTACAGTAACAAAACATTAATATCTGGTACATAATCGTTACCTCAATACCCTTATAAGTTGAGAATATATTCAATCAAACTATATATATGCATATTAAAATATCATAACAAGGAAGATCGCTTTTGTATTTTCTCTTTATTTCATATAAACATTTTTTTATCATTTATTATTTTCTATAATTGTATTTCTCCCTCCCCCTCGTCCATGTTTGTCTCCCCCCGCCCCCTCCTCTCTTTCTCTCTCTCTCCCTCTCACTATTATTTCCCCTGCTTTCTTTCTCATTCCTTTTCTCTTTCTACCATTCCTATTCTCCTTCCATGTCTTTCACCCTTCATATATGTGTGTGTACCATTTTCTTTCATTCGCACTCCCTTTTTATAGGTCTAACTCTATTTCTCCTTTGCCACTTTCTAACAATCTCCTCTCTCTTTCTGCAAAAAAAGGGAAGATGTGAAACATAAAAAACATGGAACAAAAACAGCTTTAGAAACATTCATTTACACTTAGTAAGTATACAAAAGGAAATAAGACTCAAATTGCTTCAATCAGCACTCTAGTTTTTTATTGATCATTTTCTTGGGTACAATAATGAGGGACAGAGATCAATAAATAATTGGTTCGAAAAAGGAAAAAGAAAAAAAGAAAACTTGACTGCCACTTCTATTTCATATTTGCCCATTGCAAATAATCATAAGACATTGACCAAAGGGTGATAATGCCTTGTTTGAGAACAATTTCAGTCAGAATAATGCCCAACATCAATGATTAATCAAAACAGAAAAATGAAATGTATGCCAGTTCAAGAGCAGCAACTAATATATTTATTCAATCCAATATGTTACTTGGTAACTTTATCATATTACCACAAAGAACACAAAGTAATAGTCTTTTAATAGATGAATTTATATCTGAATTTGACAAGCCAAGGATTATGTCGAATCATTCCAGTTCCCTACATTTATCAATGATACTTCTATATAAAACAATCAAAATGTATATTTTTCATATTCACATGGACAGATATTGCCTATATATCGCTTTTATCGTGATATGAATAAGAATAATTTGCATTCAAGTGATTCTCTCACAGTAATAAAATTTTATTATATTAATCTCTTTTAAAGAATATTACTGCAAACAATTGGGAGAACTTGAATGGTAGGCAAGAGTACACATTGAATGTAATACATGTACTGAATGCAATTTTGCCAATCAACAATAATCTGCATTCAAATGATTTCTCTCACGGTGATAAACAAAACTTTGATTGCATTTATCTCTTTTAAAGACAAGTACCGCAAGACAGTTGGGAGGACTGTAAGGGTAGGCAAGGGTACACACTGAATGTAATACTGAATACAATTTTCGTCAATTAACAATAGCAATAACAACAATTATATTATTCTGAATTTATACAGAGCCTAATACATCTTATATAGATGTCTCTAAGCACTTTTTATTAACAGTTGCTTTAATCACACACAAAAGACAATGAATCAACAGACAGGTATGTCAACAATGAATGAACCAGAATATTTTTCTTGAATACTTGAGCCTTTGTCTCTAAAAATACTGTATGATCCTCATATTTCTGAGTCAATGTAATGCATGTACTTTATATGTACGTTTAAAGATAAAATCATGTTGGATTACATCACATTCAAATCTCATTTGGAAGTTGATTATTTTTTTCACAATCAACATGTGTTCAATGACACACTACACAAAATAGAAGAACAAGTACCCGTGATTTTAAAAAATTGATCCACTCATTATGGCAAATGACTGGTCAGTAAAAATACAATGCATTGTTGATGTCCAAATATTGACTTTAGCATCAACTTAATTTGAACTCAATTTTTTCAGTCATATAAAATATGAGTTTCGACATTTTGGAAACGTGAAATCTTAAAAGTGGATAAAAAAATCAACGTCTTTTTTGTACAGGGTGAACAAAGGATAAAATTACAGAGAAATAATACAAGTTCACATGAATAAATTAATGAGGCGGTCATCGGGTATAAAATAGTTTACAATGGCTTGACCTAATGAACATAATTACAGCACACATCAAAATTGTTAGTGAAAATATCTGAGAGTAATTCAGGATTGGCATGAATAAGATTTAGAGTGTTGACAGGAATATTTCACTTCCTCAATTTACGATGGCATCTGATGCATACATGATAAATGTTTTTGAAATTGTCTGAGATTTGTTTTCCTTGGATTGAAAAGAAATAAGGCAAACACTGACAGAACATGTAGGGTCGGTACGACAGGGTGGTCAGGGTGGACAGGATTAATTCACTTTTTCAAAGTATGTCTTTGAACCCTCTGGATCTGGCTTGATCTGAATTAAGAAGAAAAAAAAATAAGAACAAGAGAATATCATAAAATCTGCTAAATTGGAAAACAATAGGTACAGATGAACAAATGAATGGGAGGGAGAGAGAGAGAGAGAGAGAGAGATAGAGAACAAGCGAGCGAGGAAGGGATGGGGGCAGACAGAGAAGGGGAGAGAAAGAAAGTGTATCAATAGATCATCAGATCTAATATAGCTTTTGGCCATTGAACTTCTTTACAACATCACAGTAACCAGCAAAACATATAATCTTAATGAGCTCACATTACTAAGTGTTTAAACAAGGAAGGTACAACATCCTGGTACAACAGACTAAAATGATTGTCAATGATATCCTCGAAACCCAAACTTTAGATAAAAAATATCCTGTTTATGAGAGCTTTAATCCTTTAATCATCCCTTCAAAGTCTAGTCAACTCCTACTCTTTTCACACTTGTTTTGCTTAACCCCCCATACTTTGCTAAGCCCTGTACTATCCTTAACCCTGGACTAAGTTTTTTTGTTTTTCTCACTGCAATTCCTTAGCCCCGTACTAGCCATAGCGTGAATATTCATTAATTCGCTCCACTGCGTAGTCCTGGACTATTTTTCGTTTCTGTTCTCATTCACTTGCTTGGCACCGCAATTGCAGAGTTAGCCGGAGTTAGCACCACAATTGCGGGGTTAGCCCTGCAAAATATTTTTTTGCAGGGCCAGCTAACCCCGTACTATAGGTGGGGCTAGCCCACTTTGGTAAATACGAGCCTGAACAGAAAGTGGAATAGGCTTAACCCCGGACTATAGGTGGGGATAAGACCCCCATTTAACCCCACCTATAGTACAGGGTTAAGCAAATTTTTGCCAGTGTGATAAGAAAGTGGAATAAGCTTAACCCTGGACTAAAGGTGGGGCTAACCCCCCCCCCCCCCCCCCCCCATTTAACCCCACCTATAGTACGGGGTTAAGCAAAATATTGCCAGTGTGAAAACAGTATAACTGGATTGCTTTCATGCATTCTTCCTCTTCCCCCTACAGACACACCTCGTTTCACACCTGAAATCAATTCAAGTCAATCACAATTTGATATCAATAGCAACTCTGTACTAAGGGTTGGATTTTATACATTTGCAATCGAAGGCACATGTTGGATCAATCACAAATCTAAATCAATTGTTATACTCTATAAGACAAGAGTGCTCTGGTGTATAGATCTACCAACCCTGTCATAGAAATAATCATTAAATATACTTCCTCTGTAAAACTTGTCAGTTTATACACTCAAAATGTCGGTTCCTAATGTTATTCATATAGCAGCCTAGACAGCGCACTAACAAGCACATAGATGAGTGTATGCACAAGAAAGTTGACTCAGTTAACCTTTCTTCGATGCAATTTCTGTGTCTTGTATAGTTATTATGGATGATGTATGTTTTTTAACAACATGCAATTTTGATTTGTCATTGTCCCCTTTGAGTAATTCAGGTGGTTTAAAGGTAAAGACCAGTTTTGGAAACGCCCTCCTCTCAAAAAATGAAATGGAAGCTCTTATTATCAATCATGTGAAAGAATATGTTTTTGCTAAATATGTGATGATACAAATTTTGCCTAGAAACCACCTACTAATTGATATATTTGGTAAATCATCATATCTATCCGGTCCGGCTAGATACCGCGCACGTGTCACGTATACATCTTTCTGTGTACAGTGCTTGTAACTTTACCAAGACTGGGCCAAATTTCTTATCATTTTGATGATTCCAGAACCTTGCAGTACACACCAATACTTATATGCTAGATGATCAACCTTTTCTGATCGATTCCACAACGTTTCTTTCACAATGCAATCGCATGACCATAACTGGTCTTTACCTTTAAACCCTTTCTTTTCTCTCTACGGGAGATGTGAAGGCCTAGCAGCACCTTAAAATTTTGAGCAGCATGCCATTTGTCAATCAAAACAAATCAATCTCATGGCATGGTTTTGGGGAGCCTTAGATACCAAACATGGGTGAGAATTGAGAAACACCACCTGAAAGTACTACGCACCCTTGGCATGTATCCAGAAGCAACTTTCACTGTAATGCACCTTACATCCTTACACAAGTAGCACAATTGTATTATAAACTACATGTACGTCAAGGAACCCTTCCCACCTAGTTACTATTACATGAAAACAAACATTACCTCAAGGTCCCCACCTCTTATTTGATTTTCTCTTCCAATCAAGTCATTTCCACTTCTGGAGAAATACACAAGACTTGGGATTGTTTGGACAAATGTTTGTGACAATGTGGCAAATCATCACATATTGTGTTGCCCTGGCAACTTAATGAGACTGCCCCATTCAGATTAGTTGCTGATGCAGTGTGAAATAAAGCACATGTAAACTGTTTTCTTTAGTGCAACTGTAACATTACAGTTCAACTTCATACACTTTGTAGATGGACCAGATTATTAGTTCATATTTCTGGCAAAAAATATATGTAGTACTCATTATCAAATAATGCAATTTAGTCAACTGGTAAACAGTAATCAAATCTCAAACAATAATATCAATACAAATTATTACCCTTCCCAAAATCCAATAATACACCCTGTACCTTTGTTATATTTCAGACATAATTTCAACTAGAACAACTATCGGTAGAAAAGTGGTCTCGTAACCCGGTGACCCGGGTTCGAATTTTCTAAACCAAGGTAATGCGCCAGTGCCCTTCATTACCAAATCCCTCGGAGAGGACCTAAAGCCGTCGGCCGTCTGGTTGCTTACTTACAAGCATTTATGCTTTCTTAGCAGTCAGGTAAAATAACCACCACCATTCACATTCTCAAAAGCTCCATATGAATACTTCATCTTTCATGATAGCAAGGAGATTCTGTACATACTGTACATGCCTGATTTGAGCTAGAAGGGGGTGTATACATCTCTAATATAATGGTACTACGGGTCAACACCCTTCTGGCTCTCAACAGGCATTTCATCATGAGAGTTTAAAGGTAAAGACCAGTATTGGAAACACCCCAATTTAAAAAAATGAAATGGAAGCTCTTATTACCAATCATGTGAAAGAATATGTTTTGACTAATACATGATGATACAAATTTTGCAGGGAAACCGCCTACTAATTGATATATTTGGTAAATTAGTTTATCTCTTGGACTGTGAGAAAGAAACGTATGTGTCGCGCACGTGTGCGTAGGCCCATATACATCTTTCTGTGTACAGTGCTTGTAACTTTACAAAGACTGGGCCAAACTTCTTATCATTTTGATGATTCCAGAACCTTGCAGTACACACCAATACTTATATGCTAGATGATCAACCTTTTCTGATCGATTCCATGTTTCTTTCACAATGCAATCGCATGACCATAACTGGTCTTTATCTTTAATGTTCACCATAGGAAGTACTAAGACTCTAGAAACAATGGTATGATTATATGATAACAGGATTCAACTCTGGAGAAATAAGATGACATTAAGGAGTTTAAAGAGAAGACTAAGATCTGAGAATGATGAACAATAATGGATAAGATTTGTATTTTGTTTGATGTCAGTCCTGAAGAATATCGTAGTAAAAAAGTCCCTTGAGAATGATTGCTTTACAGATATGACGAGAGAGAGCCCAAACTTAACCCACCACATATTAGTGTAGTCCCATACATCCATATTTGTGTGCAGCTCTCCAAAATCTTACAATATTCATTAACTCTCATGTACTACATAAACATATTCATCATTTATAAATTTCTTCTAAAGAATTTCTTTCATAATGAAATCCACAAGTATGACCAGTAATAAACTTTATCTTTAGTAGAGCATTATATACATGTTGACATCTCTTTGTTTTCATAACACTAACAGAGGATGGATAGTATGTATCAACTCTAAACAACCGGTTCTCTTTACTCTGGCCCAAGGTTGGTCCAGGCTTCCTTTGACAGGAAGTAGGCACTACAGGATACCATGATATCCATCACGTGCATAAACTACGTGACTTGTATTCTAAGAACCAAGAAATTAAAATGTACAAATCACATGAAAAATAATATGTATCCTATATCACTATAGCTGTTATGAATAAAACCTCACAAATCATAACCCGGCATTCTATGAGTTATTGCTTCAGGAGAGAATGAAAGAATAAAGAATAGAAATAAAAAAATAAAATCCTGCGCAGGGAATCCAATTTCCGACTAGTGGGCAATAATGCAATGCCAGTGTGTTCAGATACATCAACTAGTCTACTTATCAGTTGCTTTTAAGTTGACTGCGAGAGTAGTTAACATTGCATTTATAACTCATGACAGAAGTACTACTGAAACTACATAGCAACATTTGGATCAAGTATCAAGTCTATATCAAATAAACAGGCTGGTATCATATTTTAAAGAAATGAAGACTGAAACACTATCTTAACTCTGAAAGAAATTATTCTATAAAACGGTTGAAATATCCTTATTGTATATGCACCGGATAGTGCAAGTAAGAATTATATAGTCTTACAATGTATACTGTACTTGGTATGTGTGATGTAAAAGCCAACAATAACATAGCCTATAATCTAGGCGGAGTGCCGAGCTTTTTTCTTTGCTGCTAGACTAACCCTAAGCAGAACGTCTGATACGGCGAGACTACGAACCGTGAGTCGCGAAGCGGCTCACCGCCTATAATCACTGGTCTAGCTTTAGTCGTTGTTTTTTTATTATCGACCATGAATCCGTGGCAGTTTTTCGTACGAAAAAACCTCATGAATACGAAATGAACTCAACCAATCAGAAACACGTATGGAGAAGAGTCTATGCATATGCATATTATAAATCACGTGACATTACGTCATTTTCTTCATCCAAGATGGCGGGTAGTTCATGCGACGACGATCTTCTGCGAGAAAGTTTATCATATGCGGCCAACAAACTAGGCATTCCTAATGGAAAATTCAGAGAACTGCAGGAATCCGGTATTCGTAGCGTTATTGAAGCCGGCAGGGATATTTTTGTTGCATTACCTACTGGTTTTGGAAAGAGTGCAATATACCAAGCAATCCCCTTGTGCTGTGATTTTCTACGCGACCACGGATTCTATGATCATGGTTTCTTATATCTGATTGGTCGAACGTAACATAGGTGTACCTTATTTGGTAGGGCTGTTGAATGATTCATAGATCCGCCATTTTGAATATATATGAATATTGATTAGCTAGACCAGTGATTATAGGCGGTGAGCCGCTTCGCGGCTCACGGTTCGTAGTCTCGCCGTATCAGACGTTCTGCTTAAGGTTAGTCTAGCAGCAAAGAAAAAAGCTCGGCACTCCGCCTAGATTATAGGCTAACAATAACACAGATTCTTCCAGGTGGTCCAATGTTAAACTGATTTTCTTATTTAAAAAACAGTTAAGGGGCTGTGCCAAGAGAATGTCACTACCACATTGTTAACTGTCTGGGTGGGTTGTCAAAACTTGGCAAATGGCCAAAATGTAATCAGTAATTCACAAAGCCAGAATGTTTGATGCAAAGCAACCAATCACACATGAGCTTGTCCACTCTACACAAGACTCAACCCCTCCCACAGGGCTCAGGGTCAAGGTCATGTGGTAAGAAAGAGAGACTTGGGAAATGACAATAGAAAAGGAGAGCCAGACAAGCAGACAGAGAGACAAAGGAAGTAAATTGATCTTACAGAGATGTTGTGATAGAGAAAGGGACAGAGACAGAGAGAGAAAACCGTAGACAGAGAGACACACATGGAGAGAGACAGAGAGAGATGGAGTACAAAAAGTTGAGATAGAAAGAGAGATGGAGTAGAAAAAGTTGGAGATAGAGAGAGAGATAGAGTAGAAAAAGTTGAGATAGAAAGAGAGAGAGGGGGGGGGGGGAGAGAGTAGAGACCATTGGAGATAGATAGAGGAGAGAGAGAGAGAGAGAGAGATAGAGATAGAGTAGAAAAAGTTGAGATAGAAAGAGAGAGAGTTGGGGGGGGGGGGGAGAGAGAGTAGAGACCATTGGAGATAGATAGAGGAGAGAGAGAGAGAGAGAGAGAGATAGAGATAGAGTAGAAAAAGTTGAGATAGAAAGAGAGAGAGGGGGGGGGGGAGAGAGTAGAGACCATTGGAGATAGATAGAGGAGAGAGAGAGAGAGAGAGAGAGATAGAGATAGAGTAGAAAAAGTTGAGATAGAAAGAGAGAGAGTGGGGGGGGGGGGGAGAGAGAGTAGAGACCATTGGAGATAGAGAGAGGAGAGAGAGAGAGAGAGAGAGAGAGAGATAGAGTAGAAAAAGTTGAGATAGAAAGAGAGAGAGTGGGGGGGGGGGGAGAGAGAGTAGAGACCATTGGAGGTAGATAGAGGGAGAGAGAGAGAGAGAGAGAGAGATGGAGTAGAGACAGTTGGAGATAGAGATAGCTAGAGAAGGAAAGAGAAAGAGGGAGAGAGAGAGAGAGAGGAGAGAGAGAGAGACAGAGACAGAGACAGAGATGGAGTAATAACAGTTGGAGATAGAAAGGGAGATAGAAAGAGAGATAGAGAGAGAGATAGAAAGAAAGAGAAAAAGAGAGAGAGAGATAAGGAAGCTGAGAGTAAGAGAGAACCAGAGACAGAGAGATGGAGTAGGAACATAGAAAATAGAATAAGAGACAGAGAAAGAGAGGGAAAGAGAGAGAAAGAGAAGAGTAGCAGATCTGCTATCCTTCTCTCTCCATCTATCTATCATTGAAAGAAAGGAATGGAATAGAGAATGAGATGGAACGAAAGAAAGAAAAAGGATGTAGACATACGAGAAAAGGAATCATTGAAGAAGTAGGACACTCTTAGCCAATCAATCAATGTATTTATAGCCTAGCTTATTCACTCCAATTCTGAATGAAGCAAATATTCATCATGTTCAACCCTGATTCTCCATCAACCCCAAAGCTCTTCGATGTCTCCTAACCACCTCCATCAATCAATGCACTTTATCTAAAACCCTTTAAAAACTCTAATTCTGTCTTTTCTATCAGAATATCAAATATAAATCAAAACCAAAAATAGCCAAATTAAAAAGCAGTTAATGCAAAATATTTTAACACCATTTAAAAGCAATGATTTGAATTATTAACTGAAACTGTTACTCTACAAGTTATCTCAGTAGTATAGGGCGTTTTGTTCATGTGGTTGCAGAAGATTTTGATTTCATAGAATTCTTCTGATGGTATTCTTACATCACAGTTGGAGATCAATGTGGTTTTATAAAGTAAACTTTATAAGTTTTGGCCATTAGAGGGAGGTAGACAGTTTGGGTAAAAAGACCACAGGGAGTGTAGTCATGAAAGCTCTTTTAAAAGCACTTGTACAAAAAAAAAAATCATTCAACCACTGACGGACAATCGCCAATATACTAAAAACACAGTATGTTTGTGAAGTAACAGGCTAATCATAATAAGTAAATGGTTTAAGCATTTTGTCTTTACTCCTATAGTGCAAAAACACAAAGGTTCAGTCAGTGTACAGATGTATTTTTAATCATTTCCAACATCTAGAAAATATATGGGTGAATGTTAGTTAATTATCAAGTCAAATCTAAGATATTGCCAAAGAGGGCTTATACATCAATGAAGATTGGTACTTACGGTCTCAGAGTCTGGTGTCCAGCCGGCAGGACAAACCTCTCCGTGCTCAGCAACAAACTGGAAGGCCTTGACCAATCGAAGAGTCTCGTCCACTGAACGTCCAACAGGAAGGTCATTGATGCTCATGTGACGTACCACACCCTCTGGGTCTATCAGGAATAACCCTCTGTGATGGGAGAGAAAGAGAGTCAGATAAACACAGAGAAAGTGAAATGCAAGAGTCACAACAGGAAGACAGACAGATAAATTACAGTGACACTGTAAGAGAGAGAGAGAGAGAGAGAGAGAGAGGAAGGGGTGTATAATCTGTATATGTTTATCCTACCCTACCGGTAATCAAATTTACCCCTGTTCAAACACTATACCGAACAACCCTTACAGGGCAATCCAACTCTCTTAATAAGTTCATTTAATGAAAGCAACAAAAAAAGGATATAAACAGAAAGAGTAAAATTTGCTTAAAGTCAATCATAAGAAAATTATGAATATTTCAAATATGAGATGACTACAGCTATTTGAATCTCAGATTTGCAATTTTGTCAGTGGATTGTGACTTAGTGACAGATACATGTAACTCTACCGTTTGTCGTGTACAAAGAATATCACTTATTTCTCTTTTTCTCTAAGTTGGGACATTACTCAAAACATATTACGGAGAGTATATTATTATAGGTCCTGTAATAAAGAAAAGAAAATATATTTTTGGAAGAAAAAAAAAAATTTGGTTTTCTCTTTGAGACTGTCATGATCATCAACCTTAAATTCTGTAAAACCTTTCCAAGAGCAAGTCCTATGAGCAATCACTTGAACAAAGCATTACCAGCATTACGATGACATAACAGACAGACATAATGGCTAATTGATGTGAGGGCGCTGTTTAGCTGCTGCCTGTCTTTTTTGAACGCTCTGATATGTTTGGACTTATTTTCATTTTTCTTTCAAATACATCGATTTTCATCTGAAACGTTCTGTGTCATCTTTTTTATCTGCTTTCATCGATTCATGTGAGTAACTTTGATTCTGCTTGAAGACCAACTTTCCTAGTTTTAACTGTTTGATTTTTGTGAGTGAACATGTACAAACGTCGGATTCAACGCTCTCCTGCCCCGTGTAGTAGAGATACGTGTACGTTTGGTGACATCCAGTCACGCCATACTTTTCCGTGTGTATGCAAATTAGCGATTCTTCTTGTTCTCGCTACACTGATTTTCCTTGTATTGACTGGCGCTATGTCATGTGACAAAGCTGTTACTGGAACAACCCTGCATAAATTACAATATAGTAAATCCGAACTAATACAGTTGCGTAAAGAAAGTGTTCATGTCTCCAACGAAGTGCATCTGAATGTTTGTAATCTGGGTATACAACGTCGACGCGGACGTCGTGCTGGCAGAAAGATACGACGTCGCATTCAAGTTGTTAATCAATCTCATGAACTTAGTAAACGATTTGCCAATTCTTCGCTTCAATCTAGTACTTTGCAAGTTATTAATACCCATGGCAATGGCCAAAGAGGTTTTCTCCCATCGATCTTACTTGTTAATGCGCGGTCACTTTCAAACAAGTTTGATGATTTTGAAGCAACAATCTCCACGCAACACAAGTCTATACATGTCATAGCCGTGACAGAAACTTGGTTTACAGCCGATAAACCTGCTTCGTGTTACAATTTACATCGTGACCGTATTGCACAAAGAGGTGGAGGGGTGGCCCTCTACATTCGCGATGACATCAATTCTAGGGTAGTATTTGAGGAGCATGTACCAGCTCATCTGGAAGTTTTGTGGGTTAAACTGACTTCGTCAGCCAATGTTCGTTTGAAATCAACCTTATATGTCGGTGTAGTTTATGCACCCCCTCGTTCACCTTACCAAAATGACATCATCGATCACATCATACGGATTAAGGATGTTATTAATTCTACTGACAATGCTGCTATCCTTGTCCTGGGTGACTTCAACGATCTCCGCACAGAAATCATCGAGCAACACACACTTATGACACAACTAGTTAATCAACCTACTCGGGATAATGCAATCTTGGATAAAATCCTTACTAGTATTCCAGAACATTTCTGCGAACCCATTGTTAGCGCCCCAATCTCCAGTGGTGACCATCGAGTTGTTATTGTTCATCCACATGAATTGATTCAGTCCGATAGGTCACCAGATGTCAAGTTTAGACCTTTTCGCGATTCCTCGGTGCGCTCTTTTGGTCAATGGATTACTGTCCACCAGTGGGAAGAATTGTGTAATTTGGACGATCCAGATAATGAAGTCAACGTTTTACTCGACACCCTTATGAGTAAGTACAGACAATGCTTCCCAGAAATTACTGTTAAGCGTAAGAATAGGGACAAACCCTGGCTCAATAATATAATTAGACAATCCATCATAAAACGAGATGCTGCTTACAAACAAGGAAGCATGGATACCTATCGAAAACTTCGAAATAAGGTTCAACGAAACATCAAATATGCGAAGTCGAGTTACTACAGAAATAAGATTGAATGTCTGAAACACTCCGAACCTGGAAAGTGGCATCGCCAGATACGTTCTCTCGTTGGTTTCACCAAACAACCTTTGAAATTTTAAAGTGAAAAATCTCCTCAACAATTAGCTGATGATTTGAATTCATATTTCACTGGTATATGTACGCAGTTACCTCCTTTGAATTTGTCAACTTTACCTGCGTACCTTCCGGCGCCATCATCACCCCCTGTGATCCGGGATAATGAAGTGTATGCTCGTCTCAAGCGTCTCAATGCTTCGAAGGCCGCTCATCCGCATGATATTCCCGTCCGTTTAGTTAAAGAGTTTGCCTTAGAACTTTCCGCGCCCCTTACCAAGATCTTCAACCATTGTCTACGCTCCGGATGCTTTCCCCGAAAATGGAAGAATGCCTCAGTATGTGCAATCCCGAAGGTTCCTCGAGCATCTGAATTTTCTCAACTCCGCCCGATATCCATCACTTCTGTTTTTGCTAGAGTCTTTGAGAGTTTTTTGGCGGACTGGATAATGTCAGATTTGAAATCCCACATAGATCCTTCTCAATTCGGAAATATTAAAGGTAGCTCTGTTAACATTATTTGATAAGTATGTTAGACGTCATCCAAAGTAATCTTGACAAACAGGGATGTCATGTAAACCTTTGCACAGTAGACTTCATGAAGGCTTTTGATCTAGTTAATCACAGAATTGCAATTGAAAAGCTTATTGGAATAGGTGTAGACGCCTCTATCCTACCAACTGTGTGCAGCTTTCTCAGCGATCGCTCTCAAACAGTGAGGTACCAGAGTAAAACCTCAACATCGTTGAACCTCACTTGCGGCGTCCCCCAAGGGACCAAATTGGGTCCGATCATTTTCCTCGTTATGGTGAACGATGCGGCCCTTACTACTGAGGATAGGTGGAAGTATGTGGATGACCTCAGTATGTTGGAAGTTGTTCATAAATCACAAGAAAGTTCCCTACAAACCCACATCGATGCGCTGAGTGAATGGTGCAATGTGAATGATATGAAGCCCAAACCAGAGAAATGCAAAGTCATGCGATTTAGTTTCTTGAGAAATCCTCCACCGAAAGTACCGTTTACCATCAACGGAAGTCGCTTAGAATGGGTCGACTCACAAGTTCTTCTTGGAATCGTGATACAAGCGAATCTTAAATGGGATCGTCAAGTCCAGACCATGGTCTCTCGTGCTGCACGTAGATTGTACATCCTAAGCGTCTTGAAAAAGAATGGTGCTAATGTAGAGGATTTATTGATCATCTATAAGTCCTATATTCGTCCATTGTTGGAGTTTGGATCACCTGTCTGGGGATCAAGTCTCACCAAGGCTCAGGTTGATGAACTTGAGCGGGTTCAAAAACGTGTCCTCCGCTGCATAGCTTTCCCCAATGTTCTCTCGTATAGTAAGCAACTCATCCTGTATGGACTCACTTCCTTGGAACTAAGAAGGAATGAGCTTCTCCTTCGTTTTGGTGAAGGTTTGCTCCAGTCTGATCGTTATCGTAACTTTTTGCCCCCTACCAGACAATCACAGTCCCGTACGCGATTACAACTTCGGAACTCTCAAAGTCTTGACATTCCATTTTGTAGAACGCAGAGATATAGGCTATCAACTATCCCTTCTCTGTCAGTCCTTTTGAATTCCTCATTGTAATGCAGTATATCAACTTATTTATTTATCTATTTATCTTTCTCACTGTTCATAGCTGTGTTACTTTTGTGAGATTTCACGTAATATGCAATGATCTTCAATGATCATCTATAATACAGTTCATTTTAATATGCAAACCTATTTATCATGGATATTCCCTGTTCTTTGATCTTATTCTACACTATCTTCACTACCTTTATTCTTGTCTTCCCTCTCCTCCTCTCTTCTTCTATTCGTATCTGTTTCCTCTCTATTGTTTATAAGATGCATGATTTTTCTTTTCCTTGAATGCCATTAGTTTTGAATTCGTCATTGTAATGCAGCTATATCAACTATTTATTTATCTACTTATCTCTCTCACTGTTTATAGCTGTGGTACTTTGTTGAGATTACACGTAAAAATGCAATGATCTTCAATGATTATCTATAATGCAGTTCACTTTAATTTGCAAATTTATTATCATGGATATTCCCTGTTCTTTGATCTTATTTTTCACTTTTCTATACTCCCTTTTTTCTTGTCTTCCCTCTTCCCCTCTCTTCTTCTTCTTCTATTCGTATCTGTTTCCTCTCTATCGTTTATAAGATGCATGATTTCTCTATTCCTTGAAATGTCAGTAGGGTCATCACAATTTTCTTTTTCCTTTTTTTTGTCTTTCTTTCTTTCTTCTTTCTTCCCCCTTATAAGCAAATAGTTTTACTGTGTATCACTATCCGTTTACATGCAAGTGTATTGCCTTATTGTGTATTCTCAATTCTTTACTTGTATAATTATGCTCTTTAATACGTTGTTGACATATTGCACCTTTCCTCTAATAACTTTGATTTTTATTGTTCTTCAATGTAATATACCCATATTACTTTACCTCGTGCAATATCTTTTTGATAATATTATCCTTGTACTTTTAGGTTGTTACATTTCGTGCTTTATCATGTTACTCATGCTTTGTGTGAAACCCCTTCTCCTTCCTCTTCTCTTAGATCCTCATCTTTTTCTTTTTTCTTTCTCTTTTCTTAACCACTTTCCTCAGCTATTATCACCTTCTCCCTCTTTCTTTCTTTCTTCACACAATACATTTCTAGTTCCGTTTTTCTCTTTCTCTTTCTCTCTCTCTCTCTCTCCCTTGTTTTTTTGATGACACAGAAGGTTTTTTAAGGTTTTTAATGTTTTTAATATTTGTATTATATTTGAATTTTATCGTAATACTTGTAATATATCTCGAGTTTGATGTAATATTCGTAATATATTTAGATTTTGATTTGACCTTGACCTAAGCCTTCCGCACCATCTGGGAGATGTGTGATGGCTTCTGCTTCATGACGTCAAGCCAGATCTTCCTGTCTTGTGATGTTCTGGTCGCTTCTGTGAGGGATCCCAGACATCTAGTAGCACAATCGGCCTTTATACAATCTATCCATTTCTTGGCTGGTCTGCCCCGGGGTCTATCACCATGGATATCAGAAGTTAGGAGTATCTTTGGGTATCGTGACGGTCTCATCCTGTTAACGTGGCCAAAGAATCGTAGCCGTTTTTTTGGCTATTTTGTCCAGAATGGTTTCATCCAGTCCTAGAGTCTTCCGAATTGTTGTATTCCTTATTCTGTCTAGTCTGGTTACCCCCAAGATTTTTCGGAGGCAGATCATTTCGAAGGTAAGGAGCCTGTTCTCGTCTTCTTTTTTCAGTGTCCATGTTTCTGATCCATACATAAGGATGGATAGGATGAGTACCTTATATAGTTGAAGTTTTGTAACATCTCTAATGTCTTTGGCTGTCAATATGCTGTGAAGACTTTGAACAGCACCCAGGGCTTTTCCAATTCTGTTCTTTATGTCCTCTGTGCATTTTCCTGATTGAGTGATGGTACCTCCCAGGTAAACAAACTTTTCCACCTGTAGTAGTTTGGTTCCACCTATGCTGATGTTAATGTCTTGCTGCTGTTTACTGATGACCTGGACCTCTGTCTTGGCAATATTAATTTTGAGGCCAAAGTTTGAGCTCCACTGTTGTACACAATCTACAATGGACTGGAGATCTATTTCGTTGCATGCAAGAAGAACTATGTCGTCTGCGAAGCGGAGGTTGTTGATCAGATGGCCTTGGATGTTTATTCCAATAGGGGTGTCATAGGTGGCATGTAACATAACCATTTCTAGGATGATGTTGAATAGCTGTGGTGATAATACACAGCCCTGGCGTACACACAGCCCTGGCGTACACACAGATTTTGATTTAATGTTTGTAATATATTTAGATTTTGATGTAATATTTGATTCTCATTTTGCATAATTTATAGTCGTACGTTTAAGTCATTCATATTTTGTTCGTTTATTGTGTTGTATATTGACTTTGTAAATTGAATTATTTCAGCTTCCCAGCTGCATGTTCTTTTATTTCAATAAACCGAATCAAATCAAATCAAATTTAGAGGAAGGGACAATGGGCCCATGCTCTGACCTTCTTTTGAAATGAAAGTGGCACTCACTCTCCAAAATATGGCCCCATTTTCAATTGTTTTATTTATCATTTTTCTTTTGCTTCCTTGTCAGCAATATTTGGAATAAAAATGCACGGCAAAACATAACCTTCTTTTGTGATTGTCAGAATTTTTTTTGTAATGTGCCCCCCCCCCCCCCCCCCCTCAAATCAACCCCTGGACATACATACCTCAATGCAACACCGGCATCCTTCAGTAGAACCCCATAATCTTCAGCAATCTGTTTCTTCATATCAGACAGTAGAGGGATCTTCATTGGGCCGAGACCTCCTTGCTACGTTGGGAAGAGAGAAAATTTACAATGGAAATATTAGAAGAATAAGCACAATTCATCAGGAAATGTTTAACATCCCAGAGGATGAACTGAAGAATGTAGGTTTTAAAAAAGACCTCCACTCTCTTCACATTATATACTAGTACATTGTAGACAATTTAGGAAACATATCAATTCCACCTAATATCTATAAAGGAATAATATAAACATAAATAAAATAATTCAGAGATTTCTTCTATGACATGGACATTAACTTGATTGAATTTGGATGCTACTTTTTCATTCGGGCTTCAACATTCTGAGCACTAAGGTGTTGGTGGTTAAAAATGTAAGAACAAGTTTGCATGTTTCACATTCTTAAATCAGAAATATTTAATCCGACAAAATGAAAACAAATTTGTGGGCCACTTTGGTTATTTTTCTTTGAATGAGTAAATCCTTGCCTTTCTAGGTGTGTTGATCCAGGCCAAGTGTGAGAAATGTGAATCGATCGATGCTGCTACCACTTCGGTGTTAATGGCTCCAAATTCATCTGCTCGATCACTGAAGGCAATGATTTCAGTTGGACATACAAAAGTACTGAAGTTTGAAAAGAGAAAGAGAGAGAAAGAAATGTTAAAGACTTGTTATTAGCATACTGGCAACAAAATTCTCAACGAGAACAGCATTTGATGAAGCAAATATACTTGTAGCATGACAAAGTCAGAGTGTATTGTGGAAGGTTATAAACTGATGGTAGCCCATTTGAGCCTTTTCTTGATGTGATGGCGATGTGATGACTTGCCAGATTGGTCAATTGCTTACACTCCTATGCAAGCTGTTTTATCATGCCCTGAACAGACTTTCTTTTGATCTATCATTACAATGTCGAATGATAACATATCATTTGTTATTCCATGTTGTACATTTTAAAAAATATACATATCTTTCTTTTGTCTTTTGCGATATATCTATTGAAACTCCTGAACCAAGGCCTGCACTTGAATACATTCATTTGAAATGAATTTATTTTTGTCATACTTACAAATCTAAAGGGTAGAAGAAGAGAACCAGGTATTTGCCCTTGTAGTCTGAGAGTTTGATCTCTTTGAACTGACCGTCTATCACTGCTGTACCTTCAAAATCAGGGGCTGGCTCCTGAATAGCCACATTCAGCTGGCAACCTAACGAATGATGATGAAGAAGGAGAAGGAGGAGAAGAAGATGAAGTAGGAGAAAGAGAAGAGGAAGAAAATTATGAAAAAGATGATGAAGAAGGAGAAGCATGAGGAGAAGAAAGAGAAGAAATTAAAGAGGAGGAAGAGAAGGGAGTAGGAGGATAAGGGAGGAGGAAAAAAGAGAAAGAGGAGAAGAAGAAAAGGATGAGGAAGTGGAAATGAAGGGATGAGAAGAGAAGAAGAAAAAAGGAGCAGAAGAAAGACAAAGATTGAGGAGGCAAAGGAGCAGGAGTGAACAATATGGAGTAGAAAGGAAAGGAAGAGGGGGAAATGTAGAGAAGGCGAAAAGGAGAAGTGAAGAAAATAAATAAAAAAAGAAACAGAAAAGAAAGGAGAGAAAGAAGAGAAAGAAGAAAAAGAAGGAAAAAGAACAATCATTAAGATTAAATCTTGATATGCCAGAAAGATTAGCTTTATTCAAAACTTAGTTTAACACATCGTGCAAATCATTTTTAAAGACATCAGATTTAAAGCGGTTTATAAAATTTTAAAAACTATTCTAGACCAGACATCGTTTTCTTAATCAAGTAATGGAAAATTCTATGAAATCTTTAGGAAGATAAATTTGAACCTTCTTTCCTTCTCTTTTATTGTTTTAACGTGACCACCCTCATCCGATCCGCCCTCTCCATGATCATGACCCCCCCCCCTCCTTTTTTTTTTTTTAATTTTGTCTCTCTCTATCTCTTTCTACTTATTTTTTCTTCTCTACTGTCTCTCTCTGGACTAGTATTGTTATTACATTTTTGGTATATGCCTGCTAGCTTCGACCATACGTCTTACTTGTGGATAATTGTCTTTGGTTGCAGGACCATGCCCGTGGTCCAAGTTCAGCAGCAGCAGCATAGGGCGGCAACAGTTGCGACGCCAGTGGTTTCGGCACAGTTGCACGACAGCATACCGTTGAAAAAGACCCAGAGCAAAATCGGGTAGCTCTGGCACCGGTTACCTATATAAATGAGAAAAAAGAATGGAACTTAGACTCATAAATATTTGTCAGCAATATATAGACTACTGCCATTTTTAAACATTGAATAATGTTAAATCGGCCTTACCCCGAGGCGACAAATTTGGTGAAAGAGTGACATCTTCGATTTTTTTTTCCTTGGTGTTTTCTAGTAAATTCGGCTTGATGTGATTATCGCCTAATACAAAATTCGCCCAACCATAATGTTCGGCTAATATATTATATATAGCGACGGGGTATCTCGACGGGGTGTCCGTATGACAATCAAGGCTCTATTTCGTTGATCTTAGATATTATACAAAAGCTTCTGTGATCATTGCATGGCCATGGGCTCGAAACTATAACAAAAAGTCAAACACATGAAAATGCGCTCATGACTTGAAACTATAAAAGTCATGAATCTGAGTCGTAGTAACGATGCAATGATCTAGCCTGAGCATGCAGACGTATATTAATTCAGCTTTGATTATTTTTCATATCAATGAATTAAAGTTCTGCTACGACCAAAGGTTGAGTTAAGCTCAGGCGCGTACGCAGGGGAGTCCCCCTTCAATTTTTGTTTATGTATGTGTTTTGGAGGAAACCCACCCCCACGATTTCTTTTTAAATAAAAGATAAATAATTTTTTTAAAAATTAAAAAAATTGTGCCCAAGGTTGACCAAATCAAGGTGACCTTACCCCTCCCTCCCAAACTAAACAAAATATCGGTCAAAAATGTGCTCTTACCCCCCCCCCCCCCCTTATTCAGCGGTGGGCTGATTCGTTGCAAAATTTTTGGCACCTTTAACTTTTAACTTTTTTTTTTCTTCGTTGGGGGGGGGGGGGTAAGGTCACCTTTTTTAGGTCAGCCATGGTCATAATTTTTTTTTTTTTTTTTTTTTTTTTATAATTAAAACAACAAAAAAACACAAAAAGGGGGGGTTTAACCCCCTAAACCCCCCCCCCCCTGTGTACGCGTCTGAGTCCCGGGGTCTCGGGGTCCCGGGGGGGGGGGGGGGTACTCAGATTATAGTCGGGCGGGGGTGTGCGGCTGAGACCTCCGAACCCAAACCCACATCTAAGAGTCCTTTTGCTGTAAATAGGTACCCTTGTCAAAGGATTTCAAACTTTAAATTTTTTTTTTTTTTTTTTTTTTTTTTTTTTACAATGGCCATTCATTTTGCAGTTTCTAGATAAAATTCTTAATAGTAAACTGTACCATACTACATGTAGTTTACACACATAAAGATGAAAACACCATGCAACACAACTGTGCTAGCACCTCTAGCATCTGTTTTAATTGAAAAAAGAGGGGAAAGGAATAAATGAAAAAAGGGACCCATGTCTAAGAGGTTTTTTTTTAATGGGACCCATGTCTAAGGATTTTTTTTTAATGAAAAGGGGACCCATGTCTAAGGATCTTTCTTGAAAAAGTCACCCTTCCGGGCGGCACATCCCCGTATACCCAATATACGTGAGAACCCCCCCCCCCCCCCCGGCCCCTCCCCGGGGGGGGGGGGGGTTAATAGTGATCCCTTTTTCCTTCTGAAGATTGATGATATTTGTTTTTTGAAAACGTATGAGTGTTAATTGGCTGTATTTCCAGTTAACTTGAGTGAGCGATAACACTTTCTCTCACTAATCTTGATTGCACTATTCCTTATTTGACATTCTTTACCCACTGTCTATAACTGATGCCATGGGTACTATATTCGAAACATTATAGCTTACCGGTAAGTCCAGCGGCGGATCCCCCCTCAAGAATATGGACCTGCCACTGAATAAAATATAAGAAATCAATTATTACAAAAAACAATTAGGCTTAGGGTTCTACATAATTATTTTTAAGGGGAAATTCCAATAACCCCTTCTCGTTTGGTTCCTGATGGAACGACCGAGCTGCGTTTATTGCTTGAAAGTACTTTGGCCGAATTGAATAAATTATGGTATCGCCAAGAACCGAACTGGTCCGAACTTTCATTTTATTCCGCTCCTCCTCCTGTTTCAGCAATTCTTAGACTCTGTTTTGGTGGGTTTTCTTCGTTTGCAGGGAGATCAACAAGATGGAATACATGCCAGGGACAGCTAGTTTGATCGACGAAATCAATAGTAAATTATAAAACTGCTTTTTATTTGTAGAGGTTGTCTAGGAGTGTAGTGTAATTAATGTTGTCCCACATGCTGAATTCTGTGTGATACTAGTCTGCATAGTCATTTGGGCGCTTGTTCAGAAACCTATCCAAAATTTGACCCGTAACTCCTGCGTGGAGATACCCTACTAAAACATATTCAAAATGAAGTAAATAATCATTAAATGTCCAAATAAAGATCATGAGTTAAAATTCGTTATTAGAGCCGAGTCAAAAGTCGTTATTATTAGGCCTCGGTCAAAAGTTTAACCGATGGTAAACGACCGCATTCATCAAAACTGGTTAGCATTTCTCGCTCTGTTTAACCGTTATTTTCGTGCAGTTTGTTACATGTGTTTTGTTTTTGTTTTTGAGACTTCATTGCCAATACGGAACTCCTAAATTAATAATTATTGACGAGACTTCATTGCCGATACAGACAACGAAGTCTTGCCAATATTGTTTTTAGATCTCCGTAGGGGCAACAAAACTTTGCCGATAATTATTGCTTTTAGATCTCCGTAGGGGCAACAAAACCTTGCCGATAATTATTGCTTTTCGATCTCCATAGGTGCAACAAAACCTTGCTGATAATTGTTGTTTTTAGATCTCAGTAGGGGCAACAAAGTCTTGCCAACAAATATTGTTTTTAGATCTCCATAGGAGCAACAAAACCTTGCCGATAATTATTGTTTTTAGATCTCTGTAGTGGCAACAAAACCTTGTGGATAATTATTGTTTTTAGATCTCCGTAGGGGCAACAAAGTCTTCCCGATAAATATTGAATTAATGATTAATTACACTTTCTGATTTCATTTTTTCGGGTTCATTTCCACTTCAGTCTGTCACCTGTCTGTTTGAATTATGGTGTGAGTTTGCATGAAAGGTTCTTTCTTATTGTGCAAGGATATGTATTTTTTGGAACTTCATTCGATGTTGTTAACCATGTTAACAGTAACATGCTCGTTTAACAGACTAATTCAGTGTTGGCAGTTTCCCCAAGGAGAGAATGAGAGAGATAGGGGGAGGAGGGTCTATATTTCAATCTGTAGACTACTCGAAAGTGAGGTCCTAAAGAACCAAGCTGACATGCTTTTATTTTGGTCTACCATAATTAAACACTTTGTACAGACTACAGGACTCAAGTTCAGGTAAATATGAACTTAACTTTTTATTTAAATTAAATATAGAAATTTAAGTAGGCCTATATTGAAACTTCTTTATTAAAATTCCTTTAGATCACACTTTTAACTCATTCTTGCTTCATTTGATTAAGAAAGGGATGAAAATTACTACACTTTCAACTAGATATAAATATTGAAATTATTGTTTTCATTCTAGAAAAGTTGCTGGTTGTACTAAGAGATGGAAGGACCCTGATAGGTATTCTCCGGAGTATTGATCAGTTTGGTAAGTAAAAGTCAACCCTATCTAACTTATTTATTTTTTCTTTTTCTTCTTCTTCTTCTTCTTCTTCTTCTTCTTCTTCTCCTTCTTCGTCATGAAAAGTAAAGAGATTTCCAGCAACGTTAGTACCATTTTGCTATCTCAAGTGCCTTAAGATTATTTATAAATGGTTAAAGAAATATCGTAACAGCAGGCTGGGACTCAGTAGTGGACTCTTTAAATTTGATTTAAATTTGCCTTAAAGGCCCACTGTATTATTTTTAGCTACTTGCTCCCTCCATATAGAAAACAATGCCTAATCAGTAACCATTGGTCCCCCATGATCCTCTTTTTCTTATATTAATTGAGAGCTGAGTTGATGAGATAGCCACCTGTCAGTGACCTTCCTGGGTGGTCTAATCCCTCTTAGCCAAACTAGTACAGATGGGCCTTTAAATGTATTTTATCTCTCTTTATCTTGACAGCAAATCTTGTACTGCACCGCACCATTGAGAGGATACACGTAGGCAGACAGTATGGAGACATACCAAGGGGTGTGTTTGTCGTCAGAGGAGAGAACGTTGTCCTCCTTGGTGAAATAGTGAGTCTTCTCTTGTCTGTATTGATCTCTGAATTAATCTTCATTGTGGAATAATAGCTTTCAAGAATGTCCCAAGAATTAATGTTTTGTAGTTGTTGTTGTTTTTGTGTTGATTTTTTTTTCTTTTTTTCGGGGGGGGGGGGGGGTGTTTGTCCAACATGTATAGTTTTCTTGTGTATGTATATTTTGGGACCTTTTATTCAAATTTATTGTTAGTCATGGTCATAGATTTGAGGGAAATGTGTTCTGTTTTGCATCTAGTTATAGTTGGTCCAAGATCAAATCAGTAAACTTCAATTAGTTTTGAAAGCTCTGAGAGGATGACATAGATGGAAGCTATCTGTTCTTTCTAAGACATCTCCTCCTTGGGAATTTCCAATTTTTTTGATTTATCAATATATGCAAGTTTGAATACAACATTTCTTGTGAGATACAGTGTGTATATATCTTTTATCCTTATTTTAAGAAAAGTCTACCTGCATTTTGTCTTTAAAAAGAATCTGTGCTATTTGACATGATTTCTTTGTGGTTCTTCTTGATTTTAGGATACAGAGAATGAGAGTACTCATAGCTTGGAGGAGGTTTCTATTGATGAGATTCTTGAAGCACAGAGAGATGAACAGCTCAAGAACCAGGAGGAAGAGAAGACAAGGAATAAGAAGCTCTTAGAGAGAGGACTCCAGCCCCACGGTGAACAAGGCATTGATGAGTTCCCATGAATCTATTGCAACAGATATCAGAGAACTTTTTGAGACTATTTTAGTTTTTAACTTTGAGAGCAAGAAGACTGAAGCAAGGAACATGTTGATCTTGAGTCTCCTGTTCTATCTTACACACAATTGGAAAAGGAGTTCAAGCTATCACAGTGGTGATCTGAAGGAGACTTCTTTTACAAGTTCACCTCAATGCATCTGTTTATTTTAATGACTTGGTGGTGTAGACTGCTGTATGGAAATCCTGAAAAGGGCCAGACAGTTAGAAACTGAATACAAATGGAGTACTGTATTATAATCATGGAAAAGCAATGGGAACACAATGTAGCAAGTGAGTATAGCAAGTGAAACTAGCAATTTATTATGCTACACTTGTTAGATCAATGCAGGAATGTTGACAGATGGACATGGAGTTTTCATCAGCATGGACAGGAACATTACATGAAGGAGATTGCAGTATATACCATATTTCTTTGGTGGAGCACATGTTCTAGCCCTATTAAGGATATTTCTTTTTAAGTGAACGAGACAAAATTCTCAATTAAAATGAGACCACCTGTTTTCAATTCTGGCTAGTCAGGAAAATGGATAAATTTTGTGGATGTATTTTGTTCCAGAAGCACTGGTTCTAAAATAGATATGTTGTTGTTTTTTATTGAGGAAAATAAAAAAATATATGAGAAAATGTAATTTCTTCCTTAATTCCTAAATTGAAATTGGAGGCTTAAACAAATGGATATTAAATAGGAATGGTTGGCTTCGGAACAAGTTCTTAAGTATCCAAAGTAGATGTCATTTCTGTTCATAAATGTTACAGTTACCCATCTATCTTCATTTATGTAGGTGTATATGGTACTTACACTTGTTTTACAGCAAATATGTTGTCAATGTATCAAATTTCAGTTTGCTTTGAAGATGCCTAATAGTAATATCATGGTGAAACAAATTGTGCCCACAATTACCCCACCCTCCCCCTACTTTGAAATGATTTTGTAATTTTGTTTGGTCAATACACATTAAAAACATTCTGAAAAAAAGATGATTAATTTGCTGCTCACAGTAAAAATCTTTGTGGATATTTATGAGAGTGAAAAAAGGACAGGAGAGCAGAGAGTAATTGGCACTTTGAATTTGTTTGTGTTGTTTTTATTTTGGTTACACAAATTTCACTTTCATATTGTTTGAAAAATTGAAATTAAAAGATACATTGGATCAGATACAAGGCTACAAGTTGGCAACAGCATGACATTCCCATTGCTTTCTGAGTTGTTCAAATGTACATTTGATCATGAAAAGGAATACTAGGATGAACATACATGTACATGTACGTTGCAGAAAAGAATCACCCATGTTAAAACTTAAAAACAGCATCATTGTGTCATATTCAAATTAGATAATTAATATTTTGATGGCTTTATTGTATATTTATAAAATAGGAGAATGACATCCCAATACAATGACACGTTCCAAGAAAGAATCATTCTAAATGGTATTACATTATGGATGTCATTGATAACATCAGTTACACTGGGTGATATGATGAAAGTAATTTAAGATTGAAGGTTGTTTTTTTTCTTTTCTATCTTGAAAAATTCTTGATGCTTATTCCCACTCCATGATGTAAATTCCCAGTATAATATCTCTTTCTCTCTTTCTCTCTCTCTCTATTTTTCTCTCTTTCTCTTTCTATATATATATATATATATATATATATATATATATATATATATATATATATATCTTATACACAAATATATATTTTAGTATTAATCTTATCAATCTTAGTAATCTTTTCTTCTGCTAATTCCATTTTTTAAAATCAGAATATCAAAGCTGACAAAGAAAAGAAAGTACTCAAACAAAAAAACTCGCAATCTTCTTTTGGATTTGTTGTACATCATCCTTGTGATAATAGTCTGTTCTTTTTAATGCATTGAACTTACCCACAGAGTAATTAACACTTGCATTTCCTTGTATATTACCCCCTGACCCCCCCCCCCAGAAAAAACAAAAAACAACAACAACAACAAGTTGTAGGTAAACAGTAACCGAGTAGATAGAGAGAGAAAGAGAGGGGGAGGGTGGGGTAAGGATTATATAACCCCAAAGTGATAATGTGGACAATTGAGGGACATTGGAGAGAAAGAGACAGAAATATGCAGACGGGGAGAGGCACACAGACGGACAGAGAGACGGGAAGACAAAGGGAGAGTGATATAAATACAGATGAAGGGGTATTGAGAGATATGAACAAACTTCAGAAACATTGTAGAGAGGGAGAAAGAAAGAGAGATGGGGTGGACAAATTGAGACGAAGATAGAGGTAGTGATAAAAGGTAGAAGTGAAAAGATAAAGACAGGCAAGAGAGAGAGAGGATGTGCGTGTGACATATTTAAATACACAGATGGCAATCTTCAGATCAGTCAAGTTTGTTCTATTGCAAATTTATTGATGCACAGATATCAAAAAGATAAAAATCTGCATTTGTCACATATACATGTAGAACATCTATGTCAAAGTTGCGGAAAACAAGTTTACATGTTCACAATTTACATTTTAATTTTTTGTACAATAAAAAACAATTTTAAGGTTTGAGAATAGTGCTGAAAGACGGTCGCTTCATCTAAAACATTGCCAGTAGATAAAAAAAAAATACACGATTCTGCATTTATAGTGTATGCTTACTGTAAATATCGTCTGAAATTAATACTATTAAACACAATGCTTCGGAACATTATCTCACAGGTTTACAAGATGATTCGAGGTGCTTTTGGTTGATCTTTACATCCACTACAATATTACCCACATAACACGATCGCAACTGCTTCGAAAAATCAACCTAAGGCCAAATAAAAAAAAAAAACATGTTTAATTAGCGTCCTGTTTTTTCGAAAACTGGGGCCCTTTTTTTCTTCTTTTTTTTTCTTTCAAAATGGCCGCTCAAAATGGCCGCTCGGTACATTTTCCCTGACAGTCGGGCTATTTTTCAAGATGTCCGCCGCCTTTTTTCTTTTTTTTTAAAGTCAGAAATAGATCCATTTTAGCAATGTTTTTCATGTGTTTCTTTTTCTTTAAAAAAAAAAATCAACAAATTTTTTTTTTTAAATTTCAACAAATTTTTTTTTTTTTAAATGGAGGCGGCCCCCCAAAAAGAAGCGGGCGGGGTGCGAAATTTTTTTTCCGTACTCGAGAGGGCAAATTCCCCATGTGCGCATGCGCGTGGACTTGTGATTTCTCTGCTACTTCCCATACGAAATGTACATGTATTCGCATGTACTGTGCACGATTCGCGTTCTACGAGTAAACGATGGCATAGTAGTCTTCAAACACAGACTCTGATTTGCCAGTTTGACAAAACAATTACGCATATATCGTGCGTAGCAATAGTACTAGTATTCAAGTCTGAGTAGTTGTATGATTCAGACATTTTAGTGCTTACAGAAATGCATCCCAAATTGAATAGCATGGTATAGTAGTCTGCAAGCACAGACGCTAATCGGACAATTTGACAACATAGTGTCTTGAGTAGTGCTTTATATTCAAATATGTGTAGTTTTATGATTCAGACCCTACTGGTGCGTGTATTGGAAAGGCATCTCAACTTGCAGAGTGGCATAGTAGTCTGCAAGCACAGACGCTAATCTGACAGTTTGACAAAATAGTGTTATTCAAGTCTGAGTAGTTTTATGATTCAGACCCTACTGGTGCGTGTATTGGAAATGCACCTCAACTTATAGAGTGGCATGTTCAGAGCCAGAAGGGCATTCGTTGTGTTAAGAGTTAACATCCTTCTGGCTCTCAGCAGACCATGATTATAAATAAAAGTAATACAGAGAGTGCGAGCATACTGGAGGGAGGGCTAGAGAGAGAGAGAGAGAGAGAAAGAGAGAGAGATATGGAGAGAGAGAGAGAGAGAGAGAAAGAGTGTGAGAGAGCAGTGGCACAATACATACGCCAACTACACAAACTTGCATAAAATCACTACTCATCAATACACAATATATTATTATGTCCTTGCAGACTACTATACTACACTCTACACATTGAGATGCATTTCTAACGCACGCACCAGTAGGGTCTGAATCATACTTCTACGCAGACTTGAATAAAGTACTTCTCAGCACACTACTAGTATGTTGTCAAACTGTCAGATTAGCGTCTGTGCTTGCAGACTACTATACCATTCTATACAAGTTGGCGACTTGAATAAAGTACTTCTCAGCACACTACTAGTATGTTGTCAAACTGTCAGATTAGCGTCTGTGCTTGCAGACTACTATACCATTCTATACAAGTTGCAATGTATTTCCATATGCACTACTGGGTCTGAATCATACAACTACACAGACTTGAATAAGCACATCGCGACACATACGCATATTGATTTGTCAAACTGGCAAATCAGAGTCTGTGTTTGAAGACTACTATGCCATCGTTTACTCGTAGAACGCGAATCGTGCACAGTACATGCGAATACATGTACATTTCGTATGGGAAGTAGCAGAGAAATCATAAGTCCACGCGCATGCGCACATGGGATTTTTGCTCTCTCGAGTACGGAAAAAAAATTCGCGGGCGGGGTCGCTAAACATGTATACTTTTTTAATGGCCTAAAGCAATTTCAATAAACCCTGTGCATCATTATTGAAATGTGCGAACATATGACAGTGACGTATTACGTAATCCGAACATTAACTCCATGACATCGCATCAAAAGGGTAATCCCCCCGCGTTGATTTTTCGAGAATAGTTGCGATCGTGTAACATGTTGACAGAATAAATGAAAAATTACACAAAACCTTCATAGTCCTCTTTGAAACATCCGGTTTTGTGTAAAGTAAAATAAACCCGTATTCTACATTCAAGCCGCACACACGAGTTTTGAAGAAGAAAACAAATTAAACCGAGGTACATGTATAAAATTTCCTCTGTCAGATCTAGCTTTGGGTCTAATAACAAAGATGGTAAAATAGCAGCTAGGAATGCAACTCAAACTTATTTATGAGTACAGAAAAGTCGCTGGATACATTACTCAAAAGTTATCATGGAAAAGTATACCAAAATAAAAACATTTTGAATTTATCATTTATAACACCTTTTGGTGGGTTAGCCCTTGTACAGCCATACATGTATATCATACAAGGTAATTTTACTTCCCATAATACACCGTTAGGCGCCTGTGAGAATCATATGCTCATGTAATTTTTTTTACCAATATAGCTTGTTATATAACTCATGTTGTGTTATACGAATCATGGTGTATGATTCGGAATAAAGCAAATCGAATCAAATCAACTATAATCGGAGTACGAAATGTAGCATAGCTTTTCCTGTACCTTGCATATCTGTATTACAATTTTCTTGTTTTTCCTATTTCTTCGCTTTGTAATTTTAATAATTCTTACTGTAAAAAAATTACACAAAGACAAGAGTGCACAATTGATCCCTGCATGATTACATCAGTCTAGAATAGTTTATGACTGGAACACAATATGTGGGATATAATGATGTAAAGGTGAATAAATAACTGCCAGAATATAAGACTGATCAAGTCGGGATGTATTTGTGGTTATCCACGCCACCCCGTAAATACAAAGAGTTAAATATTAAGCGATCTGATGAATCCCTTAATCACTCGACTGTTTTACTGTCTTGCGGCTTGAGATTCATTAATACACACTCTGCTTTGCCTCATGTTCTTCTAATAATGATAATATACTTGTAAATCATTACAGGTTTTACTCGCCATTCTCTTTTAATTCTCATGCAATACGATATTCACTGTTAGAATATAGGTTAGTTGATTTGTACAGTGTGAAACAGCAAAACAATTCACACAAAATATGGCTGCATGTTAAGGGTCATTGTTATAAACATATGAATATCTTGAAATGGAATTTGATAAGCCCATCTGATTTGGGGTCTATAATTGATTCTAGTCAACATCAATTCTTCATAGAACCATGGCAGAAATGAAATGCAAGTACAAGAACTTACAACAAGTACACTATTGTATGAAATGCATATTTAAGGTTAAGATTGAAACGATGATCAATTATAAATCAAGCTCGCCAAGAAAAGTATACAAAATGGTTGAAAGATCCATAAAATAAGAAAGACATTGGTACAACTGTCAATGAAAGATACTGGCACATAAAATTTTTTAAAAAATGAAAACGACGCTGTCATTGCATGCATGAAACAATAATGATATTATACCTTTATAATTGTAGTTGTTACATGTAAGATACATATATATCTACCATAGAATCTCTGAAAGGTTTAGTCGATCACACACAGTTGATGTCTAGTAGACAGAAAGACTTAATTAAAGACTTAATAATTAATATTTTGCAAATACATAAGTTTTTAAAAAAATGAAATTTTGTCATCTCATCGATCGACATTGTTATGAAGATATGAGCATGCAATGATATCATGAATATTATTGTTGTAAACAATGTTATCCATAATGATAACTCTGATACTGTTTTTATCTTTTCGAAAATTGTGGGATTTTGGACCAACAAAATTTACATAAATCTGGCACCACCTCTTGACAAACAATGGCAAACAGTAGGAATTGCTGGATCATCAGAGATAAAATCGGCGATATCAAGTAGCGCAAAGTAGTTATCGAGGATGACGTAAAGCAAATCACAAAGATACTGTCTGTCGACTCACATTTGTTAATATACAAAGTAAAGAACAGTAGTGGTTCGGTGATTATTATGTGCTGATGAAATATAACCATTTCGATGAAATGTGGTTAATTTGACAGGTGACTTAATGCCACCCCCTCAACAAATTGGGTTTCAACTCTGTTTACAATTATACTGTAAAATATCATTCACATACCACTGGTATATTCCCGTCACAATTCGCAGATCATTTTTGTTATTACATTATCCAATGTGACAGATTGAAAGTTTCTAAAACTAACATTTTATTGTTTTTAAATCTGTTGCCCTCAGCTACTTCGATTTCAAGTTTATGTGGTGTGTTAACTCGCAGTTTAAGGCACATAGAAGTAAATGCATACTGTTCTCTTTGCTTTAGCACGATACCCACTGCAAGAGTTTCTTATGTTTCAAATAATTAACTACCTGGAAAAGCATCATTTGCTCTTTAACCCCATGGAATTCAAAAGCGAATACGGCATTCACTTGCAAACTATCATTATTTACTTGGGATTTCCCTTTTTTAAACAGATAAATAAACGCCTGTTGCTTACTCACACATCAAGGTAAGCTACAAAAAAGTGTAATTAAAGACCTGTTCATCAAGTACACCTTCATCATTTTCATGACACAAAACTTTGCAACCACTTCTCAATGTCCGCATAAGTCGGAAAAAGTGATTGTTGTAGTCAGGTTTTCAATAGATGACCTCTTAACGGATTCAATACGCATTTACAACTATCATGCCGTAAAATCATTACAAATAATCTTTTGACCCTGATTATAGATAAGTATTCTTCGAATAGAGACATTCTAAACCAATTATCAAGCAAAAATGCTATCATTTAATTGACGTTCAGTATAGGAGCATGCCATGTACTTTACAGAATAAATGTGCGAGTCCAAGCTATTTGGTCCAAGACATTACTCACCACATCTAAGATTTCAGTATTATATAATTATCTGATGACTGTATCAAGCTGATCACAGCCCTACCATAGAGCCCGAGCCAGACAAAATGTCACCAGTAAAAGAAAAAATATATATATATATTTTATGTCGATTTATGTTCACAGCTCCATATTACTATTCAATGATATAGTTGGGAACGTATATGTACATGTACGTGTATATTTCCTTTGGGTTACCTACCCTGGCTATGCCTAAGAATCGCTTATACATGTTTACTTTTATAAACGACAGGCGAATTATTTCTCTTCCATCACCAGAATCGAATGATACCAGAATTTGGGAAAACGAATCAATAAATACACGGGGAACTTGTGGACTGATATTTGACGGATGATGTTGCGTGTTTAATTAAGAACAGTTCGACTAGAAGTTCCCCAGCTCTCAATTTACTGAACGTTTTGAGTAAACATGACTCTAAATGACGTCTGATAACAAAGGGTAGACTAATTACAATACAGCTAATGGACATGGGGTTGAGAAATACTTTCATCTAATTTATGTTAATCATCATAATTAGGTTGAAAGTGCTCACTGTTGAATGATGATTTCTCTTTGGTGGTACAGGGGTAATTAGTAACTGTGTCACTGGCGATACTTGGCATTGACCGCTTGCTCAAGTCCGTATCCATTATCTCGACCTGGAAAGAGAAAGAAATATGGACAAAAAGAAATAAATAGGTTTTCCTTTAAACTTGTATTTATTTACTTCAGAATACTACACACATGATACGGTTGTATACCTACAGAACTAAAATTCAGTTGACGTCGCCACTGAGAAACACACCCAGGCACGTTCCTTGACAACACAAAATGTGACATTTTTGTTACTTTCCCCATGGTTTTACATAAACATCCCCTTTTATTGAAACCTAATATAATTATGAAATATGTGAATAATTCATCAACTTCATAAACATCAACAATTCAATACAGCGCAGCAATATATGATATTACATGACTGTATAGGGTGGAGAGAGATAGGCACTGATAGAGAGAGAGAGAGAGAGAGAGAGAGTGAGAGAGAGAGAGAGACGGCAAGAGACAGAGAGAAAAAAAGAGAGAAATACACACACAGAGAGTGTGGGAATGAGAGTGAAAGAAATGAGAGAGAGAGAGAGAGAGAGAGATGGAAACATTAGAGCATTGATTCAGTGGCATATGCACTATATAGAGCAGATGCAGCGAGTGCCCAAACCACTTTCATTGATGTCCCCTAGTCGAATGGAATTTATACATTTTATTGGGAGATATTAATATATTGCTTCAATATTTCCAGATCTTCTAGGAAGACATGCCCATTCCTTTCAATATACACCGCACTTATTGCTTTGAACCTATCAATGATTTCAACGATTTGTCTCGTTGGAGCGTGACCCGGTTACAAACAATGGATTTTTTCCCCCTCATCAATCTTGGATTATTAATTTCACTAAGTCAAGATCAAGGCTCTCACGTCGGCTTATTCCGAATGATTGGGTCATCGCGTCCGGTCGGGTGGTCGCGTGACACGACCTTTCGTGAAACGAAAGCGGAAGATCACGCGACCTTTCATAGATTTGTTGTAGGGTTTACACAAAGTGTTGGGTAAATTGGACCAGATCATTTGTAGATGAGAGGGGTTTATTTCACAAAAATTATCCCCGACTTTTCGTGAATAATGGGTCGTATTTTCACAAACTTGAAATGTCAGGTAAAGCGAGCACACGACCTGCTTCTGTTTGTATTGATGGATGATTCAAAATAAGCGCCCCTCCTCCCCTCCCCCCAACTGAGGTAAAACGTCCTTGTTTGCGATGTATAACGGTCCAATGTATATAGCATATAGACATACATAATTGAATTACATTTAATTGGAATAAAAGTATTTCGCCTTATATGCATTAGTCAAGAGCAGTTGAATCAAACATTTTAGAAGACAAAATTATTAAAAACGTATCAAGTAAATCTAACAAAATTGTTAGATTTTACCATTAAATTAATTTAATAATTTAACAGAATACTAAGTAGAGTATACGTTTATAATTATCATTTTCCACGAGATATATGCTCTCTCAGGATCGCAGAAAGGTGGATGAATTTGCTATTTTTCTTCCTCAAAATTGTAGATTTTACAAAAAATGATTAAAACTGGGCCCGATGCATAAGCCATGGCAACATCACTCAACGGCCAATCAAACCAAGGTTTCCATGGTAGTCATCATTAATGGCAATACCATCAATGCTAATTTTGTATGCGACGGAGCCCAGATGAAGTAAAGTTCACTAAATTGTGTATCTGATGGCTTTGCAATACTATGTAATATTCAGAATATGCAATAGAGTCTGTATAATTAGATACATGTATATCTTCTATAAGGAGTGCCGAAGGATGGATGAATAGTGAAAATTGGTTAGTTGATTTTCTTTGTATCCTATTGAGATTGACATATACGTAGATTTAACAATAATGTGCACACGCTACATGATTGTATAAACATATCCCCAGAAGAGAAGTCTCTCAATTTATTATTTGGATATCATCGATCACGAAAACATATATATGACTATAATGGAATAATTAACGGTAGTAAAATTAAAGTGAAGATATCCCTAATATAACCTGATAACTTTCACAATCTGCATTTTCAACTTTCAATGAGTAATATTGATGTGTTTGATAACAATAATCCATTATTTTCCCATTCTATACAGCAATCGCCCCGATACTCATATCATGATATTTCTTGGTAACATTCAGCTACCTCCCGAACATAATAAGTGGTCTATGTAATTATAGTCAAGATCTTCAAGCAGCATATTCTTCCCCAAGAAAATTCAAATCAAATACATTTAGATATATGTCAATCATTATAGTCTATATTTTTAATTCACTGTTTGGCTGAACATAAAAATTGACCTTGGTAAACATTTCGTCAAGAGTAAATTAAGTGCACGAACACGAGCAATACTTTGGAAGCATTGTGTTTGGTGATGCTCCTTGATAACAAGCAGAGTAATGTCTAACTTAGCTGATCGATTAGCTGAACAATAAGAGTCTTTGTCCTATTGAATAACGGAGCTTTTCGATTCGACTAAAGAAAGTGGATGTTGCATTGTGTACGTGCTAGTGTCTGTGAGTGGCCTTGAGAATAGGGAACAGTGGGACCTAAAATTAGACTTGACATCACTGTGATCAAGATAGGAGACTACATGTAGATGAATGATGTTGATGGAGTATAAAAATGAAGATAGTCGGAGTTGTACATGTAGCTTATAATTCCCTATATAACACCATAAATTTGCAAAATACATTTGTACACATGCATGCTTTCTTCTTTCCCCTTTTTCTTTTCCTTCTTTATACGCGAATAGTATGATTACATAATAGGTGACTCGGTTTGTCATCTTAGGGTACGTTTATGCTCAGCTTTTTCTGGCCAGAATGAGACATCTGTTACGCGTTTAGTTAAAAACACGGTTGCGTCCTTTCTCATTTTTGTAGAATCACCGAAAAAACGGCGATCGTAAACTCACAAAAAGGTGCGTTTACGATTGGCGATTCGGCAAAATCGGCGATCTGGGGAAGCATAAACGCACAATCATTTGTAAACCCGTTTAAATGGGGTCAACGCACTGACCTCTAGTGGGTCTACGTAGCATGCGCAGTGCAGGTTTGGGGGTTAGTGCACATTTTTGTTTTTGTGTCTCAAAATTTGAAAATTTGGCCAATCGATTTTTCGTTGGGGGGGGGGGGGTAAGGTCAGCTTTTTGGGTCACCCATTACCACAATTTTTTTTTAAATTAAAAATAAACCCAATGGGGGGGGGGGGGTTCCTCCAAAACACACACATAAAACAAAAAAATTTAAAGAGGGGGTTCAATCCCCCCCCCCCCCCCTGCGTACGCGCCCGGTTACTTCTGTGATCTATCCATGCCTTATTGGACAGTTATCCAAATACTCCCTTTTCAAGTTGTATTCATACATGTAACTACGTGTAATAATCCTTTACGAATGTTCAATTTCCTTCATGGTCTCCTTTTTCTGAAAAATATATTTTGACGAATTGAAAGAAATTTATACTTACATCTTGCACTGACACTGCATCATTTCGATCTGGCTGGGCTATCCTGAGCCTTGGTAGATGAACCATTTTCTCTTGGACTCGATGAATTACTATTTATACTCTTTCCACTGGAATGTCTTTGTTTTTTCTCCGGCTCATCTCTGCTCCTGAGACCTCGTCCCACTGCTCCTCCGTTTCCTGTACCACTGACGCGCCTCCCTCCTTTACCACTACTACCACCACTTCCTCCTCCTCCTCCTCCTCCTCCTCCTCCTCCCTTATCTCCATCAGCAACGCTTTTCTCAGCTCCCCTTCCAGAATGTCCTCCTCCATCATCGTCTCTTTCATGAGATGCTTTGTTGACATTAGTGGTGTTGGTATTGTTTCCGCTAGTAACGGTTACTTTCTTAGATCGTTCTCTTGGATCTGGTTTTCTTTGGTTTTGTTCCTTGGTCGGAGATGAGGTATTTGTTTCCATAGTTTCGTTTTTGCTCACCCGTCTCGCTCTTCCTTGCACATCTTTGTCTTGTGTTTTCTCGGAATGAGGTGTTACTTCATTTGAAGGATTGTCTCTCGGGGATGTATCAATTTTCTTTTGTCTTCCGCCTTGCTGAAGAACGGGGCTAGTAAGGCTAAGTCTGGTTTTAGATTCTCCTTGGGAATATTTTTGGAAATGTCTTGGGGAGTATTCCTTATGTGATTCTTGTTTATGTCGCGGTGAAGTCTGCGAGTCACTTCCAGGCGTCGTAGATTTCAGAGCATGGAAATCTTCAGCTTTACCCAAAGATAATTGAAACTGTGAAATTGCAGTTTTGCTATCAGCCGATTCATTTAGATCAAATAGGCCATTGTCTTCGCCTTTCAAAGGCATGCTACTGTCTGTATTAAAGCTATCTTCCTCACTGCTTTGGACGACGCTAAAGAGAGGTGGGAGGTAAGGAGGAGGGCGTCTGCTGCCACGGAACTTTTCCTCAGACGCGTAGTCCGCTACTTCGATGTCCCCACCATCCCGACTTCCCCTAGAACTGACCTGAAGCTGTAGACCATTCGATGTGGGAAACAAAACAGGAACGTTGAACGATCTGCTGAGTGTTGATCTATCAAGTGTTGACCTGTCAGTGACGGACCCATCGCTTCCTTCAGCCCATGAAGAACGCACTCCTGGAATACCGTTACGAATACCGTGCTCTGTTATTGCATTGTCCCGACGACATGTGATAAAATGTTTGCATTCTCTCCAGGATTCCGGCCAGGCGACGAGAATAACTACCGCAACAAAGAAGTCAAATATAAATCTGAAACATGTGAAGATTGTCCACAACACTCCAGGGATCATAGTCACCCCGGAGTATAGATAAATCATTCCTAGTATATGAAAGGGTCCGATTAGCACACACCACAAAAATATCAAGACACCGACTGGTTTGGCGTGACTTAGTTCTGTGGCTGTCCCAATGGGTCCAGTCAGTTCTCCGTAACCTGCTTCAGCTAGGACATTATCCCTTGCGTTTGTTTCAGATGCTAACGCCACGATGTAGATATAGCAGCACATCACGGTCACCCAAGGAGCTATGTTACATAGCAGTGAGTAAATAACATTGTATGCCAGGTTGTTCTTATATACGACTGAGCATAGATATCTGTCTTGGAAATAGTCACTCTCGACAGATGTGACTACGATGGCTATGGTAAAGGCCATTGAATGGATCCACGAGTATCCAGATATCAAGTTAGCTCTCACACCAACGGTCTTCCTGATGTAACTTTCAGAGTACTTCAGGGACAGCATCCTATCCAGGACCAGCAGCATTAGACTCATGATGATCTGGGTATGAATTAAATTACCAATGAAAGATGTGACCGGGCAGAGGAAAGAAGCATCCAGCCACATGGTACCGTCGGAGAGCATCGCTCCTATGATGAAAGGAGCATTGAAGAGGCAGTCGCACATGATGGTGATGGCCAGGTTGTTCAAGTAGGTGTACAAGGCCCGGTCGTGGAAGCATTTATGACGCAAACCAGTAATGACCCCCAGATTCCCAATCAAAGCGAAGGCGGTTATGAAGATCATCAAGACACCGGCAAAGATCCTCAAAGCGTTGTCCGTGTACGGTTCCGATGACGGCTGCACGATCGCACTCGTCGTCAAAGAATCGAGCTTGATGGTATTCGATCCCGCATCCTTTGTCGACAGGTTGACTAACGCAGCCACCGTGGTCGACAATGTAACTGAGACATTCGATGTAACGCTCGTTACGGCCGTCGTTACATTCCATGATGTCACAGTAATGGTTGTAAAGTTTACTATATTAATCAGCGAGCTTGTTTCGTTTTCGCCACTACCCCATGTCTCAGTCGTTGATTCAGCCGTCGAGGCCATGGCGATGTTTCACTAAAAAAATTGCATTTTACCAGAGCCATTACTGTTAAACTCACTTGTGTTGCCTGTAAAGTCGGCAAGGGAACAAACCTCTATATGCCCTTCCCTTCACTTCACTTGACATTGCAATTACTATGTGCGTCTATTGATTCATCGATTGCCATTCTCATATGACCTACAGAGTCGGAAGAGCTTAGATAACGTCTAAATATTGTAAACAGAAATCATTTCATCCTGAATATCGGAATGATATTCGATTTCTGTTCACCATCAAGAGAGCATACAGACGAACCAAGTATATACCCTCTCATAGGCCTGCATATTTAGTGGTCCTTTCAAAAAGATTCCCCAGGGCAAAACAATTGTAGCTTCATAGTGTAGATTCCGCTTTTCAGGAAAGGTATATCATTCAGTATATTCAGGAAAGTAGATCAGCATATTCAGGAAATGTATATCAGCATATTCAGGAAATGTATATGATTCCTCTCTAGCGCCATGTTTCACTATAAGTCGAACTGCGATAAGGACGAAAAAGACTTTAAGTCATGCCAACTGGACATTGAACGACTGAGTCATTACACCATTTAATTGCACTTCTGTCTGCGATGTCACAACTTGGAATGTGAGAGTATCGATCGCTTAATTTCACAGTTCACAAAGATGTGTCCTGTCCAATTCCTCCTCCTCCATCATGGTAAATACCTGCTCAAAATCACACTTTAGTCGCAGGCCAAAATCTTGGCCGAGACTCTGCTGATAGCATACAGGATATGCATATTATGAATCCAACGGGGAAAATGAGAGATTGTTATTATGTCGAAAGAAAGCTCGTCTGCTAATTATAAACCGCGGTATTCTCTATTGTTATGATGTTATTTACTTCCACCCACCGCTCACTGGTGTTCAATGTAGATGCAATATAGCGCACGCACACACTGTCATTGTGTGTATAAAGATAGCAGTGCATCGCTGCATTCAGAATGGGTACGTGGTACCTACACGTACGACCTACACGTACGGAGAGTTACGTGGACGCCATTTACATGACAACGAGAAGGCGCCGAGCAAAAGGCGCCAGGCCATTACACTGTAAGAACCATAGCACAATACACACTCGGTATATACTCAGCTACCCCTCACTGTGACCAGACATAATATAGACACACAATAGGTGGTAATATCGTGTAGGGTATAGTCTGTACGCTTTATCTGATATTGTCAGCGAATAATTGAATGTGACGTCTGAGTAAATCCTTCGTGGTATGGTCGAGTTGGGATTATTACCAACTCGGAGTCCACTTTTGAAAACAATTTTGTCTTGTTCGATACAGACGTTCATGTCATGTTTTTTATGTTCAAGTTAGTACTTTAGATTGTCGCAATCAAGTCATAGGCATAACTGTCATTTTTGTCAACTTTTGAATATATTTCACCGGACTTTTTTTTTCAAGCCGAGCCAGTTTTAATTAAATCAAAGGCCATAAAATTTGAAAGGATTTTTTGTTTTCAAAAAAGAAAGAAAGGCGTCGAAATTCTCCTTTTTCGGATGCAGTTAATCTCGAAATGTAACAAGCACACAAGGGATACTTTTGGAAGCATATGCAATATTGGTATATACAACAACAGACTATTAATAATTTTATGCATATGATAATCATTTTCATTTCTGACTGAGGGCCTATATAGTTACACTCAAAATCTTCCAGATTTCTCTGGAAACACCTTAAACAAGTTCATAAGTCAGTGATGTCACCAATCTTATTAATTAATATCCTATTAATCAACATTAAATGATTATACAATTTTCATCTCTCTCTCTCTCTCTCTCTGTCATGGTTTCTCTCTCCCTCTTTCTATTTTTGTGTCCCCCATTGTCATCTGTCCATACAGTAATTCTGTCTATCTCTCGCTCTTCCTCTATCCTGTATTCCTACTCTCTCATTTCTTTTTTATCCATTCACTCTTTCCTTTACCCCGCCCGCTTCTCTCTCTCTCCATTAGTTTTCCCTCTCTTCCCAAACCACCTTTAACACTCTTTTTCTATATCTCTCTATTAAACAAAATCTATACCTAAATCAAAGTCATTATACTGCATACTGGGTTACAACAGGAATGGAATATCCCATTTTAATAATTTGCAATTACTATATGATCAGTTTCAAAACAGAAGCTAATTGCAACCAATGTACATATAGGGACTATCTGGGTAGAATGATTTAGAGGTCATTATCATTTATAGACACTTCCATTAACCTCTGCAAAGCTGAACAACAGGAGTTTTAATTGGCTGGGTTTATTAAAGCTATACCATACGAACCTTACGAATTTTATATTAATTAGTTTCAGTGGCAAAAAGACGATTAACCTACATAATTTGTCTTCTTATAGATTTGATTAATATTGCATTGATTGTCAAATGCTAACACCTTAATCAATTCAAAGCTGCCCTGTGTCCTTACGTCAGTTCATCTGCCATTGTAATCCATGTGGATTCTGTCATAATGACCTCTGATATAGATTAAGTTGTTGATAACTTCTTTTGATATTTGTATCTTTAGATTTAATTGCATTCGTTGACACGGAAGAAAGCGCGTGGCACGTCAGGCTCAATCGGGTCATATGAACCGCACATCAGGTAGCTAAAGATAGATGATTAAAAGACAGAAAGAAAGAAATCGAAAGAAAACATAAAATTTAGAGAAAATATAAATATGTTATCGTACAGGGGACAATCAAAATGGAAGATCAAGAGCTTATTCATCCGAATCTCAAATAGCCTCCGAGAAAGAGTGAAAAGTAAGGATAAAGAGGGTAAAATAAAGGCTAAATATATCTACTTTACAGACCATAAGGGTAAAATAATGGCAGATGAAATCAATGTTGAATCAATAATATGAGAGCTTATTCATACGCACAACGAATAACGAGGAAAAGGAGTTTAACAAAAAATGGTAGGGAGAAAATGATGTAAAATCGAAAATGTGTAATGGGAGATGAAATCGGTATCAGAACTCATAATTCCGTTTGGTAGATCCTGCATGTTTTCTTAGTTATATTTGTATCTTTGTATATTTCAAACGTACGGGAGGGATAATCAAAATTTTGAAGAAAAAAAAAATCTTGTTCCCAGTTTCTAATTTGTCTTTAAACGGGGTGTATTTTTGTCACTTGCAAACTTCTTTTTCCAAGAGAGTCTTGAAAATGGCACTAGACTAGAATTATCTCAATGTAATATCTTCTATATCTGATTAAGGTCTACGTCTGTCAATTTCATGATGACAATTATATTGGGCACAGATGGAGCAGAATTATTCCTAGGAGAAAATGTCACCTTTCTTGGTTTTCGGCGGAGTCGACGACGATCCTGTGAATGAAGAGCTCGGGTCGTTCAACGAACTCCCACTTCCATGGCTTATAGAAGGCAGCATCGTACTCCCACTCGAGGTAAAGACGACTAGGGGAGGCGACGTTGAGTGAGGAGACGCCGACGTGAAGGTACTTCGTGAGGGGGTCGTACATTCGGTAGTCACTGCAGTTCAGAATATTTTAAAAATCTTATCTTAGAAAATGTTTGCCAAAATTCAAAATTGTTACTAACTTATCATCCCTTTTTTTTTATCCTACACACTGATTCACGTGTAAACATGAATTGAAATAGCATCTTCGTGATTAAACAAAAATAATTTTAAGGAGATACACAAATAATAGAGTTTGTATAGTATAATAAAGATTATTATACAGTTTAGTATATACCAGACTGAATAGTAAAGAGTAGTAGAATGACGTAGTATAATGTCAACATCAAAATAGTTCTTCCATTGATTGAAAAATGTGTAGGTTCACGGATTTAGAAAAGGAAGAGACATGATCGCAGTCCACCAGATCATGCACGGTCAAGTTGACATCCCACAAGATCATTATTATTTTCTTCTCCCAACCTGCAAGTAGAAGTAGATCCACGCTGTGGCGGATCCAGGGGGCGGTAAAAACACGTTAAAACACAAGGGGGGGGGGGGGGTGCGATTTTCAAATTGTTGGAAGCGAACAAAAAAGCAGTGCTCCTTACCCCCCCCCCCCCCCCCATTCATTCACCGGTTGGCTGTTTCGCCACTAAATATTTTCTCAGGAATTGGGCCCCCTCCTCTGCGACCGGCTGGATCCGCCCCTGGATCCACGAGAAGGGCATTGTTTCAAGATCCAGAAAGAACACTGCAGACTGGATGTTAGAAGCAAGTCTTTCAGCTGCAGACAGATAATACAAGATTGGGACAGCTTGCCAGAAAATATAGTGGTCTTGACAACAACAGACAAATTCAAAAGATATATAGATAGGCATTCATTGGTGGAAGCATCGCTTTGATCTTCAATGACTACACTCCTGCGCAACAGGATAAGCAGTGACCAGGAATTACAGGCCAACGCCTTCTTTCTGTACCACATGAGCATGATGATGATGATGATGATAATGGGGATTTGCCCTACCCTTAACGGTGATTCGAACAATAATTTTTAGAAACCTAATCTTTCTGTTGGGCTACCTTCTCTTCGAAATAAAACTGGACCTCACCCCCCCCCCCCCCCTACTCCCATCAGGGGCGGATCCAGCCGGCGGCAGGGGAGGGGAGGGGGCCCAATTCGTGAGAAATATTTAGCGGCGAAACAGCCGCCGGTGAATAATTTTGCCAGAATTAAATTGAAGATCCAACCCCCCCCCCCCCCTTGAGCACCAGGGGAGGGGGCCTGTCTTCAAATAAAGGTAAAAATAACGTGTTTTTGCCTGTTTTTCCCCCAGGGGAGGGGGCCCGGGCCACTAGGCCCCTCCCTGGAGACGCCACTGAATCCCACCTCTAGCTTCTGCTTTTAGCATTTCTTTATAAATAAATATTTATATTCCGATTTTATACAAGATAATAATTTACTTATCACATCAATAAGTGCAAACAAAAGGAAATATTATGAGCGAGCATGGGTTGATTGTTCATCATCAGACGTCAGTTACAAAGTCCATTTGTATTAAGATACCATCCACTCGAATCTATCAAGGTTGTTCAGAATACTTCATTGGATTTGTATTGTATGATAATTGCTCTTGAGTTGGAGAAATTTGCATTATGTCCGCATTATGTTTTAAATTTAAATGACCAAAACTTTTTTTTCCAAAACTATATACTCCTTGAAAGTAAGTAAGTAAATCAATTGGATACTCACGGTGAGAGTGGAATTTCTTCAGATTGTCCATTGTCACCGACCAGAGAGATTGTCATCTTTCCCTTGAACATCTCTGCCTTCCTCCCATCATCAATCTCAACTTCAAAACGATACTGGAACCCTGTCAGATACCAGATAAAGGAGCAAGAAAACATGATATTTCTTTCAGAAGGCTGATTTTGAAACTCAGAATTTCAGCAAAATGTGTTTGGTGTTTGCAAGAAGTTACAAAATGTCAAATAAGCTGTGAGCTTTCTTCATATTTTCACTGTTAGGACGATGATGGGTTAAGTAATGTATGATCACTATATTCTTAAATCAATAAATGCATTTTGTATGTTTTCATCTAATTCTTGATATCTTCGATTAACCTGATCAAGGATGAAATTGTCTTTATTATCGTCAAAATCGTCATCCTTATCATAATCTTTGCCATAATATTATCGTCATCATCATTACTATCACAAATACATTGATCATCATCACCATCGTCCTCGTTGTCATCATCATGAGCAACAGCATAATTTTCATCGCCGTCTTCTCCATCAGCAGCAGCAGCAGAAACAACAGTCATCATTATCATCATCATCATCATAATAATAATACAAATAGCTAGTTCTATATATAGCGTTTTTCAGGACCGAAGGCCCTCTCAAAGCACTTTACAGATTATTACCCCGGTCATCGGATTCAGGCTTACCCGCACACAATGTATGCACATTCTCCACTCCCTGTGGAGCATTCCAGCCAGGCGTCATTTTTACAAGCGCATAATTGCTAATCTAAGCACATTAGCTTTCGCATCCTACCGGGTACCCATTTAACACCTGGGTGGAGAGTGACAAATGTAGATCAATGTCTTGCCAAAGGAGTGCCGCGGTGGGACCTGAACCGCGGACCTTGTGATCCACAGTCCGGTGACATATCCACCCGTCCACGACACACCTTCATCGTCATTTTACTTCACCATCATAATCATCACCAACTGCTCTGTCACACCAGTAATATCATTAACATCATCATAGTCATTATCATCTTCCTCATTACCACAATCATTATCGCCGTCATCGTCAATATCAATGTCCTCCTCCTCCTCATTATCATCACCACACTCTTTATAGCCGTCATTAGTAACATCATTAAACTCATCATCATGGTTATCATCATCATCGACGTCATCATTATTGTCACCATCATGATCATTACAATCATCTTCCTCATTTTAATCGCATGCATACCGCAATAAGGGGCACTGTCCAGCGTATTCTGCTGATATACCAGCTCCTTGACCCCTTCATCCGGAGCGTACTGGTCAGCCAGCCATCCCATCTGGGCAGTGGGTGTGTCTTCAAAGCAGAGCCCTTCGTTATAATCTTCCCATTCACGAGTGCAGTGGAATGCCAGGTAGGGGCACTCCCCGGAGTTGATGGAATCCATAAAGAGGTATGCGGCTCGGATGTGATTACAAGCAATGTAATCAATCACTCCTGAAGATGAGAAATAACAATCATACCAAAAAATGGAAACAGAATTACAAATTCCATATCTTCAGAGCTTCTATAGCTCATATCTGGCCCGTTGACATTCCAACCCTTACCATTTGCAATTATCTATCCAATTTAAATGTTGGCGTACGATATCTGAAAACGGCATCGTAAGAGTATATCTGCTTTTTTTTTTCTTTTTCGAAGGAACATCAACAAAATATAGGTATGAATGAAAAAGTAATAAATAATTAATTAAAAATAATTTAAGAAACAAAAAGTTTATTCATTATTGCTCCCTACTGGCCAGGAAGTTTACGGGGAGGCGCCACCTCAACTTAGTCGGAAAATTACTGAAAATTGAGTCCTATGGATGCAGGGTCCTCGCTAAAATCTAACGGTGGAGCTTCGGGGAAGGCATGATTCATGGGGGTGTGGTGGGAAAAAAGTGGAGAGGGCAAATAGCTGCGCTTGTCGTCAGCTAGCTGTGCCTATATCCCAGATTCCCCTCTAATTGCCATTTGAGGGGGGGGGGCACACGGCAGTGCCTGAGAAAGAAAGAGAGAAAGAAAGAGAGAGGAGATCCATCTTACCACCCCAGATCCTTCCGTGAGCGATGATAGAGCCAATGATTCTCATGTCACAACCAGGCTGCTCTCGTCCACTGTTCGGGAAGAAATCGACATGACCGGTCGAGGAATACATCCCCATACCTAGGAGGGAGAAATGTAGACATTAGTTGAAATAGAGGGATTGGTGGGACATTATAGAAAGAGAGAGCCAGACAGACACAGAGAGACAGACAGGGAGACAGAGGAGAAGAGAAAGTGAGAAAGAGAGAGAGACAGACAGAGGGAGATAGAGGAGAACAAAAATTGAGAAAGAGACAGACAGACAGACAGAGATGGAAAGACAAAGGAGAAAGGGGATGAGAGGGGGTGAGACTCAAAGAGAGACACACAGATAGACAGACATACAGACAGAGGAGATACAGATATGTTATTTATAAATAATCATGGTGAAAGAGGGGATGAATAGGAAATAATGTAACCTTTTCTTTAGAATTTTAAAGGAAACGTTCAGCTGTTCTTTTTTCAAGAATAAATTATGTAAATGAATCAAGATGACAAAGACTTTCGAAAAATCGACTCAAGGGCAATTCAATACCCTACTGTATATCCGAGAGATATCACGTTATAGGGTTGCGTAAAACGGCGTCATAGTGATGTTCGCAAATTTCAAATTTTCGTGAGGGACAAGGCTGTAAGAATTGCCTTGAGTGATTTTTCGAAAGACTTTGCGGTCGTTTTATCAAATCTACTGTTTTTTTTTTTTAACTGAATCTCGGATTCGTCAAATTGTGTACATTCCAGTGAGAACAAACTACTCTGTACATTCAAGTGAGGAGAAATTTTCCTTACCTAGTTTATAAAGAGGGTCGGTGTCGGTGTGGATGACGTCAACGAAGAGAGCATCGGAAGCATCGAGGCGAACCCTAGGGTCACTCTCATCAAAATATGGACCAGCAGGGTCCAGACCTGGAAACGGAAACAAAAAGAGTAGATATATGTTTTATTTTAGAAGAATAGATAAGTAGAAAGAGAGGGAGGGAGGGGTGGGAGGCAGGAAGGGAGGGAGGGAGGGAGGGGCGATTATATTATATATATATATAGAGAGAGAGAGAGAGAGAGAGAGAGAGAGAGAGAGAGAGAGAGAGAGAGATATGACACCACGCATAGTACTGGAAAGCATAATTACCACATGTTCCATGTGGAGATTTTAAACTACAAGAATAATGATTGGTCTCTATATTTTTATTCTTTGCCGATTTTTCTCAATCTTTTGAGTTCTCTGCTTTCATAAAACCATTACGTGGTATTTATAAAACGCCTTTAACAAACTTTCTAAAACGCTGTGCAATATTGAAATCAATAAAGGAAACTTTTACATAAAATGCATAAACAATCAATTATATTTCAAGCTTAGCACAAAATATAGATCATTATTATGACAGTAACTCGTAAATATGCAGATTGATGAAACCAGGTAAATATCTTTCTCAAATTTGATCATGTCCACTGGTTTATATTTTTTATTATCAGTATGTTTCTCGTGTATGTATTTATGCTAAAGGATAATAATTATTCTTCTATGATTAAATCATGAAACGAGATATCTACCTGTGATTCGTCCGATGTTGGGAATGATAGCACCAGCTATCCCGGCAACATGGGCACCCAGACTGTGTGCTATGACGTGGAATGTAGTCGGCCCAACCGCCTGGATACTCTATCAAATCATGCAATCATTACAACAACCAAAAAGTGATTCAAGATCAACAAAGTATGACCAATTTTGGAACAATTGGGGTAGGCCGCTGCGCAGGTTAATTTTAAACAATCACCCTTTTTTGCACTTCAAAAATAGTTTTTGATAATATAAACTGGCAAATTGTAACCTACGTAATATCCGGGCAATTAGGCAATATCTCTCACCTCAATCCATCCAACAGTTAGTACATGCTTTTGTTACTTCGCACCTTGATATTTGCAATTCATATTCGACTACCCGCTTAAGGCTTAAGGAAATACGTACCAAAAGAAATTGGTGGATAGAGCATTTGCATCAGCAGCTCCTTCTTTGTGGAATAAGTTACCTTTCTCTATTCAGACGGCCAACACTCTTTCTGCTTTTAGAACTGGGCTTAAAACTGACCTGATGCTCAACGCATATTGTTAAATTTCAATGTTCTTTTTATACAATACATGCAAAGCGAATAATCATACTGTGCCACATTGTATGTACCATGGCACCATGAAGTTGTGTGATCTAATGTAAGTTAAATTTTAATATTTCTTTAATCTTAAGTATGTTGAATATTAATTTAAATTATTTGTATGTGCCTTGAGCATCTCTAGAGATGGATGTGTTGCACTTATAAATATAGTTATTATTTTACTATTATTATAAAAGTAAAATAACATAGACATTACAGAGTACAAAACGCCCCTCCATTCAAAATAAATCAAGCTATAGAGTGTGGTAATTAGAACAGACCATCAACAAACACAGCGGAAACAAAATGTGATAATAAATATTTGAAATAGAGAGAGAGAGAGACAGAGGCAGAGGCAGAGACAAAGACGGAGAGAGAGAGAGAGAGAGAGAGAGAGAGAGAGAGAGAGAGAGAGAGTGAAAGAGAGAGAGAGAGTGAGTGAGACAGAGAGGAAGGACAGAGAGAGAGAGAGTGAGTAAAAGAAAAAAGAGAGAGGGGGAGCTTGTTGGCGTGAGTGTGAGTGTGTGCGCAGAGAGCGAGAGAGAGAGAAAAAAAGTTAAAAATATATATTGGAAAAGAGAGAGATGAGGAAAGTGGGTGGGTGAGAAATACTTTTCGTTTTACCTGTATCATATTGAGAAGGAGAGCAACCTCGGCACCGACCACCCTCACATTACCGACAGCCTCATCATACTCATTCCTGATCACACCCGGTCTCCAGTCGATGGTGATCACGTTATAGTCACCCTCGATCAGGAGTTCATTCGTCATGTCCTCCATCCAATCAACATCGGATCCTTTCACGAATCCGTGGATGATGACCTTCGTTTTCTTCCATGGCTTGAAGTCAGATCTAAAGAGAGGGGGGAAACACGATTTCATCATTCCCCCTTTTTATATTAACATTTGAATTTCGTGTAAGCTTATATGTATCCACCAAAACAATTACAAGGTTAATATAATAGATTACAATTCCATTACATTACAGAAATTCTAGTTTACTACAATAACTTGAGATTTGGGAAAATAAGTATTCTTCCACAATAAGGGAGTTTACAGATACAATCTGCGCATGGGCAGATAAAGGTCATTTGTACCAAAAAGGTAAAACCCACCAGAGATGAATACTGGATATGCGCTCATGAAAGTTATGTAACATTATTTATTTATGCACCAACGGTACATTCTAAGATATGCAGGTGGAAGTATTCTTTTCAAGAGGGCAAACAAAAGGTATTCATGGAGCACATCTAGGACTTTGGCAGTTATTATTCTAAGATGCTCAAAGTGGAACTTCTCCATGTGTAAAAGATCTGTGGATATTGGGGTCATTTGTACCATGTGCTATCTGTAAACTCCCTTATGGTGATCTACTGATTACTCATAGGAAACATTCTCTTCTACAAAATGTACGGTATTGTGACACGAAAAGATGCGAATGGATAATTCATTATTGTAAAATTGATTGTACTCACGTTGTAATAGTGTCACTGTCATAGGTGCTAAGTTCTTGATAGGCTCCCTGCAGGTCCCGGGTTCGAAGCTTGAATGAAGTCCCAAGCTCATCCCGCGTATCGGGAAGATAATCTACAGGCCGATCATCAGCGTGATAGAATGGCGCCTCGTCACTCACGAAGCATCCGAGCTGATCATAACACACCTCTCGACCTGATACACAGAAAGTGTATAGTTAAACCCTTCTGTATCACTTTTTTTTAATAAACGATGAATGGTAAAAATTAAGGATGTTTAATTCGTTGTATGATTATGAATTTTGGCTTTAAATATTTTCCTTGGGAACAAAATTCGCAATTTGACCCCGCTTCTTTTTTTAAGTAATGGAAAGCCAATTTTGGGCCCCAAAAAGTTTGTTTTTGGCTGGAATTTTGCAGGCCACTGAAATATTGTCGTCAGATATATGTTTTCGTTTTTTTTTTAAGAGAGAGAGACGTGTATCAATTAAATATGATTATTTACGCCTGGGAACCGATCTTTAATGTCACCATCCGAAAGACGTGACTCAGTTTCGAAACGTGGTCGCGTGAGCCACTTTATAGGCGAAGACAGAGAGCTGATCGAGTGAATGTGCCGCTAGACCAACTCACATCTCCAGAGAGTGAAAGTGAAAGGAAGTTATGATGGATGCAGAAAAGAGGTAAATGAGAGGGGACAGAATCGAGAGATAAATTAAAACCCAAGGGTAGTCCAAAAGAGGAATGGATAATGAGTATAGCGCTTAATAGAGGTGGGTAGATACAGATAGATAGAAACATGGATGGAAAGAGAGATAGAGATAGAGAGCTACGTTTATACAGAGAAAACAGACGGAATGAGATTGAGGATCGGAGTAAGGTAGCCATAATTAGACGAATTCACCTTCAATCAGGAACCGCAAATACAAAAAAAAAAATCATCATACCTGAAACAAGTGTCGCACACAACAAAATTGCAAGATACCACATGTTTCCCAGCTTTCTGTTAGCTCCAACGACGATCGTAATAGTGTCGTTTAGTAAAAGACAAGTCATTATAATCGAATTAGAGTTTCAGATTTTATCTTTGACACAATCATGCCTTCATAATAAATTATGGGAACCTGACATTAATTTCTAGATAGCGTGGATATGTAAATATTCCTTTATTTGCATCTTTCAAGTCGAGTGTAGAGTTTAACTTGCATCTGAAATGTATCATGGGATTTTTACTTTGACACAATCATGCCTTCATAATAAATTATGGGAACTGGACATTAATTTCTAGATAGCATGGATATGTAAATATTCCTTTATTTGCATCTTTCAAGTCGAGTGTAGAGTTTAACTTGCATCTGAAATGTATCATGGGATTTTTAGCAGGTGTTCAAAGGATATTGATATCTAACGGCAAACAGAACAATGTCGAAGGTTAAGAAATCCATAATCTTCGTTTGTTTCCTTCTAATTCAATTTATCTACCACTTGAAATGAACAAAAAAGCAAATTATGTTGTAATATAAAATTCAGTTATACATAAATATAATGGATTTATGATAAGCGTTAATTGCAATGAGGTTGATTATAATTATGAAAGATGTAATAATATTGATTTTTGTTTAACACATGGATACGAGAATGGAAAGGATTGTTGACCTGGATAGGTCTTACGATACCACCCCCCCCCCCCCCCCCAATAACAATAATTAAAAGAGGGGTTAAACGCTTCATGTAATGTCCAAATGACTTTCAGGGATGCAATGCAAATCAAATGAAGTACTTTCTTAACTTTATTGCACCCTTGGACGCCGTTTTTTATAGGTGCAAGGTCAATATGCAATATCACACTTTTAATGTTGCAAAGTCTTTTGAATATTCAAGTTTCTTATAGGGTTCAACGTTTAAACTTTATGTAAAGTGTGAAATACGTGCAGTATAAACAATTACAATCACCATTATAATAACATCTGTTTTGTTACTATTTACTGTGATATTGTGTTGAGATTCTACTCAGTGGCTTAGCTACAGGGCGATGTATCCTGGCCGCCATCGGATGGGGATACAGGAAAACAAAAGAGAGAGAGAGAGAGAGAGAGAGAGAGAGAGAGAGAGAGAGAGGAGGGAGAGAGAGAGAGAGAGAGAGAGAGAGAGAGGGGGGGGGTGGTAGAGGACTTTGTCCTCTTCCCTAATAGGGGGCGTAGTAAACTCACATAATGATCCATTTAATAAGAACCGTGTCCCCCCCCCCTCCCCTCTAATGACAGGGGCCATGTCACGCCCCTGTCCTGCATGAAGAGAAACGGGAAATCGGCTGGAGCGGAAATATGCGTGCCGGGTAAAATAACGATTAAACAATTAGGAAATGAAGTGGTGTCTGAAACTAGGAGAGAAAGAGGAAAGTCGATATTATTTTTTGTTTTCCTGTTCTATATGAAACCAGAGTTCCAGCTTTAGTTCTCTTAATACATGCCATAACCTCAGTTCCTCATCACATGTTTGATATTATTCTTCCAATGTTTTTCTACAACGAAACAGAGAATTTAAAACAAATTAATCAAAAGAAATTGAGCAATGATAGATATATTTATCAACCTGACCGTATTGATTAAAACATATATGTAAACAAATTAGGGGGAGCTTCCCTATCACCCTCACCGTTGACACCGTAATACAGAACTTGAACTCTAGCTCTGTTTGCACATGACCAAGCACGCACTTTTCCTGAATAAAAACAAATATCAAGGAAATAATATGTATAAGTAGTCTTCTAGCTGCAACAGTAGTCTATATAAGATTTCAGTACTAATATTTGTAGAGAACAAAGACTTAGGATAATAACTGTCGTTACTGTTGAATTTGACATGCATATTAAAGGACGGAGAAGGGGGGGGGGTAAATGAATGGACACGCCCACTTTTGGAATTAAATGGGGCTTAACGTCTGTGTTATTTCCTTCTCCCTCCCTCCCTCGCCAAGTCAAATACATCATACATGTACGTGACGTTATATAATATTATCGCTATTGGTACACCGTTGTATTATAACACAGGTTGTATTATAATATTACTGCAAGTTATATATTGCTTGCAAATAGGCATAATCGCGATCACCTTGATTATATTTGTTATCTAAAGTGAAACGAATAATCTATTTAATTCCAGCTATACCTACATGCAACCTAGCTTACCTTCTATATTTTCGTTTTAATTGAAAATATGCGTATGTCCTTAGCCAAGAAATTTCGTCTATTATGGTCTATCTATAATTATGGTTACCTATAGCCCCCCCCCCCCGCCCCCACCCTCTCTCTCTCTCTCTCTCTCTCTCTCTCGCTTTTCCTCTTTCTCTCTCTCTCTCCACCCTCCCCCTCTCTCTCTCTCTTTCTCTTTCTCTTTCTCTTCCTCTCTCTGTCACTCCCTTCTCTCCCTCTCTCTCTTCCTTCGACTCCATGGTCACCCTATACACAAAACTCTCTCCTCTTTGACCATGCATGATCACCCCATACCACGTTAAGTGCATCTCAGTATGGCATGACCTTGGTAGAGGTTATAGGGTATTCCCATGCTCTCTTTCTATTTTTGATATATATTTTCCAGCGAATTCAGTGTCTGTTTACACTTGCACGCATTAAAACGGAATTAAACAACCCGGAAGTCACGATCGCCCACGCAAATTATATTGCACGGTACAAGCTACTGGGGCACTCAAACCGTGAGCAAATACCGATTATTATAATACATGTAGTTTCGTTTTCATGTTGGTGAACATATATATATATATTACACCTATACTCAATTTGCCTGGCTGTTGCTCCATGAAGAGGCGCATTAAGCGGTAGTGGTGTGTCGTCTATCTCATTATGATAATCATCCAGTACAGTGTCTACGCATGATATTATGGTGTCTATGCTCTGTATAGCTCGCAGTAAGTATATGAATGTATTTGACAGCTTGCCAGGCCATTCTGACAATTCCATTGTGTGATTACACAAGCGCATGTATTGTGTAGAACTGTACTTTTTCTTTAGCCTAATAGCTAGGTCTGCATGTGTATTATGTAGTATATTAGTCTTATCCTGTATACTATACGTCAGCTACAACTGTAGATGTACGCGTGTATTTCATTCCTACAAATGTATTTTGAAATCGAGATAACAGAGACGTACGCATTACAATATCAATATTATTATCTGTGTTACTCCAATCCTAATGGCCTCTTCATAGAGAACCTCATATCTCAGACTCAGATGACCCAAGAGCCTAAGATTTGGATGTACATGTATTGATGTATAAATATACAATCTTTATAAATATTTATATTTATATGTGATGTACAAATATGCTCATAACACGTAAATATTGATTTTTGTGTCATGCTCTCTTTCTCTCTCTCTCTCTCTCTCTCCCTCCCTCTCTCTCTCTCTCTCACCCTCTGCCTCCCTCTTTCTGTCTCTCTCTCTCTCTCTCTCTCTTTTCCCTCTGTGTCTGTCTCTCTTTTCTCTACTCCTCGATCCCTCTCTCTCTCTCTTCTCCTCTCTATAATAATGGTATCCTAATCAGTACTAAAACAGTTCTCCTGCTCTCTCTCTCTCTCTCTCTCTCTCTCTCGCTCTCTCTCTCTAATCCCCACCCCCTCTCTCCCTCTCTCTCTCCACCCCATACAATGTATTGTTAGGGGTAGACATAATCAATCTTGACATTGTTTCATCGTATGTATTTTGTATTTTTAACCCCCAAAAACATAACAATAATAAAACTATATTTATCAATGTTGGTTTTATAATAGCGATACGCGCATATCGTGGAAATATTGTAAAAGGATTGGAAAGCGTGTGTGTTTTTTTTTTGTTATGGGGGTGAGAAGACATGAGCCCCTGAACGCTAGTGTACTGATTTGGGGGGGGGGGGGGTATTTCTCATTCGATACCAGTGATGTTGCTGAAATGACATGATTTTCCGGTATCTTTTCTCCATTTTTTTGTAAGCCATACCTTTTTATGCGTTTGTTGGAAAATTAGAAATTCCCAAATTTATCGTCGGGCGAAAAATATGCTTATTTTAGAAGCCTTCATGTCAGGGCCTGCAGAACGGCTGGGCTCGGGGGCTCGAGCCCCCCTCACTTTTTGAAAAAGAAAGAGAGAGAGAGAGAAAAAGACCTGCCAATGTCACAAATGAGGTATCAAAATATGCTCATCTGAACGTAATTAAATGCCTAAAACCCAAGAGCTTACGGGGCTCTGCCCCCGGACCCCACCAAGAGCCCTAAGGCGATCCCCCGGATGCTCATCTTACCGTCTTCCGGCGCGCCTGGCGGCATCAGTCTTTCTACGATGTAATTGGATTAAGGTACCCCCCCCCCCCCCGTGGCTACGACTTTCTTCACAACTAAATTATATTCTTTCAATTACTAAAAATGCCATGGTTTTCTTTCACCACACAGGCCGTCATTGATTCTCACAGTCCAAGATGAGGAAGCCCAGTTCACAGAGTTCTTCAGCCAGCAACACACAAGATGACCAGTGTCCTCTGCACCTTGACACCGTTCAGGATGCCTACAGATTACCATGTGGCCATACAGCTTGTCAGGAATGTCTCTACGCCATTGCTACAGCGAGCAGGAAGTTCCGAAGACCACACATCACCTGCCCTGTATGCCAGAAGACATCCATGTTTGAGCCAGAGCAGAAGGACCTTGAGGATGCCCAGATCAGGGCGGAATCGAGATGCGATTTGAGTCGGACACCCTCCATCAGCGAAGAGCCGCGAAGCAGGTCGAGCAGTTTGAGTAGTTATGGAGGAAGCCCATCCATCTTGCATCCTACCAGACATCGGTACTCCATGGAGATCAACGAGAGTCTTGATATGGATGCATCTAAGCTCACCATCTCAAACGACCCCATGGTCAACAAACGCGTCACCATCACACTCAGTCTATGCGATCGGGACGGGAAAGTCATCATTCCGAACAGTAACGCATATATCAGAGCAACGATTCTTTTTCCTGATCAACAGCTAAAGGAAATTGAACTCTTTCCGTATCGGCCACAGTCGTTAGGAAACAGGGATCTAACTCGTTCCTTCGAGAAGGTCTTCATTCCTCAGAGCGTTGGCAAGTACGAAGTTGATGTTTCTGTCCCAGGTAACTCAAAGGAACACATCCTCGCTTTCATTCTGGTGAAACCAAGTGGCGGAAAAGTATTCGACTTACGAGGTATGTCGAAATTTAAAAACCCTCATGACATTTTCCTGACAGGTGGCCAGTACGTCATCACCGACAAAGGTAATCACAGAATAATCGTAACGGATCGGGAAGGGGTTGTCCAGATGGAATTCGGCTCTACACCACCCAAAGGGCTCAAGAGAATCGGACCTTTCGCAATCGCAGGAGATCCTGGAGCATATTATGTCACCGACGATGCAAATAAATGCGTGCTGCAATTCGTTCGCACGACAGCCAAACTGCGTCTCTGGGCAAAGGTTGGGCCATCGCCGACGGGAATTGCACTTGACATCGAACACGTCTATGTTGCGGATGCGAAGGAAAGCAACGTTCGAGTCTTCAACCGCCACGCACAACAGCTCTACACTATTGCCTATCCTGGAATCCTCGAGGGTGCTGTCAGTTACCCCTGGTTCATCAAGATCAACTCTAAAGGTAACCTTGTGATCTCGGACAGGAACAATTGCAGGATCCAAATCTTTGATCTTCAATCAAAGAAGTCTCTTCTTGTAATCCCAACAGAGTTCGCTGGCAAGAGATGGCACTGTCGAGGGCTCGCTCTCGATCGTCTCGATAACATCTACGTGACGTGTAGGCGCAGGGATTCTTGGCGTATCTGTAGCAAAGAGACCATCATGGTGTTCAGCACGACCGGTGACTACCTAGGAAACTTCGGAGAGCTTGGCGAATTCAATTATATCCGGGGTATAACCATCGACGATGACCAGGCAACGGCTGTGGTTGTAGATGGAGCCAATCATAGAATCAAAGGGTACCGATTATGAGCGTTATGAGCGTAGGTCCTTTGTGTAGGCTTAACAATAGGTTGGGGACACCGAGTTATTTTCCCTTAGATTAAAAGAGAGGGAGGGAGAGAGAGAAAGACAGAAAGAGAAGATGATCATTATAACAAAGTGGGGAAAGAAAGGGAGATGGAAAAAATTAGACCATGAGGAGAAAACTACTCTATAGCATCACGTACTCGGCCGGCTTCTCCGCTCTCTTGTATGTCATACTACCGTGCTCGTGCCCACCCCCCCCCCCCCCCCCTCATCCTTATGGCTGAACCCGCTCTAGGCCATTGCACACAGTGCCAAGGATATAGGAAGCAGAAAACTATATTACTTTCCGCTTCCATTTAAATTGAAATAGAGATATTGTATGAATATATGCATGGCATGATGTTCTCTCTCTCTCTCTCTCTCTCTCCTACATTTCTCTCTGTGCCATATCAAATATAGAGAATCTGATAATCATGCCATGTCTCAACTCTCCGCAGTTTTACTTCTCCAACTTCACACTCATTGCCTTTACAGTTACACATCCACATGTATTTTCATTTTATATCCAGAGTACTATAATCTTCTGCCTCGATTCTATAATTACCCTCCATTTTCCCGGTTAAAGAAATATTTTGCAATACTTCTGTTCGTAACGAGTGTCTATGAAGTTCATTTGGAAACTTGAGTTTACAAATCACTTTCCTGTTTCACTTAAAGGTAAAGACCAGTATTGGAAACGCCCCAATTTCAAAAAATGAAATGGAAGCTCTCATTACGAATCATGTGAAAGCATATGTTTTGACTAATACATGATGATAAAAAATTTGCCGGGAAACCGCCTACTAATTCATATATTTGGTAAATTTGTTTCTCTCATGGTCTGTGAGAGATATAGGGTAGTCCCATATACATCTTTCTGTGTATAGTGCTTGTAACTTTACTAAGAATGGGCCAAATTTATTATCATTTTGATGATTCCAGAACCTTGCAGATGCTAGATGCTAGATGATCAACCTTTTTGATCGATTCCACAACGTTTCTTTCACAATGCAATCGCGCATGACCATAACTGGTCTTTACCTTTAGTCTCCTCTCAGCGTTTCTTTATTGCGCGATCTATTCTTCAACGAGTCCTCCCTTCATGAGTTGCAAATATTTGTGTCGGAAGATCTGTACTTAACTAGGCTTTCCTGCGGCAAACCGTTTTCAGAATAGCGCTCCAGATAGAGAATATTACATTGTCAATGTCACACGGTCGAAAAGACTTGAGAAAAAAAATCTAAAGCCTTGTCCGTCACCATTGATAAATCCCCCGACTGCAGTTCACAAGGACCGGGGTTCGAGTCCAACCACAGACCTAATGTCCTTTGACAAGACGTTACTCTACATTTGCCCCTCTCCACCCAGGTGTTAAATGGGTACCCGGGAGGATGCGAAAGTTAATGTGGTTAGGTGAGCAAGTGTGCGCTTGTAAAATTGACGTGTGGCTGGAATGCTCCCCAGGGAGTGGAGAATCAGAATGTGCATACATTGTGTGCGGATAAGCCTGAATCCAACGTGGCATATAATAATTATGTAAAGCGCTTAGACACATCATTGATGTATTTAGCGCCTAATTCGCTATATGTTATTATTAGACAGAGTACCTAATCCGTATATGATTATATAGGTAATATACAATTAATAGGGTATTGGAATTGCCGTTAAGTTGTTTTCTTGAAAGTCTTTACGATTGCATTATGTGTTTTTGAGATACGGTAATATATCATAAATGCTGCCAAGCCAATTTCCATAACTTACGACCTTGTAGCAAAGATATTCAAGCAGAAATACACTTTTCTACGAGCGTTATCTTGCCCCGGTATCTAATATCGAGGGAAGAAGTGAAAGCCGGAGTGAAAGAGGATGTAATATTTTATATGGCTGACAACTGTACAAGGTCCGTCCGCCAGCTGACTTCTTTTTTTTTCATTTCTGGTCAGATTTATGCATTGTCATGTCCTAAGATTTGAGTTTGGGTTTTACTTACAAGGATTAGGACATCGTACTTTTTGTATGCGGTTTAGAATGTGTGTTATTCTTAATTTCTACACAGTTGCATGGCCAAAGGATAGAAGTTTCATGTATATCATAATGACAAATAATCTAATGTACCTTTAAAGAAATGATGATACTGTAGTGATGATGCTTCTAATTGATGACTTTAAAACTTGATCCAACTCAGTACCGGTACATGAAATTGTACTACTTTCCTACGTATAGCTTTTGTATACTTAAGTATTTATATTATATATTTTATTTTATATATTATAAAAGGGGATTTCCATTTTGTTTACTTGTGATATGTTTTTATGAATAATATATGTGTATCCTGCCTCTGTAATACTTTCCATATCTCTTGACAGATTATTGTTATTAAATACATTTTGTACGAAATTGAAAAACATATGTGCCTTCTTCATTTGACTGTATGGTGGACATTTTCATGATTTTTATTTTCTCTTCTGAATATACAATCGTTCATGGTTAGCTAAATACACAACTTCTACAATCTGTTTGAACAAAAGTTATGGTGACAAATAACAATTTTGGTAGAAATATTTGATATTTATTCATTTCACAAATGACTTGTATAACATTCTTGCTTCATAATCCATAGTTTCAAGAGTGAGATGATGTGGTATCCGTAACACAGGTGTATTTTGTCAATGCAAAAAACAGTGAAATACAATTTTCTTCATGATATTGATTAACTAATTCTATAAGTACGCATCTCTAGAAGTTCATACATTCCTAAATCTCATCCTCAGTAGCAGCGAGTCTGAGTCAGGAATATGATTATTCTCTTCTCTACAAATTTACTAGTCTTCATATACTTTTGCATAAAAAGTGAAACATGTAAAGATTTAAACCAACAATACAGGTAGTGCTCCATGCAAACGTTCTGCCTCTTGCTAATTACCATTTATTGTTTTATTATGACAATGATCTATGAACTGTGTGAACAACATGGCCTCTTTTTCACACACAAAAACACATACACCTGTATATACCATGCATATGAAAAAGAAACATTAAATACAGTAATGTATTAACATTTAAAAGAAATGAAAGAAAAAAGGAAAGTAAATCAAATCAAGTCACTGTAATCATTATAAATCTAATGACATGGAGAAAACATCTATGATTGAAAGCATGATCATATCATGACGGCCAATACCATCCAAAAAAAATTGGCCAACAACATCTATCTTAGATCACATAAGATTTCTGACATAATAAAATATATTTATAAGACTTTTTTTATTGGGACATTGAATCACGAAGATAGCTGAACTCTTAAGCCAGTGAACAGTAAGCAATTCAATTTAAGGCTCTAAAAGAACTCTTGCTAAAAAAAATATATACAATAAACATGTCACAATTAAATCTAATATTCACTTCAGCTAATTCCAAGAAAGTACCTGTAAACAAAAAGGTATTTTTATGGTAAACTTATGACAACAGTTGTCATGGACTATATACTTTACTCTCATTTCTGTGAAAAGTTTGCAATGTAAACAGTAGACTTGTAATTGCATCCATTGACTGAGGTACTGATACATGTACATGGTAGAAGACTTTGATCAGTATTAAAGATAAAGACCAGTTATGGTCATGCGATTGCATTGTGAAAGAAACGTTGTGGAATCGATCAGAAAAGGTTGATCATCTAGTATATAAGTATTGGTGTGTACTGCAAGGTTCTGGAAACATCAAAATGATAAGAAATTTGGCTCAGTCTTGGTAAAGTTAAAAACATTGTACACAGAAAGATGTATATGGTATCAGTTCCAAATAGATATAATAATTTACCAAATATATCAATTAGTTCGCGGTTTCTCGTCAAAATTTGTATCATCACGTATTAGTCAAAACATATTCTTTCACATGATTGGATATAAGAACTTCCATTTCATTTTTTGAGAGGGGGGCGTTTCCAAAACTGATCTTTACCTTTAACTCAAAAGGCCCCATAAAATAAATATAGCAAAGAATCCCCTCCTGTTTCAAACATTCTGTAGGAAATCTGTGCTGGAAAATATTAAGATCCTTGTATGTTCTTAAAAAGTGCAAAAGTAAAATAAAGCAATTTTAGCATTTCTCTCATTTGGGTAGTCTATACTAGTATTACAGACATGTGAAAACGAATTGTGAATTCACAGATTTGGATGAAGTTACAGTCCACTGTCATATTTTATACCCTTGTGGATAGGCTCACTTGCAAACCTGTGTCAAGTCAAGAGAGACAATCGCAACTTCCAAAATGGTGATTTAACAGGATCCTTGGATAGCAACTTTGCCTTCACAGATGAAAAGAAGGTGGGGGGAGGGTGTGAAAAGATAACAAATAAATTTTCTTAACGCCACGTTTAAAAAAAAAAAAGTTGTCATAAATGAACGTTCAAGTTTTAACATTTGATAGGCGATGTTGTGGAGAGTACCACTATCAATTGTTTCAAATCTGGGCTTGAGAACTGGTGGAAATATGCCCCAGATAAATATGATGACAACCCCAACCAAAGGAAACCATGGATAGGAACAACAGTCTAAAAACTGAATAATCCTGGATCAAGTGAGTTACAAGTGAGCATAACGCTAGCTTCATTGTTTAATTGGGTATGATGCAACTATTTGTATAAGAGTAGGGCATAACCCCGGTGTAGTGATCCACCCGCACATCCCAATCAGTTATACCAGAAGGAGAGACCCAAGGGTTACAGTGATTCAGTTCACTTTACCTGCATAGGCACAGGTAACACCCCATGCTAAATATTGATAATGATATATATTATATTCCATGGGAATAAACTTTACAATGATGATACCTACATCATACATATATGTCTGTTTCAGGAGGAAACACAAAGCCATTTTAAAGTCTTGACTCATTGTTCAATACCTAAAATCCATAGGTGTAATTTGCTGCTAAGGCAAGGAAGGGTATAAACCACTTGAAACCTGAGCACGGCGATTTATGCCATATTCATTTTGGAATCTTGTGAAGTTTATGAGCAAAGGATAGGAGTGTGAGTGAAGCAGCCTGGTCAACTGCCGAAAGACTGGTCGGTACATACAGGAAAGGAGTAGAACTTCTAAGTGTGATCTGAATGAAAGTGAGCTTCAGTTATGTTCATTTTGGAATCCTGCGTAACTCGTGAGCAAACCAGAGGGCTAAAGATAGGAGTGTGAGTGAACCAGACTGGTGAGCTGCTGCAAGACTGGTCGGTACGAAGTAGAGAAGAGTACAGATTCCAAGTGTGATCTGACAAAGACAAAAACAGAATTTCATCCAGTAATGGAAATATCTTATCATAAACAAGGCTCATACATGTAATATTTATTAGTCCCCTCTTCAACCTTACAAGTACTTGCAGATTAATCATATTTGCCTCAACTGAAATATGGATATGGACGACTGCAAATACTGACATTGGCTCATGGCTTTACTTTGATAAAGATATACACTCTTGGTTAAGGGTTGCAGTTTTCTTCAGGTAAAGTGTAAGATTAGGGTTATATGTTAGGTATAGCGTTTGGTCAAGGGTTGAAGTTCAGACCTTGGTCAGAGTAGGAAGTCGGTTATCAGAGTATTTGTTGCCAGAGCATGTGTCATAGAATTGGCAGCAGAGCAAAAAGCCACGATCATAATAATCTTGTGGACCCCAAATAGCTTCCCAGGCAGGTAGAGCAAATAATCCCCTATTTACTCAATTAGATTTTTAAAATACCATGCTCTATTTGAGTTTGGGTACATTCAAGATGCATATCAATTCACAATGAGACTGACATACCTGAACACCAACCATTCCCACCATGCAGTTGACTGCTAACCTAGCTCTGCTTGGTAATGGTACCCGCCGTGCTAATAACCACAGACCTGCTACCGTCGCTCCAGTCGTTGTGCCCTGTTTGGAAAAGTGACGAGAAACAAAAGGATGTAAAAGGGGAACATGAATAACTAAATTAATCAACTAAAGATCTGCTCAAATGTACATGTTTTAATACTATCAATATGAAATGATATTGACAATTATGTGTAGTTAGTTCATCAGGGGTGATAGTGAGCGCTAAACAAAAAATAGGTTTTTTGTTTTCCCCTCAACCACACCTCCCTTGGGTAAAAAAAAAAGAAGAGGATTCATGGGGAAACAAATGGCATCTAACAACATTCCCCCTTTTCGAGTAAGAAAATTGGGGAAAAAATAGTGAAGAATAGAGAAAATAAGGGGGGAATCAGGAAAATCAGAATAAAATAGGGTAGGAAAAAAAATCTGGTAAAAAAAAAAAAAAAAAAAAAAAATCTGATTTTTTTTTTTTTTTTTTTTTTTTTTTTTTTAAATCGGGAAGAAAAAAAAAATCGGGAAAAAATCGGGGAAAATAAAAAAAATCGGGAAACCGATTTAAATCGGGTTTTTATCAGGCCTGGTTCATAAACAATTTAGTGATTACACACCCCCCCCCCCCCACACCCACCCATTTTCTTTGGACCATCAAGACTCAAGAGGTTGTTTCACTTTTGAATTCTTCTAATGATATCTAAACAATCACATATTTACATTGCTCTACAATCTAAATCCTTTGAGGAGTAGATTTCTATGTCAATGTGTTTGAGACATATTCACTTGAACCTCATTATAAAAAGCTCTGATATGACAAGGTATCTGTTACAACAAGGTGATTTTGCTGGTCCTAGTAGCTCTTTATATTCTTTTCTATTTTCAATCTGATATAACAAGATTCCTGATACAACAGGGTAATTTCCATGGTCCCAAGGATCTTGTGATAACGAGGTTTCACTCTAATTTGCATTTAATAAGCATTTCTAATGGGATACACCTGGGGGATGTTTCACAAAGGTTCTAAGTCGAACTTAACTCTAAGTTGGACTTACAAATTATGGAGAGCCATTTGTAGCCTTAAAATAAAATATATTCAAAAGCAAAAATTGAAGTATTTTAGACTTTTAATAAATTCCACATCAAGAACATGAAATATCCCATGATGATTGATAGAAAATATGAATGATTTGAATCAACATTTATGCATTTTAAAATAAATTTTACAAAATATTTTCAAAGATGATAACGGCTTTCCATAATTGTTAAGTCCAACTTAGAGATTAGTTCAACTAAGGATCTTTGTGAAACACCCTCCAGGTGTTATATTAGGCTTTGTACTCATCAAGCTAAGATGAAACTCACCAAGATTCTGTGGTCAAACTGGACTGTTGTGGGATTCTCAAAGACATTCTTGTATTTGGGATCAAGAGCCATGATGTCTTCAGGAATCCACTTGTCTGCCATCTTGGGGAAGGAATTATAGACCAGACCTGCATCCAAGCCTGCTACGAAGGCACCTGATTGGTAGGTGGAACAAGAGGTCGAGGTAGAATCAATGACTATATCACTCTAAAGAATTACTAACTGGTTAAGCAATCTAGCATGATATTGATAAGTTTTGAATTTACTTTTTAAGGGCTGATAACAACAACAAGGATAAGCTTTATTTACTGTTCTTACGTACATAAAATTCTAAATAACTTTGCCTTTATTAATCAATTGATCTACTTCATTCATAAGTTGGAAAGGTAACAATTTCAAACCCTAAATTGTAACAAAGCAAAGTCACTTCTATAATTAATGAAGGTGAAATACATCCACATGCTGTAGAAGCAGATGATTATATGTCCACACTAGAATATCAAAACATGGTTATTTAAAAAAAATGTTCAGAAGCTGATCTAAATGCTTACCTGACATCGCTGTAGTAAAAATAATAGCCATCGAACCATGAGCACACTTTCTTAGTAGCGACAGGTTCTTGCTGTTAGCTATCTGTGGAGTCAGATATAATCAAAAGAAGATTTTTTTTTACTAATTTGATATAACCAATCTCATTGAATAGAATGCAAATACATACAGGATAATAATAATAATAGTAATATTTAATTTGTATATAGCGCTTAATACAAATGTCTCTAAGTGCTTTACAAATATACTATTACCCCAGTCATTGGATTCAGTGCTTGCCCGCACACACTGTGTGCACAATCTCCACTGAATCATCTAATTTTGTTTTGAAACTTGACTAAATGACCTAAAAATAAAGGTTACCTGTACTGTACTCTTAAAAAAATGTATGTACACATCAAAATCATTGAAAACATGACTTATTGATTTGGGATGGATGATGAAGTTCAGGACAACACACATATCATACTCAATGGATGGCAATTGATGCATAATTTATAAAGATTTAAAACCTATGTACCACACACTGACAAGTTACTCAAAGAACTATCACTTAAATATCATGACATATCCTTAAAGAGAAGGTTGAGTTCTGGGAAGAAGTGAAAAATAATTTGTGAGCGTCATCATTCTTATTATGCAAGTGTGGAAGAACATCAGATAAGACATGTTCCCTGAAAAGCATGGCTCTTCAAATGCCTTTATATTCTAAATATGTCATGTAACATTGTAAAACTCGGGGGGGGGGGGGGGGGGGGTAGGATTTTTACGCCACGTGTTCGTGTAGTCCCATATACATCTTTCTGTGTACAGTGTTTGTAGCTTTACCAAGCCTTTGCCAAATTTCTTATCATTTTGATGATTCCAGAACCTTGCAATACACACTAAGTCTTATATGCTAGATGATCAACCTTTTCTGGTCGATTCCACAACGGTCCTTTCACAATGCAATCGCATGACCAGAACTCAACTTCATCTTTAAACTGAAATGCTGAAATGAATCAGTCATACCGTGAGGGGTTTGAGAATCTGAGAGAGACCTCCCCAGAGCATCAAGGAGTAGAGGACGAAAGCAGAACCAAGATGGGCAGCTAGGCGATACTGACTGACCCGTGGAATGTCATGCTTGGCTGGTTCTTCTAGACCACTCTTCACCATAAACCAACCCAACAAACCCTAAGGGGTATAAAAGAAGGCAAAAAAAAATGAAGAAAATCGATTATATTTTTACACAAAAGGCTACACTTTCAAGAGCCTGTGTTCTAGATAAATGTTGAACAATCTTGTAATCAAACTTACTATTAAAACTTTACAATTACCTTAGATATATTTATAATATATACAATTTATAACACAGTGAACATCTGCCTTAGTGAACATCTGCATAGGAAGATCACCTGTCTATAAAGACCCCATATTATGTTTCCCCTGATAAAAATTACTAACTGAAACCTGTATGAAGGTAACCTGTTCATAACAATAACTTGCATATATTTCTTGTCTCCCTTGAAGGGTCTTCATATATTCATTTCCCTTTGTTTCATTTTGGCTTGGTATCGTTGAATCTTGAAAAAGAAAAATCTTACCTGAAAGACTAGAAGGGAGCCATAGATGCCCAATCTTGGTTTGAGAGACTTGCTGATCCACCCTTTCTTCCAGAAGATTGCTGCCGGAATGAAGAACGCCAGACCAATAGCCCTACCCCACATTCTATGACTATACTCCATCGTCCAGATAAACTTGAACTGCTGAAGAGTTATCCCTTTATGGACGTACTTGTATTCTGGAAACTGCTTGTACCTCTCAAACTCCGCCTCCCACTGTTCCTGGGTTGTAGGAGGCCTCATACCTTTGATGAGATGCCAGTCTGTCATGGACAGGCCGGACTCTGTCAGCCTTGTGACGCCTCCGAGCACGACGGTACCAGCGATCATCCCACAGCATCCAAGCAGCCATGCTCCGACAATCTTCTCTGCTCTGGGAGAGATTGTGTTCGCAACCGTAGCAGCAACCGTGGTCTGGACTCGGCTTGGCTTCAACACCATGTGAACCTGTCCACAATGAGAAACATACAAATATATTGGTCATTACAATGGATATGCAGGATAAGTTTTATACATAAAGTGCTTTAGTAATGGGTGTGTCCCAGAAAATACTGAAAAATAGGGTTGGACTTTGAAGATCTGCTTTAATCATACTCTTTCTTTGGTCACATACTTGACATTAAACATAATGCGGGATTATCCGGGATAGCTTCAAGGAGCTGCAGAAAGAGATTATCAACTCCAGATTTCAGGTTTGATGTAACTAGACCACTTCCAAATAATGCAGCCTTTGCAGGTAGATGTTTACACTCATAACCCTCTATTATTTTTGGAAGATTTCATGGATGCCATAACAAAATATTATTTCTAATTCTTCTACTCTATCAGCCTTAGAATTGACGACATCTTTCATCCCCTTCCCAATTGTCTGTTTCTGCACCTGTCTCTCCATCACTCCTTTAAGCCATACTTCCTCCCTATCACCAGGATCACTATTTCAGGATGCACACTTTTGTAAATAGACATATTTTCACCTTTGGTTTAAGAAACTGCACAAGACCTCCTCTTGTTAAAGACAGGCTCCCAACTCTGCATGTTGCACTCTTCTGCTGCTGCTGCAAGCAGCGGGAACAAGAGTTTCTCTGGATGCAATGTAGTCCCTTACGAAAAGAAAATAAGAGGAAATTGTTTTTCATTACCTAAGGCTAAGCTTTAAAGTCTATAAATAAGTAACAACCAAACAAACAAATATCAAAAACTTTAGTTCAGTCAGCGACGGTAATGATGAATTGCCGAGATTAATTTAATGGGGTTCTGAGACTATACAGTCACAAACTTCACGCACACGTGCGCCCGCACCCTACAGTCGATACGGTATGCAATGGTATTGTGCAGCAGTTTGCCGTGAATCCTGTGAGAAAGTGTATTATAAATCTTTGTTTTTAGGAAAAATACTCTGAAAACGATAAGAAAATTGACACAAAAACAACTTTTAAATCATGACCATTGTTTGAACAATTGATGAAGATTTAGTTGATTTTTGGTATGTTTTAGTACATAGGGTATCTTCACGCCAGAGTTATATGGGTCAATATAGGGATATGATAATGATTCTGAATTATTAGCGCCCATTCTTCTGTTCAGAGCGGGAAAAGAAACTTCTCAATAATGACAAATATATTTCATGAAACTTGGAAGGACAATGCAGCATTGCAGACATGAAAGTAGTGTTCATCTAGCGCATCTAGTGCATCTCAACAACAGAAAGGCAAGATAACTGATAGATCTATATAATAAGATAAAATTGGTTAATTTTATTTTTAAACTGAGGCTGAAATTAATTATGGAATGATAAAATTTTTAAAATAGATCTAGGCATAGCATGAAATAGAAAACACACCTTCTGTACTCCAGCTCTATCCAAGATATTGGAAGACACTCGAAAACACTGAGGCCTCAGGAGAAACATTGTTGCGGAGAATGTAACAACTTTCAGATATTCTGGTTGCTGTCGAGCTCAAAATCCTGTGAAGTGTGAAGTCGAGAAACTCTCATTACGAAATACACATAAAAACCACTGTTGTGCAACAAAAACGATTTTTATGAATTTGACGACCAATATGCAAAGAGCTATTGCAAGCTATGGTGTCTTTAAACAGACGGACATAAAGATATTTGCGTCAACGTCCCCATCAAATTAGTTTATACTCGACGGAGGAGGGTGTAGTCCGTCATCTGTACGACTCACTCATCACCTTAGAATAAAAATGTGCTGCATAATATTCAATTGCTGGCTTCGGACACAAGAGGCTGATCCGGGATTTGTCAAAGAGGGGGCATAAAATAATGATTTTTCCCCCCTCCTAGAATCTAAAAAAACTTGCATCAGATTTGGAAGTGCCTTAATTCCTATTTAATATTCTCTGACAAGCACAAAAAGGTCAACATTTCAAAAAGAGGCTTACAGTATATGTCCCTCAGTTCTCAAGGCAGCGGGAGTGGGGTAGGGATCGAGGGGGCGGGGGGGCTATTGACACAGTGCCCGCGTGGGCCCGTTCATCAACTTCAAATGACTTAGCTGTACTATGAGATTGTGCTTGAAACCCCGGCAGGATTGGTGATTTCGTATAAATATTAAGATCTTTTAATTGATGCTCATGAATCTTCAGGCAATTACACACAAGTTGCAAAGTATGATGCTGAAGCAGTATAGTATCTTTGTATGGCGCCACATGAAGAGAATGTGTTAGAACATCATCCCTGATACAATGTAGGGGTATACAGTGGCGTACGCAGGATTTTTTCAAGGGGGGGGGGGGTTAAAATCGGGCCCAAAATTTCGCAACGACTCAGCTTTATTATTTTGCTCCCGAAAATTTGAAAATCCCTCAGTTTTCTCTCTTTTCGTCTTTGGTGAGTAGATCTTTTCAGGTGCGAGAAATTTCCCTTTTGACCTTTGATATTTTTGCCCTTTTTGTTACTTTGACTCGTGCCCCTTTTCCTTTTTAATAAGGGTTTTTTTTGTTTGCTTGAAAAGAAAAATGCATTAAGAAAAAAAAGAACAAAATAGACGGGCTGTGAACTAGGGGAGGGAGGGGTTGAAATTCCGAAATGCATTTCTGGCTGGAAGAAAAACAAAGGAAAATTCGATCACCATCAAACGCTGCAATAAGAGGGCAGGCCGACGTGCACTCTAAACTGTAATTTTGTCTAGCTATCGTAAAAATCTTTTACAAGAATATTGGGAGGATTGAGAGGATTGGGAGGATATTGGATATTTTAAATGTAAAAAACTGTCAAACCGTTAACCTATTCAAAACTAGTCTCAAGACACATTTATTCAAAATTGCGTTCGATGATTAATTATCTCTGTTCACTTTGATGTGTATTCCATATGTATTGTTATTTGTAGGTTTATTTGCATTTTTAGTTTTGTATAAGATGTAATTGTATATCAGTCTATTTTGTGTGTATAGCGCTTAGAGACTTCGGTGGTAAGCGCTTTATAAGTAACGTTTTTATTATTATTATTTATTATTATTGGGAGGACCTGCAAGCCGATACTTACAAGCAACATCTAAGAATATTGGCTAGATATCTGGCCCTTATTATTTTGGCTGCATTGTTTGGGCGAGGCGCTCTTGGCCAATCATTTATTTTGGGCTATTTCATTACAGAATGAATTATATTTTTTTAAAGAATGAGTTTGGCGTTTGGCGAAAATGGTTTCAAGTTTGCTAGCTAGGAGATACCATATTACTCAAATTGCGTGATTTTATTTCTCCTACATTCAACATTTGTCCATGGAAACAAGACGCAAACAGGCGAAGAATTGGACATGATTCTGTGAGTTTATTTCTTTATCCCTTAGTCTTATGTAACTTATAACTATTCGTAATGAGCAAGAATAATTAAAGATATCAACAATTTGAAATGTTCAATTATTTAGTAATTTAGTGTGATGATAACATCGCATTTTGTTTGCCACAATGCCAGCGACTGTCGCTTATGTCCCACACGTTCAAAATTATGTTGGAGATTACATTGTGAACGAAAAAGAAGGGAACATTGTCATTGTGTAATATCTTCTATATATCAAATGAATGGATCATAGATCTAGGCATAAATATTAGGACATGATAATTCCACTAATCATGCTTTAGACTTAGTCTAGTGGTGTGTTGTTGTTTTTTTCAAATTCATATCAAGTAAATTTCTAGATCTAACCAGATTGTTAAAAATGTTTTGATTTTGGAAAATTAGAGTTTGATGAAAGAGTTATGTCTCAGCAATAAGTTTGCTTAAATATATTTTCTGCTCATTTCAAACACTATTATTAATTGCCATACATACTAACATAGTCTTGACATTGCAGATGTGCACACATCAGCAAATTTGGTTCAATGTTGTTAAATCAGCAATGCAATCCATGACATGTCAACACTTTTTGGCTTTTTCTGGCATGGCCACTTGGACATGTGCATCTAAATGGTTCAATGGACCTCTGCCACAGAAAATTGTGAAATCTTAGGAAATAAAAAAATAAAAAAATGAGCTAAGTGGTGTGATGTTTGCTCTCCCCATGATGTCTCTTGATATGATAATTTCAAAAATTAATTGGAAGTGAAAAACTAGGATAATTTCAATATGAGGTTGTTTGAGATTAGAGCAGATCTATGATCATGATGTGATATTATAATGGGCAGCCCTCGGTTGGCACCTCTCAGTTAAAGGGTTGGTTTTATTGTTGCTAGTCTTTAACTTCATACTAATTACATGTACACTGAAAAGTACCTTCAGTGAATGTTATGGCCATGCATGATCAACACTTCTTTACCATTAATGAACTGCATGTTTACTTTACTATTTTTGTGTGTGATTTATCCAGAAGTTTTGGGGAAGTTGATGAGGATTGGTGATGGAGATCGACAGCCTGTCTCGGCCCCTGCTTTTCCCCTGTGCTGATAGAGTCAAGGTACCACAGGTTGGGTCTGATGAATCCAAGCTCAAGAGCCACTTCTCCTTCCTATCACAAAGTTTGCCTCCAACCCGCACCCAAGATGCGCAGGGCAAAATTCACCAAGACTATGTGAAGAAGATAAGTACCGATCTACTTTTCAGCGAGGCAGTAATACGCAAGCATGCCGCTCACACACTTCCATACAACAAGGTAGACCTGAACGGGACTTTTGATTCTAAAGGAATTGTGAAGAAGAAACCTTTGAAGAAGATTGGGTCTGTTGGAAGGCATACCCAGCATGGATATGAAAAGAAACATACCCCTTGCCACATCACCACGGTATCAGAACACAAGCTCAAGCCACTCCAACCCAAGAAGAAAAAGATTATTCCTGACAGAGATGATGAGATTGTGTCCGAAGCTGGAACTGTCCTCAAAGGGAAGAATGCCTTCCTCACTGAAACTGAACAAGAAAATGAATTAGAAGAGGATGCAGAGATCAACTCTGATTCACAGCAGAATACAAAGACTAGACCAAAGGAGTCTGAGAATTGGGACTCTCACGTCTTGATGAACCTGAGCAAAGCAACAGCTAGATGGATCGTCAATGAGCGCACACCTCAAGGTCCCCAGAAGGACAGACTCACTAAGCTACTGGTTGAGAAGTTTGGAGAGGCCTCTCAGCTGGATACTCTGATCCGAGATGACACCAGCGTGAGTGAGACAGGGGTAGCTGAACAGCCTGAACAAAGAGCAGAGAGTAGAAGCTCAAAGAAACAGAAATCAGCGGTTTCTGAGGCTAGAAAAAATAGCAGTGAAAAGGAGAAGAAAGAAGGAGAGGAAGGAGGGGAAGACGAAAATGATGAGGAAGATGTAAATACACAACCTTTAGCATCATTCTATCGTCTGCCAGGGGGAGTCAGGAGAAAACATAGACAGCTTGCCATTGATAGTCTAGGTAGGGTTCATTAGACAAAATATGTCGTCTCAAATTCCTCTCACATTTCTGTTTTAATCTTGACTCTATTCTTTTGGGCCTTTGCAGCAAATGAATGCAAGTTACCATCATCTGCAATTTCCCTGATATTACATGTAGGCAATCATTATACAACTACAGTGTACAGTTCCAACTTTTTTCTGATTCATACATTTCAAGGTTTAATTAACAGATACATGTAGCAAACATTTTTTTTCTTCAGTGATGTCGTGGGATTTTATATATTGGTATGGGGTATCTTCCTGAAAGAAATACACCTCAACTTTTTAGTTGGAAATGCACATTTTAATCAAGTATGTTTGCTGCGGTTTTCGGTGATACAATATGATCAAGATAGCAAGAATGCATTGAGTTTCCCTATATCAAAAGATTACCATTGAATCATAACCAATGGAGGTCAACCCAACTTGAGTACATATTCAAATTTCAATATGAAATTTCCCACTGACTGGTTCAATTATTGCAGGTGCTATCAACACGACTGCTCAAGACATCCAAGTATTCCGTCGTAAGCCCAAGCCTCCTCCTACCCTCAAGGATGTAATGAATCCTGCTATCGGTGATAAGATGCTGGATACACACAATCAGTTTGAACAAGAGTGGTTACTTGGTAAGTTTTACCTGTCAATGTGAATAGATCCTGTGTAGATATATCACCTTTAATAAAATATTGTTCTGTGCCTAGAAGGGCAAGAACATAATTTGGTGAGATTTTGAAATTTTCACAGTTGTGTACTAACAAGATAGATATAGAGTAGTGATAATAAGTTAAATGACGTACGGTGTAGTATAGTAAAAGAAAGATACAAATAAAAATGAAAATTTTCTTAAAATGTACATTTTAATTTGCATCACTTGCCTGATGATAATGAGGTTTAATGTCATTACATTCTGACAGTGTAAAAATGTTTGACAATATGGCAAATTACTTTTTTTAGTTAGAAGGTGTGAAATGTTCAAAACCTTAAGTTCTCTGAAATGTTCAAGAGCCTTAAAGTTATGTAGGTCTGAATATTTTCAATTTAGATGGCTATTAATCTTATTTGCATTATACACAATTTATCATTTCTCCCTGATATCTCAACACCTAACCACAGGTGCACAGGTGATTCATCAGCCTAGTGATTCAAAGCTCCACCTGGATTCTGGGAATGTGTATCAGGTCTCGACACGGAAGAGCTTCCCTCAGGACCCTGTGTCTTGGCACACAGAGAGCAAGAAGAAAACAAAAGATAGAAAGAGCAAGAAAGATAGAGAGAAGAAGAAGATAGATATGCCTCAGCATGGATACAAAAAGTGGAATAAACTTCCAGAACCAATGCAGGTATAGAGCTAGCTTTTCTCTCATTCATGATTTTTTTTTCTTCAGTGGACAGTGGGAATAATAATTATCATTGTGAACTGTATCTAAACCTATTGTATTTTTTTTAAATAAATGACAAGATTGAGTGTGTTATTAAAAAAAAAATGGTCTATTATTTAACCTCATCACAGTCATTCCTTTGCCTCACACAAATACTTTGACCTTGTGACTGCAATTCTTCAAGCCATTAGATAGAGAGAAGATGAAGATAGATATGCTATTTATCTGGGGTTTTTTTTTTTTTTTTTTGGGGGGGGGGGGGGTTGTGCATATATTCGTGTAAGTAAATGTTTAAATATATTGTACTCTCCTCTTGCTTCGAGCACTTCAACTTTTTTCAAAAGGGGATTATCTCGACAAGACCGCCTTAGTCTTTTATGGTACCCTTGACTCCATGTATACAATGATTTACATCTGTGCTGTATTTTTGATTGGTATGTGTATATGCTTTAATTAAATAAAATTGAACTTGAGATGTAGCATTTATACGATGGGACTGCACAAACATTGTTTGTATGATTAGTTGATAGGATGATGGAATGTTAAGGAGCAGGATGACTCAATAGTGTATTTCATATACTTCTTTTCATTTCACATAATTTTTTACATTTATGAATTAATTCATCCTTTGTGTAATGAGTAAGTTAAACTGATTATTTCATTATTTCAGGAGGAGCTGATGGATATTCATGAAGCAGGCTATGATGCAGAGGCTCATAGAGAACCAGATCCAACAACATTCAAGAGACACAAAGAAAATCCATCGCTAGTACAACTAGGTTAGTCTTACTTCATCATGACTATGTCACTGAAGCTCTTTTTAAGTGACATGGACAACTAACATATCCTACCCCAGATTTGGACTATTTGTGTTTAGACGAGGGACTACCTTGCTTTCTGAAAGACAGCAAGAATGTGAATTCAAATATATCTAATGGAATTATTAACCCAAAAGAACAAAGGATAATAGCTCAATATTTGTGTTTGAACTGTATTTAGAAACTGAACATGGAACAGAAATGGCTATATTACATGTATATATTAGACACTGAGAGACCTTTTAGGTCCAAGTTTGATATAACTGAAGTAAGAATCTGGAAATAAAAGTGTCTAATAAGATTGAAATTGACTAAGGGTTATTCTTAGAAATGGGATGGCTTGAGTTTCAGACAAAGGCAATTTCCATTTGGTAAAGCATTTATCTTCAATTACCCAGTCCCTCAGGTACGTGCAAATTAAAGATTTACACCTCTTGGAGCTAATATTTGCAAGCTTACTTTTGCTTTCTCAGCATTTATTTAAAATGAAAGATTTTTTTTTAAATCAACAGTTATGATATATCATCCCCCTTCTCTCTTTACACCTCTAGTTGATGAATGGAGAAATAAATGGCACCTTGGCAGCAAGTGGTACGACAGCTCCATCAACGACCTTGAAAGAGACATGAATGACATTAATGAGCATGTGAGATTACAGGCCATAGCAACCATCGCTAAGGCAGCTACATTCAGACCGCCTGATGAACCTGGTAGCGTCTCTATTTCAAGTGAGTGCTTCTATAAGAAACTGGATAACAGAAACCTGTTTTTTTATTCAATTCAGAGTATGCACACTTTTTGTAGGATTGTCGTATTGATGTTACAGGTGTCTCTGGTATTAAAGTGACCCTATATTCACCAGGACCTTAGAAAATCTATTTGAATTATAGTGTCCCTATATACACCAATGTCTCACAAAGGTATTATTGTGATGATTAATGATCTAACTTCCAATGTGTCTTATATCTAGATAACGAGTTTGGTGAGTCATCCTAGCCTTAACATGGCAGTCATAATGTATTTAATGAAGTTCATATCATATATGTAAATGTGTGTTTGAAAAATAAAGAATGGGGATTTTTCTATGAATCAAAGAAAGTGAAAATGATTAAATCCACAAAGGATTTGAATAATGACATTGGATGGAAATTATTTGCTTATGTAACATTATGAATAGATATCTTTGAAACAATATACAAATTTTATTCTCTGATATATTTTGTTTGTATTACAGAGCCTTCCAACCTCAAAAGTCGGCTTACCGGAATCTTTACTAAAGTAGCGAAAGATGCTACTTCACATGGTGTGCTCCCAGCCAAACTCCTAACATGCGTTGAGAAGTCTCTTTTTGATCCCAGTCCGAGAGTTTGTGTGACTGCTGCCATCGCTCTGTATACACTGAACAGGCCAAATGAAGAGGTAGGAGCTAGTGTGCCATGTTTCTTCCTCTCATTCAGCCACTCATTATATCATGTGCTTTCTTAGGACTGAGGAGTGATGCAGATGTGTTAGGGGCAAGCCAAGTAGTGCATAATTGAGCTGTTTAACTTCAAAAGGGAAAAATGGGCATTAATCTGTTATATGTAGCTGTATATATGTTTGCTCTCGTTCACCTACATGTTAAAAATGCTGCTTTATTTAATGCTATAATGGTGCTAAATTAGGTAAATACTTGCAACACCTCAGCTTCTGTATCTACAGTATGTATATATATGTATTCTTTGATAATTTTGGTGGAAGGGTTCATTGTTTGAGCAGTGCAGCATTTATACATATATATGTACAGGGATTTAAGATAGTAAAAAGATAACTCAAATTTAAAATAAAGACTCTTCTTCCTGTTGTAACCATGACAAATCACCTAAGTGCCTTTATATAGGCAGTTCTCATGGTTGTATTTTGGAAGTGGAGGATATTATGTTTGAAATCTCATGCAATTAGGCCGATATTTTTGTGTCAATTAAGTTTCCAAATTTCTTTCAATTTGGTTTGACTGCATTATCACTCTTCCCTTCATCATAATTTGATAGATGATGAATTCTTGCTATAGAAATTTGCTTATTTTTTGTTTTTCAAATATTTTGTTGAATAATTAATAAGGCACTATTAATTGTTGTGTCCTGGTTCTTCAATTCCTTTTCTAGTTTAATATTTCTAGAATTAGTATTCATTAGGTAGTCGGTTAGTTAAAATTAATTTTTCTTTTTCTTACCTTGTTAGTGTAGCATACACCGTACATATCTTTAATTTGCTTGTTGCATGACATTTGACTTCAGTTAAAGATAATGCCATTGTTTACACATATTATTAGAGTGTATTTAGGCTCTGAATAGATACATCAAACCGGTCAACTTCCTGGATCATCTTTGATATATTAGAAAAACAGATTTCCCAGTGATGTGTACAGTATATAATGTCATATTCCTTTAATTCATGCAAGTACTTATTTCTCAAACACTTCAAGTGAAGGGAATATTCATAATCATGTCCCCTCAGAAATAAACTGATTATTTCTATCTTTTCTGTATGCATGCATTTCAAATCAATGACACTATTTACCACTTGCACAGATATTTATATGTTTCTTTACATTTCACATTCAGCTGTTCAACTCATTTTTAGTTCCTGATTTAGACGTTTCTCATCTCACTCTGCATGTTCTTTTTATCTTACTTTCTGATTTATTTCAATGCTTTCATTATAATGCTGGATTTATAGCCACCATATGAGCAGGTAAGCTGTAGTATATGGGTGTGCTCCTAACAGAGAACTAACCTAATATATCCTCAGGTATATTGTGTGAAGCTGCTGCTATGGGTACTATTTAACATTCATAATGACATGATGCAGCGCAAAGCATTACAGATAGCAATGAAGCTGGACACAACAACAAAATAAGTGACAAGAGCATTCTACTAATATTTTATATATTTTTGTCAACTTTGAATATTTATTGAAGCAATTCGGTTATTGGATACTTTTTAGAATGTTGAATAGTACCTTTGATTATATCCCAAAGAATTTGCAGTTTACCTCTTTTCTGACTGGTATATATATACATACATAGTTTGGGCCGTGCAATGTATTGGTTTTGTAATTATGCAGCTTTAATATTGAATAACTCTCAACGTGAATTGGAAGGAGGAAGCTTGGATCACCCTTCAACATTACATACAAATATATCTACCGGTACTTGTGTGGCTTGCATGGTCAAAACCAAAAAAGTGAAGTAATACAAATGCTTCAACTTGAATAATTCATATTTGATCTTACATTCCTGTTAGTGTCCTTTTCAGTTTCAAGAGCTGAGTTCAGTTAAGGCTGAGGTTGATCAAGTTTGAAAACTTGAATGAATTTTTAACACCTTATAAGATTCCATCTTTACCTTTTTAAATCGTCATAAAAGTCAATATAGATCAGTGAATGGTTTTGTGTTATTTCTGAGTCTGCATATTGTCCATAGAACATATCAGCTGATATTAAATATGATTTTGACATTTCCTTATGCAATAAATACTTATTATAATAATTTTGAAAACAAATGTTCATTATATTTGCAAGGTGTCTGGTGTGTTGCTATATCCTGCTAACAAAAAAATACTAGATCAATAATTCTTTATTACTGGTATGCATTGTATTGGATCATAGATTTTGTGGAATTGCATGTAAATTACATTTTGACAGAAATTCTTTGGTATCTTTTATTTGTTAATCGCTGATAAGTGAGAAAGGTGTTTAACTAATTTGCAGTATTTTTTAGTTTACTCTGTGTAACTTTGATTAGACAATGACTTTCGGCTTAAGTGAAGTTACTCATAGTTAAGGTTGATTGAACCTGGGAATTTAGAAAAATGTCAGTGGATCCAGATCAAACATGTTTAGTTTACAATATTAATGTGATTATTGGTCAACCTGCTTGCAAATATTCATAAAATTTCTTCTATATGTTTCATGTCACCACTCAAGTGTAAGATAAATGACAATTTAACTAAAATAAAATCTACTTGCACAAAATGTATATTCTCCTATAATTCAGTATTACTACATTTATTTTATGTGCCCCTACAGGCAAGAAAAGTCTTGAAGGATATGGTCAATATTATGCATAAATTTACTGACATTGTCTGTCAGCTAGAGTACATGTATACACACCAACCAATCAAGAATAGAGTTTGGTTTATGTTGGATCAAGACTAGGTATAATTATGTAAGAACTTTTACTGAGATTATGATGCAGTTTGGCAGATATCTTTTAGCATTTTCTGTGTTTTAACTTTACAATTGTAAGCAAGGACACATGAATAAAATCATTTGACTATAATAAACAGCTACTGTCACACTCGATAAATTGATAATAATCTCCCAATCAATTAACTCAATTAACAAATATATTTTTCTGACAGGCAAGAAAGATCTTGAAGGATGTGATTAAGGGTGGTAGTGGTCCTGAGCGCTGGGCAGCAGCACAATGTCTGGCTCATGCTGGCGTCTGTGACTCCTTCGTAGTCGGTGAGTTAGTCAAGCAGCTCTTTGACTCTGAGAACATGGTCAAGCATGAGCAGTGCATCCGACTCCTGACTAACCTGAGTCGAGGGTCATCCATCGTACATTCCATGGTCGCTGAGCAACTCAACAGTACCAGCTGGAGACATCGTATCGTGGCCTGCCGAACCTTTCCACGACTCTATGGCACTATCAATAAGGTATGATGGAATCTTGACAGGGATCACTTGAAAGACCAGTGTGTATCTTATTCTCCAAAATGTCTACCCTCTGTCATCAGGGTTTCTAGATAATAATGACAAACAATATTTTTCCCAAATATTAAACTACATTAAACATATCTTTATTGCTGTAAAAATATTTTCAATCAATTACAATACATTTTTATTGACATGATTTTGTCAGTATTTCAAAATTACTTATTTTGATTGATTTGGCGTGAACTAAGAAGTTCTAAATTCTGCTAGTTTTTAGCTCCTAATATGATCTGTTGAGTATCTTCAGAAGTTTTTTCTTTCCTTTTTAGCATTTAAAAAATCAAGTTTCCTTCTACCAATTAGGATTCCCCCCCCCCTTCCTTGGAGCTAAGATGCTGGTCTTTCTGTGAGACATCCTCTTCTTCATTTTTATTTTTATTTCTTGAATCTCATTTAATGATATAACTTTGTCACCCACCAGGACATCACTCACAAGCTGAGATAACCTGATGTGGAATATAACTCTAATTATAACTAATTCTCCAAAATGTTTACCCTCTGTCGTCAGGTTATCTCTAAATTAGAATGAGAAACAATATTTTTCCCAAATATTAAACTACATTTTGTTTTCTTTTTGAGTATCTTCAGAAGTTGTTTTTTCCTTTTTAGCATTTAAAAAAAAAAAAATCAAGTTTCCTTCTACCAATTATTATTCCCCCCCCCCCCTTGGAGCTAAGATGCAGGGGGGCATTTCACAAAACTTGTCATCAGTGACAAATAACAATTTGTGTTATAAGCTACTGAAATCCTTGCTTCTGATTGGTTATCAGCAGATTTGTCACTGATTTTTGTTATTTCTCATTGAAAAAAGGCTTTGTGAAACGCCCCCCGTTTTTTCTGTGAGACATCCTCTTTGTCATTTTTATATTTATTTCTTGAATCTCACTCAATGATATAACTTTGTCACCCACCAGGACATCACTCACAAGCTGAGTAATCTGATGTGGAATGACTGGCATCGTGAGGTCCGAACCACTGCTGCTCAGACCCTGGGTCGTACTGGACATGGGAAGGATGTCCATGATGATCTTAGGGATAGGTTACTCAACGGCAGTGAGAGGGACAGGATCGATGCACTGCAGAAGATTGGACATCTAGGTGAGTTAATTTTGTTATTTGGGCTTTTTGTAGGACTTCACTGTTGCAATGAAAGAAGTAAGATATTGCATCCACACGTAACAATTAGGTTCCCAGCGATCCTGGAAATCGGGGAAAATCTGGAATATGAGTTCTCTTTATTTCCGTTGAGGGAAACAAACCACTCAGTCAAATTAGAAAAAAAAACTCAGGGAATTTCAGGGGCCCAGAAATTTTGTCAGTCTTGTACAGTTTGTCTCATGTCCAAACAGTGTATCTATTTGAAGGATTGGCATGCCCATGACATAAACAAAAGTGGCAAAGTGGAATCACAGATAAAGATAGTCAAATCATTCCACAGTTTGGGACACACTGCAGACAGAGAATGGATGATTGCTATAAAGGGTGGGAGGATCAGAGTTTAAAACCTGTCCTAGGTGTTAAGTTCATTGTACTTATGGTCACTCAAGTTACTGAAAGCCATCAGTAGAGAGTCAAATATAGAGATATTGGAAACAGTTGAAATTGAAAGAACATCACTCATTTCTGCACCTGTAATGTCAAGAATATGCTTCAACATCTATGCAAGGATGTACATGTATGAGCAGGAAAAACCTGCAGAAGGTGAGAGATTGATCACCTTTAAAAATATTTATTCATTAACAAGGTTATGAAACATCCTTATTTTTGCCAGGTATCATGACAGCTAGACTCCTGCCATCTTATCTGAAATGTTTTGATGACCCCTACATCGCTGTAAGAATAGCCACCACTGAGACGGCCAGTAAGCTGGAACTCAAGGATCATGATGTCCTCATGAAGCTGCTCTTCTTGACGGAGTTTGACAGCAATTGGAAGGTCAAAGCACATGCTCTCAAAGGTAAGGTTCAAAGGTCAAAGGTAAGGTTCAAAGCTTGACCCCATGCTTGTACAGTTCAAAAACAAAACATACCCATCATAAATAATAATATTCAGTTCTTGTATAGTGCATAATACATTATGAAATAACATCTCTATGCGCTTCCAAAAGAGCTTTCGAAATTATTACCCTAGCTTTAGCTCCAGCTGCCGTTATCAGCGCACAGTGCATTTCAATCAGTTACCCATTTACCTCACCTGGGTTGAGTGTGGCAAATGTCTTGCCAAAGGACATTACTGCTGCGGCGGGACTCGAAGCGCGGACCACTCGACCACGTACAGCACCTCTACATGATAGTCATAGTTTAATGATCGCTTTGCTCCAATTGCAGAAAACTCTTGGCTCTGTTTGCATTAAATCTGTACGTGTAAAGAAGTGGAAGAAGGGTATCAGAAATATATTTGTCTTACCACTCATGTATATATAAAGAGGTGATGAACTAAATTTTGTATTATTGAGTTGGTTTGTATTGCTTTTATAAAGTAATTCGGCTGTACACAACATGATGATATTGAAGTTAGTATTAGAAATCTAACAGTGATTAAGGTGGAATCAGAACAGGTGTACATGTACATGTAGCATGTACTATAATCTTCACATTTACAGCTCATGTGTATAATTCATGAAGTGGAAATCATTGTTGACCATGTGCTACTAATTTCAAGACCTCAAATACTATTTTGAATGAGATTTTGACTTGAATCGAAAAAGAGTGTAATAATAATAATAATGGGTTCTTGTATAGCACTCATGTCAGTCAGATTTGATCCTCCTGACGCTCCCGATGGTATTTAAGAGTATTGAATTGTACCTTTCCTTCTCCTTGTGTTGTGTTTAGCTCTTGGCAACATAGGTGAATCTAACAAGCACATAGAGAGTGCTGTACTGTGGGCTCTAAGGTTTGAGTCCCAGGCTGGTGTGCGGGCAGAGGCTTGTCAGACGATGATCAAACTATCCATGAAGGATCCCGAGATCCCCGCTCTGCTCCAAGAAAAACTCCTGGTGGAGCCGGATCAGGTGGTCAGAGAGTAAGTCTCCATGTTTTTGATTGCATATGGGTGAATGTTACCATTATTGAAATGATTTGACTAACAGAAGCCAAAATATGTCCTAGTGTGCTTTATTAAATCCCAATGTCCTACTTGTAGCTACTTGCTCCCTCTATATAGAAAACAATGCCTAATCGGTGACCATTGGTCCCCCATGACCCTCTTTTTCTCATGTTATTTGAGAGCTGAGTTGATGAGATAGCCATCTGTCATTGACCACGCTGTGTGGTCTAATCCCTCCCGGCTAAACTAGTACAGCCGGCCTTTAAAACTTGATAATTGTCCATAAAGAGCATTTGTTAGTTACAAAACTTATTCATCCAGATGTTTTGTTGTAGATGAAATATATCAATTTACTTATATTTCCACAGTATAATAACTAAGCTCATTCAATCCAGAAAAGCAAGAAAGAATAAAAGGCGAACCAAGGTCAAAGTCATTGAGAAGAGGAGGGAAAAGATATATTGGTCAAAATACAAGTCAAAGAAAGAACAGGCAAGATGGATGAAGGGAAGGCCAGGAGAGAGGTTTATAAAGGTTTATTTTTTCAAAGAAGTCATGTAGTAACCATGTGTGTTCTTTGACTTACAGGCAACTTGTAATAGCCCTGGAATCGTTTGGAGTGAGTGCCACTGGTGATATGGAGATGGTTCAACAGATCAAAGATGAAGTGAGACGTCTATGCACACGCTATAATATCGCTGCTAAGATCACTCTCAACGAAGAGAGAGAGGACCTTGCACACCAGCACAAACGCTTCTTTGATTCTTCACCCGCGCCCAGTGAACTTGTGGTGAGTTCTCAACTACTTGGTTCAAATTCTGGACATTTATGATGCAATTTGATGTGGTTCGATTGTATTACCATAGAATATATAAGAAAGCGTGTAGTCAAAGACTGATGGAAATAGATTGTTAAAACCTGATACAATCTGACAGAGCCATCATGAAGTACTCTGTGTATATTTGAAGCATAAAATAGATGTTACTAGATAGTCAACTGATTGCACACTTTGTTTTGACATTGTTATGAAAATGCAAATATAATAGAATAAAGTTGACACAGATATAAATACTATATAGGAAATATATAGGAAATATATAGGAAACAATGTAGAAATGGAAGCAAGAGGAAGGATTTTTTTGCAATTGTTGTTGATTGTGGATATCAAGGATTGTTTTCGTATGAACTGAATAGAAAGTAGAGAGATAATATATCTGTATTCCTTCTATAATCTATTTTTATACAATTTTCATCCCATCATTCCCACAGAAATCTGATGTGTATGTGCCCAGTCCATCTACAACACGCCCCTCTACCAAGCACAGTACACGGACTATCACCCCATCCATCTACATCAGTATCGATGATGACTATCGGCCTGGAGCTGAGACTCCAGAAGTTGATCTTCCAAAGACACCGGGAAGCACCTTCGCTACCGATCTCATGGGTAACCGACTCAGTCCCGCACAGCAAGGCAGTCGCCCTAACACCGGTAACACCCTAAGCAGAACCACACCCGCAGTGACTCCCACGGGCGTGGTTAGGACCACGTCGGCCGGAAGACGTACTCCTGAGGAGCGGCTGAACAAGCTGATTGAGGTTTATGAGGGAAGTGCATCCTTGGCCCAGTACCAGGAGTTTAAACAAGGAGATCTGGGTGTCATGGACGATGGGAATGTGCGGAAGCTGTCCCAGATACCGGAAGCACCGACGGAGGAGGTTTCTGGCGACATCACCGGTCAGAGCAAAGTGTTGGAGGAGGATGAAGGGAGCAATGATGTTTTCCACTCTGATGTGGTGGAATCACGTCTTGATCAGACGGTGATGGACAATGTGGATGTTCCTCTGATGGGTGGTGAGGTCATGATACCATACCCTCGGAAGAACCGCTGGAAAAACAGCGCTAAGGAGAAGCAGGAGAATGATGACGATGATGATGAAGAGGAGGACAGCGAGGAATACGAGATGGACGATGACTTGGAGGACGATGAGGAAGAAGAGCTGAAGAAGTCAATCCTTCGTCCGACTCCTGAACCAGGGTCGGTCAGTCGTATGACGTCAGGGACTCGTAAAGATGACTCAAGACCACCTTCTAACTGAACGCATCCTCAATCAACATTGGTGACTCACTAACTTAGGATGATATGTCTCTAGCTCACCAATTGTCATCTACTATTCAAACTGAAGTCAATATGTAGTCTTTACTTAGTCTATTTTTTGAAGGTGGGTGTCCATGTGGGAGATTTTCTGGATCAAGATCACCTTCAAACTGAATCAAACCATCTTCCAAAAAATTAATGACTTTTGATATCTCTAACCCACCAGCTATCATGTACTTTTTTAACCTAACATTAGTCTATCTTGATGAGTCTATTGTTTTGAAGTGGTTTTTCTGAATGTGGGTTTTCTGTCAACCTTATTGCAGAGGAAATATGAAATCTAAAAAAACATCTAGTGATCAAATATGAGTATTATAGAGCAAACTTGAGTGAACATATTGGACAAATTGTCAATATCAGGGAGCATTTTGTAAAAAGACATTTTCTGGTGTGTTTATAGGAATAATATATAGTTTACAAGTGGAATATGAAATTTGATGTGTGAACCATGCCGGCCTTTGAATCAATGATGTTTCAAACAATTATGCAAACGTAATCTCAGTGTACTAATCACTTCCGTCCATGGTTCTTGAACTGATCAAAATCTCATCTTGAAAATAGTATTCATGAAGTCATTATGCAAATCTAGCATTATCATTAAATGTGAACCATAGTACAGTATGAATCATAACTTGTAAGTTCTTGCTTGTCTTCCTTTGACTTTGTGCAGACATCTATGGATATATATTTTAGGGGAATAAACTCAAGAAATTGAATTTCATGTTGACACTCTGACCATGTTTACAAATGTCTGGTGCAAGTTGGCGGAATATACAGTCCAAATTTATTGTCTTTAAATTTGTGGACAAAGAAACAGATCTATCCATAACAGACATCATGAACTGTGAAGTAAGATACATTGAAACTTTAAAGAGGCACCATGATTATTTTGTCTGATGAAATTTGATTAGTTACATTGTTTTCAACTCCAGTGTACATAATTGGTAGCAACGGCACATTTCTATGACTTTTCAAAATGGAAAAAAAAATTGTACACAATTTGCATAGGTACCATGGAGAAATGAAACATTTCAAATTTGATCGATTCAGTTACTTCCTTTTATAAATAAAGTGTACCACATTAACCTGATAAAAATATGCGATCTCGCCTTCTCCCATGGTTCACTTCCATTTGTCAATAAGGTTAACCTTTGACCTCATTGCCTTGGAGTGCATGTATTCAGAATATATTTATTCATTTCTAATAAACTTGTATGATCAAACATGGATATATGGCATTTAACAAGTTATATTGTATTATTATTTGTAAATAAAATTAATGTAATGCAATGTGTGAATATTTTGGTTGCTATGCATGCCAATTAAAGATTATGCTTGTATTTACCTAATTTGAAAATTGAAAGTCAATTTATTTGAGTCCATGTCTGAAATATATTTGTTATACATGTATGAATTATGTGAGAAAAGTTGAGTCTCTTTATAAAAATCTTTCCAAACATTTCCAAATGCCATTGTGCCCTATTCATTGTAGTAAACTTTTAGCATGCGTAATTCTTTAGTCTATAGTAGAGAGAATAAATAGACCTTACCATGACTTCTAAACAGGACATCAAAACGAGATCATCAAACCGTCAAATTTCAGTGAAATCACTTTTATTCTGTACATCATTCTGGAAAAGAGCCTGTACAAAGGTTGACAAATTCATCATAATTACATTTGACATAATAACAGATACAAATAGTAAAATCCAAAAGACCAAAACTGAAGCATAACAGACCTTCACAGAACTAACTCATCAATTTAGTGAGTTACTTTGATATAGATAACCACTAGTCTACTACAAGGCTACTACACATACTCCCCTTCATGTTTTGTGTATGTCTTCCCCTGTGGTTGAGTAGTCCATAAATCTCACAAATAAAAGCATAATATTCCATGCTAAATAATAAATTGTTAACTTTGTGGTGTGTTCAAAGAGGAAAGGCTTGTTTTGCTATCCCCGTTTTATTTTATCCAAATGAATAATATGAATAAGACATGAAGACATTTAGATTCTTTGATTTTCAGAGCAATATTTCATCCAGTTTTACTTATCTTGAAAAAAACCGCTAAATATGAGGATGGTGCACAAGATATTTAACAGTCTCTTTCCTTTAGAAGCAGTATTTTCCTATAACAAATGACACAAATGGAAGAACCATGCCAAGACCTTCCAGATGTACCAAGTCACAGTCCAGAGAACCTTTTAGAGACTACTCCTGAGGCCTCTAATGCTCTCATCCCATCAAGCATCATTTATTTTCATCACACAACCTGCAAGTTGTATTCATCTTTGTGATGGGCTACTTAGCCCTACTAAGATCCTCGCTTGGTTCCTAAAGAGAAATTGAGGAGTATTCCAGAAGAAGAATATGGTATTACCAGATCTCTAGCCTTTCCCATGTAAAAAAATTGGAACCAACACAGGAAATCCAGATATTTTAAACCCACTAGCAATAGCATAATCAACAAGACAAATATTAAGAAAATAATGTATTAATATACAGCTTCAAGACAAAAGTCTTGACATTGTTTGAATTAACAAATGAGCCTTACAAATCTCAAAATGGTATTTTGTACAATCTTTACTTATATACTACAGTGTCATCACAATAAAAAAAAAAATACTTAAGATTTTTCATAAAACAAGCTTTTAGTTCTTGTGGTGTTTGAAGGGAATAAGATTCTGTTCATATTCTTTCTATGATATCAAGAAGCAAGATGGAATTATTCATAGCATTAAGACCTAGTATGGAACAGCAGACATGCTGGCTGACTGCAAAAACCATTAAGAATACAAGATAGCCCATGGAGGTATTAAAAATGTACAGGGAAAAAAGGAAAAGCATTCCCTACGAATTGAATAAGGTGTTTTCTTAGAAACGGTAATTTCAATACTGCTTCATAGAAAGTATTGGTGTATATTTTGATGTGTTAATCCTGAGGGAGAAGGAAGAATTCATTCATGTTTCTTTTAATCCAGCCACTTCAATTACAAAGAACTTGTCTGCTAGTCATTTGTTTTGAAAAAGGTACATGGTGATAGAAGCAAAAAGGAGCTACAGTTAGTAAATGAAAAGTACAATTTTCATTGAATTCAGAGATGCCATGATTCACACCATTATCCTTAATGGTAACTAATCCTAAAGAAGATTTTTTGAGAAGCTTCTTCTCAAACGCATTTCTACTAGGGAGACAAGGATAGCATATTGAGGATAATATGTAACAAAACTTTAATAAGGGTCGATCAAGTCAAAACATGGAATTGTAAGTGCTTGACTGATAGTCACACAACTACTTGATTCTCAAATCTTACAAACATATCACCATGGGACACACATAGACGATCTGGTTTCTTTATGATTCCCGTATGTGAATGACCACACACACACAGACTTAAAGACTTATTCCTTCAAATTCAGACTGACACAACTCTATCTCAACAATAGCTCTATAAGTCAGAAAGCCTCAGGATAGATCAGGGGCTGTTTCACAAAGCCTTTTTTCAATGACAAATGACAAAAATCAGTGACAAATCTGCTGATAACCAATCAGAAGCAAGGATTTCAGTAGCTTATAAAAAAACTGTCATTTGTCACTGATAACAAGTTTTGTAAAATGGGGCCCCGATCCACCTACTCCTCATCCGAACTATCATCGCTGTCTCCACTGGCGTCGCTTCCCGGCTCCTTGACATCGATGTCGAACTGGTACTCCTGATCGCATCCCATGTAAGCATCACTCATGAAGTAGATGGTATAGTGATGACTGCCGGGGGATGGAGCTACAAAGTCCAGCTTGACCTTGGCCTTGTGTTGAAGGGTCAAACGCTTGATGGAGATGAGACTGTTCGTCTTGGTGTCACCGATGACCACCCACCAACCCTCTTCTCGTTTCTAAGAGATCACAAAAGAAGAGAAATTAATGGTAAATTACAAATACAACCATGTTGAAAATGGACAGGACAGCAAAAGGTCCCATCTTTTCACATACCATCAAAAAATTTAAAATTTTGAAGCAGAACACTTAGCCTCTAGTATTTCACATTCAAAATGTCCAAAAAAAAAATTATCCTGCTCATTTGCATTGTATGTTAATAATTCATATAAATTTATCCGTTTATCTCTTTGAAGAGGTTCATCTGATTGGTAATAATTTCATAAATTGAATTTTTATTGTTTCACAATCTAACAAGTTTTCCATTGTGAAACAATGCCAATTCAATTCATGTCCTTTTATCTTCTTCATTTGAATACATGAATTTGATGTTTGTTTACTTTTCATACTTTTACTTTTGTATATAATTGTGTTTCTGTATTTTCAATGCAAATGTGAAAACAAATTCAATTTATATCAAATTAAATTATTTAAAATGCTTCATTTAGCAAATGCACATAGAAAAATAAGGAAACTAAGCTTGCAAAACTGCTATACGAAAAAAATTATTTTTCGATAAAACTTTCACATGATGATGGTATTCCCTTTTACTAATGCTTACAAGTTAGACTCATTGGCCCGAATTCACAAAGCAAGGTTTGAGCTCAGACCAAGGTTTGACCTCAAACCTCCTTTTGTTTCGCCAAATCTCCTTTTGTTATTTACAAACCTGGTTTGTAAATAACAAAGGGAGGTTTGGCGAAACAAAAGGAGGTTTGAGCTCAAACCTTGGTCTGAGCTCAAACCTTGCTTTGTGAATTCGGGCCAATATGTACATGTTACACCTGCAGCATGCTTGACCAACACATCTTGTCAACTTGTGATACCAAGTTTACAAGAACTTAATAGCTCCTGCTTACCTGGGGGAAGAGAGGAGCTACAACAGGTCCAGTGATCTCATCTTCTCTCTCCAACGAGACCATGATAACCACAGGTGAGCCACTGAAAAGAGACACAACATGAAAGAGATTGGGAGTTAGTTTAGTTTATGCATTGGACTTCAATCATCTTAATGGCTACGTAAAGCACCACCTGGATGTAAGCAAGGGAATGACAATATATATGTCACTGACCTTTACTTTCATCGAGACCATCTTGCTACTATAATCAATACCAGTTTAGTTTTCATAATCATAATCATCATCATCACCATCTCCACCACCATCATATCATCGTCGTCGCCGCCACCACCACCACAACCACCATCAACACCATCGCCATCATCATCATATCACCATCGTCACCATCACCATCATCATCATCATCATCATCATCATCATCATCATCATCATCATCATATCACCATCGTCACCATCACCATCATCATCATCATCATCATCATCATCATCATCATCATCATCATCATCATCATCATCATCATCATCATCACCCTCATCATCATCACCCTCATCATCATCATCATCATCATCATCATCATCAACATCATCATCATCATCATCATCATCATCATCATCATCATTACCACCACCATCACCACCACCACCACCATCATCATCAAGTGCATTCTTACCTCTCCAAGCCGTCCTTCTCCTGCACGTCATACATCAGTTCAATGTTGGGATAGCGGTTGCAGAATCTAGCCACATCAGCCATCTGGGCGTCGGTCATCTGGAGGAGCTCATGTCTCTCCTCATCCTCCATCTCCATAACGTCAAAGATACTCTCGATGGACTACAAGTAGCAAAGATACAATGTTTATGATAAACACCCATAAAACATTTATATTCAAGTCATATTAATAATTTTGTCCATAGAGTCGACATAATACAAAAATTGAGTATTTATGCCATTTAACACCAAATATACTCTCGATGGAAAGATACAATATTTATGATAAACACACACAACACATCTTTAATCAAGTCAAATTAATAGTTTTGTCCATATAGAGTCAACATAAATCTTAAACTTAGTATTAATGCCATTTTCGTCAATACAATTTCAATCCATGTGCCAATGTTAATCTTCTTTGATCCTGCCCAAGTGCATATCATTGTCATCTTCAAAACATTAAATTTCAACCCTTTCTGGAGTAAATACTTAATCTCCCTCTATTATAGGTCTCCAATGGACATGGAGACTATCGTTACTTTGAAATCACAGTACATTTCTAAGATGGGAGGCGCCCAACCTAGAAGACATCCTGATATAACTCTTTCAATGCATATACAAATTACAATTGTCATCATCCAAGTATTTATATATATTTATTTTGGAGGTTTTATTCTTCAGGGATGCATGATTTCAGATCACTGTTTTTGTTTTTAATTCATACCTTCTCTGTGCACTTCTTGACGAGTTCTTGTCCAAAGTGAGGCAGCTGTTTAAGATAAGAATCTTTGTTCCACATAGCTTGTGTGACCATCTGAGCAAGCTCCATGGCTGCTAAGGCTGGAGACAGCCAACCGTTGCTACTCAGCACATCAACACATGCTTGGATCAAACGCAGAGCCTGATAAATAAGAACAACAATGATTATCATCACCTACTATTGAACAAGGTAGAAGAGTAAATTATTCATACTCTCACCTAGTATTGTAATTTATTAAGTATGTGAAAAATTGATTTGTCCCCGATTTACGTTTCTTGAAAATGTGACATTAAATGCGTACAACTAAAATTATTCAACAAAGGTCATAATTCAATTAGTCCACCGTTCATTCTTATATATGAAAAAACCTACAAACACACACAAATCAAATTTACAATGGATATGAATAATGTAGTTGTTAGCTGTATCTATTATATGCCATGCAGTGGAAATTGCCTAGCAAATGAGTCCCTGCCAAGAGAACAAAATATGGCAGTATTTTTCTGATACACTCGGACATTCTCAAATATACAGGATAAAAGTCAGTGAGTGCATCTATGATACACAATAAAACATAGTGTCAGCAGAATTCAGAAGTTTGTAAGAAAGAAAAACAATTGCCAGTCCAATATGGTATGACTTTGACCTGCTGCTGCTTCTACAACCAATACTTTCATTATCGACACACAACAGTGAGCACGACAACCATCACTCATGCAAATACAGGCCTGCTTCCTAACTAACACTCCTGCACCTGTCACTCCCTAGTATCATCTGTTCAGAGAAAGAAGGCGTTAACTTTGTGTAAAATGATATGAGTTAACGCCATTCTGGCTCCAGATAGATGATTTCATTTAGGATATTCTCTGAATCTGATTGAAGCTCAGCTGACTGAAATGTTTGTACCACAAATACTGCAACCACCTCCAATACAACTAATAACACCACCACTACCACCACTACCACTCCTACCACTATCACTCATCCACCTGCCACTCTCATGTACCTTGTTGAGGATGTCTTCTGTATCTGACTGAAGCTCAGCTGATAGCTGCATCCTACCGAGATGGGCTTGGATGAGAAGGTTGGTCTTCAGATGAGGATCGTTGTAACGTGGGTTGCTCACCTTGTTGGGTGTACGACTTGACAACTGAAGAAAAAAAAAGAAACATACATCAAGGTTTTGTTTAACAAATCCGAAGTCGAACTTAACTCTAAGTTGGACTTCGAAATTATGGAGAGCCATTTGTAGTCTTAAAATAAAATGTATTCAAAAGCAAAAATTCAAGTATTTTAGATTTTTTATGAATTCCACATCGAGAACATGAAATCTTTTGAGATAATAGAAAATATGAATGATTTAAATTAACATTTTATGCCTTTTAAAATAATTGTTACAAATATTTTCAATGATACTAACAGCTTTCCATAATTGTTAAGTCCAACTTGGAGATACGCTCAACTTAGGATCTTTGTGAAACACCCCCCAGGTATGTGTATGCATAATTACTGTTCATTTACCAAAGGATTGTTGAATCAAAAATGAGATTAAGAAAAAGATTAAAAAGAGGAACGGGGTAGCAGCAATCATTCGGCATGTATAAGGCAAACAGAGGAGATATATCAGAAGAAAGTATTATTATTAGGTGGTCTGTCAACGACAGATCACCTATTGTTTTCGTCAGAATTTTCTTTCTTTATTTATTATTATTTATTTTTATTTCTCCCCGTTTTTTGTTCATCGGTTAACTCAAGATCGGTTGTGTTAATTTCTTTCAATTTTGACACAGTCATAGGTCATTGTCATGAGACGTGACATTAACCTTTTCAAGGTCATCAGGTCATCGTGACGTCATCCAGGCGCCATTTTGTGAAATCACGTTATCCATCATATCTTCATGATGCATAAGCAAAGGTCATTCATATTCATATCACATATACTTCAGGTCAAGGGTCAACAAGTCATGTCATCAAAGGTCACATAAAGGTCATGACGCGCACGTACGCGCGCGTCAAAATTTTAAAATGCTCAAAATCACTTAACTATTAAAGGAGAGTACGAATCAGGTCATTTTAAGCATTTCAAAATTTTCCGTCCTTAAGTGTCACCGCGCGCGTTGCGCGCGCTCATAACGCGCGGAAAAGGTCAAATTCAATTTGTTTACATGATTTAGATTCCTCTTACCGTAAATGACAATTTACATTAATTTCAGTCACTCTTGACCTTTCATAAGGCCGTGAGCGCGCGTCAAAGTTCAAATTCCGCGCGTGCTGCTATGGGCAATATAATGTAAATTTGATCAAAAACATGCTACTTTATAAATCGAAATAACTCTTCAGATAGTCCGTCGACCCCCAATTTTTATATCACGGTTGGAAAGAGCATGAGTTGGAGATATGATTTCATACCACCCTGACTCGTACAAAGTGAAACAAAATCTTCATATTTTCATCTAAACTAAAGAAAATGTATTTTGTTGATGACGTCATTTTTGTCTTTGTTTAATTGAGATTATCTCACTTATCGGTGATCGATTTTCTCCCAGATTTTGATATGTTGTAGCTGAGATAATTCTCTATCAGAAATATGCCATTTATTTTTCATTTGAATGACGTCATCATAGTGAAATATTCGATTAAAGGCGACAATGCATAATTTGTTATATTTGCGTGTTACGTCTATGGGAGGTCACTTTTGTCAAAACATGTATCTGCATGACAATGTGTTTTGACCAGTATCTCGGTTATTATTCAACAGTTTTCTCCCAAATTTTAGTATGTTGTAGCTGAGACTATTTGCTATTTAAAAAGCTCCTCATTTTTTTAAACAGTTGTCAGGATCATGCTTATGCTCATCATCATCATTAACATTATCGTTTTTATCGTCATATAACATTATCATTATCATCATCATCATCACCTTTACTATTATGATCATCACCATGTTCATCATGATCATCATTGTTTACATGTCTATATAACTTCTCCCATTCTCAAATCTATCATAAGACTTAGACAGACCACCTTATTCGTCTTCGTGACGAATTAAATTCTAGTTAATTTTCAACTCCAAACGTGTAGCTTGCACACAACATTGCTTCAAATTGTTTAAATTCCTGGCAAGAAAAGATAACTTAAACAGTCTGAGAGACAAGAAAGAAAGTGTAACTGAACCTACATAACAAAATGATAGACATGATAATCACTATGTACTTCCTCTCGTGACAATGTAGTATAAGCAGCACAGATTCCTTTTCTTAAAATATGCATTTCGGAATGAGCTATCATACTGTATTTATGGTGCTTTTTCATGATTCAAATCAGCAAATAAAATGTCATCATACCAACAGATGATGATGATGAACGATAATTGTATTACCGAACTGCTAAGAAAGCATTTTTATGCTTGGAAATAAACAACCAGGGGATCAAGGGCTTTTTAAGTCCTCTCCAAGGGACGTGGTAATGAGGATTAATGCCTCACCGAAGGGCACGAGTGCATTAAATTGGTTTCGAACTAGGGACATCCTGGTTACAAGCCCAATGCTCTACCACTGAGATGGATGATTATGTTTTTACCACTGACCTGTGTGATTCTTGTTCTTTAAATATACATTTTAAAATGAGCTATCATGCTGTATAAATGGTGTTTTGTCATCGTTCAAATAAGCAAATAAAATGCCATCAAACCAAGACATAGATGATTATCTGGGACCCATTTCACAAAACTTATCAGTGACAATTAAAGAACAGTCTTTGTTATAAGCTACTGAAATCCTTGCTTCTGATTGGTTATCAGCAGATTTCTAACTGATTTTTGGCATTTGTCATTGAAAAAAGGCTTTGTGAAAGAGGTCCCTGTCTACCACCTACCTGTTTGAGCATGGAGTCCTCATGATGTCTGATAGGAATATTCTCATACTCTGCTGCGGACGAGATAATCTCAATCAGACCCTTGATCTTGGTCTTGTTATTGAGTGACATACTGAAGAGCTCGATGGTCGTGTAGTTGATGTAGTAGTACGCAGCGATCATACCCAGATTCAGTGGACTGATGTCCATCTCATCCTCAATGCTGATACACTTAGAATGCTCAAGGTCCTGCAGGGTGTTCTCCACCAGCTCCGAGAGATGGTCCGAAAGATGACGATGGGTCATACCTACAAGCAAAGCAAAACATTGATTGTTCAAAAGTCAACACAAATGATGAGAGATAATGCCTGCATGATGATACTAGTAAATATACATGTCCACAAAAAAGGGAACAATAATTAAGATAGGTGGTGCCTGGAAGATGTTAATAGCAGGAAAATATTTTAGCAATCAACCAGCTCGGAGAGATGGTCCGATAGATGACGATGGGTCATACCTACAAGAATAGCAAAATTGATAGTACTAAAAGTCAACAAACATGGTACACTGATAAGGAAGGCTGATGCCTGCATGATAATAGTACTTATACAAGGTCCAGGGTTCGAGTCCCGCCGCAGCACTAATGTCCTTTGGCAAGACATTGATCTACATTTGTCACACTCAACCCAGGTGATGTTAATGGGTACCTGGCAGGAATTAATTCCTTGAAATGCTAGAGCGCCGTAATGGCAGCCATGCTAAAGCGGGGGTAATAATTTCCAAATTTGTTAGGCGCCTTGAGCATCCCTTGGGATGGATATATGCGCATTATAAATGTTATTATCATTATTAAAATGGGTACAATGATTAAGATGGGTGGAGCCTGGAAGATGATAATAACATGAAGTTATTTTAGTAATCAACCAGTTATATATTACAGTATATCATGTCTACAGGTACGAGACAAAAGCATCTGTACATGAAGGTCCATGATCTGTCCATGCTCCGGTAAATATTTAATTCTCTTGTCTCTATATTACTTAAAACAATCCAATTTTACACAATTCCCATCATGTTCTCACCTTGTAGATTGTAGTAGTTAGGATTCTGTGTCATGCGCCTGTAGATGAAGGTCCATGTCAGGTAATCTACTGCATCCTGTTTGTTCTCTATCGTCTTGGTAACGACCTCAGCATTGAAGTGATCATGGAGACAGTGATCAAGATGAGACTGTAATCAGAAAGAAGAAAGAAAACATGGGGTTAATAAATAGTCAAATGATAGTCCCGGCAACAAATCAATGGAATTTGAAGAATGTCATAAAATGTCCTCTTTTTAGAATCTTGACGCTCTCTAAATCTTTTTATCAGACTCATGGGATCTTATTCCAGATACTACAGGGATTATCAGAGATTTTTTGAAATAAAGATTATCACTCCTGAATAGTTTCAAGTATGTACATGTCATAAAGTACTCTTCTTCTTCTTTCATATGAGGTAGAACAAAATAGCATCATTTATCAAGTTATTTCTTGAAGCTTCCTTAAATACTTTGAAATCTGCGCTTAAACCAACTTAAAACCAGCACCTTGAGTTGGTGGCCGCACACAACGACACACCTCCAGTTTAAACACTTTTACGGCGTCTTTTGGAGGAATCCTACCAGGTACCAAGCTGGGTAAGCCAGTTGACTTGTGCATCCTTTGGGCTTGACAGATCAGTCATCCCGTCAGGAGGTTTGAGAACAGGGCAGTTGTAGATGACATGGTCTACCGTCTGCTCATCTGCACCACAGAATTTGGAATCAGAATTGTATGATACTTTGGATATGAAATAAATTTAGAGAGAATAATTACTTACCTCAACTGGGAGGGGTTCGTACATGAACTTCTTGTAGAAATCCTTCTTGGAACCTTGACACAGCACCACACACTTGCTCACTGTAATATAAGAACACATACAATTCACAAGATGAAATTACACTGTTGCATGACCTTCATCTGTTAAATTCACACTGCCAAAGAAAGGAATAGCAGATTAGATAAAGCCTTACTTACTTCATAAAATCCTTGCCTTTCACATGCCTGTACGTCAACCCGGTCTTAAACTGAAACAACTATAGACGCATAGGAGTGGGTACTCAAGGGGAATTTGACAAATTTTGGTGTATACCCATTAACAAGTGTTGTAAATCACCAAGATCAGCCTTCAGTTTCATGACCAACAGGCTTTATGTAATGCTTTGTATTTCCCCATCCATTCCCCCTCTCTGAGAGACTAGAGGGTATATTTTGAAAGGTCTACGGGTTTGCTGTTTGCAGACTTGTACACACATTGTTGGTCAAACAGTTTTTGAGCGTCAAGTAACGCCTGGCTGGAATGCTCCCCAGGGAGTGGAGATTGTGCACACAGTGTGTGCGGGCAAGCATTGAATCCAATGACTGGGGTAATAGTATATTTGTAAAGCGCTTAGAGACATTTGTATTAAGCGCTTTATAAAAACTAAATATTATTATTATTATTATTATTTCTACCAAGTCTGGTGTCAGCGAATTAAGGCCTTGTGCACATGGAAACTGAAGACCCTTTTAAAGCTTGATCCTTACCTTCATGTTCTATCTCTGGTCTGTTAGCCCTTCCTGTCATCTGAAGCACATCAGTGATAGGGTAGTCAACATACCTACAAGGAACAGAAACACACATAAACCATTACAAATAGCTATAAACTGAATATAAAACACTGAAGCTTGTTTCTAAGAAACCTGTCAAAAACAAAATCAATGTTTTGACATGCATTGTCAAAATCAAGTTGCCTGTTTTTACTTCAGAAAGCTTTAAGATAGTGGATTATCTGCATGAGGCCTTCAGATTCTTCTCATAAAGTGTTTCACGATAAACTAACAACATAAAAATGTAATGTATAAACTCATATATGAAAGATGAACACAAATAAAAACAAATATCACTTATTGAGTATTACAACCAATATTCATGGACTTAATAATATAAATAATATCAGTTTTTCTTTTCGACTTAAAACCTAGAAATAGAGGAAAAAAAGAGAAAAAAACTTGAATTCAGTGCTTCCCTGGGTAACAAAGAAGTGGTAATAGACTAATAAATAATGCCTACCAAGAATTGCAAGGAACACTTTCTATTTTTCATTAGTTTCTATGAAACATATCAAAAACCAAAAATCAATACTTTGACATGTATTGTCAAAATCAATAGCATAACACATCTATCAGCCTTTACACACAGGGGTAAAATTCATCGGATCTAGAGCTGATTAGTTAGACAGCTTTAAAGAAATTTTTCCCTGTGTGAACATCGTTTATACAATGTTTGGACAGATACAAAGTCGTGATTCATACACCGGTCAAAGCAGGCTGCAGATACGAAGCCCTTATCTAGAGAGCAAGACGTTTGTGTGTGAACGGATATACATCCTTAACTAGACTGGGCACTGCTCTTAAACGCTCAGTAGAGCCATTGCGCATTTACGAGCAGTGAAACACTGCTCGTAAATGCGCAATGGCCCTACTGAGCGTGTGAATCTCGAACGACCGCTATCCTCAGTAATCAAAAATTATACTTGGCAGATTTCTTACATCACATCTTCAGGTTTATTCAGTAAAAATTTGATTATTATGGTATATCATGGTATATATTAGAGGGATTGTATAATGAAAGCCCAAACAAACAAAATAATCACACTTTGGATTACACCTATTGGACATTTTGTCACTCCTCCCTCCCTATTTTTTGTTGGGGGGGGGGGGGGGGGGGAGGGGGGGGGGGGGAGGGGGGGGGACGGGCAATATCATAATCAGGCAAGTCTTTCAAGATGAAAAACCACAGGATAGTGGGATTTGATATTGCAGCTATGGCAGGGAACCCATAAAATGATTCTCTTGCAATACAAAAAACTTACATTTCTTTCTAAATCTAGATATGCTGAGCTAGAAGAAAGATCACTTTTCAGCTAGAGTTTGATATCATTAGACTTGAATCTTCAAACCTGATTTTCAATAAACATCATCAAAGTTCAAGCAATCTTCTTACCAGCCAATCAAGGTTATTAAATGTTTAACATGGATGTGAATAATATCAATAATATCAGTTTTTCTTTTCGACTTGAAACCTAGAAATAGAGAAAAACAAGAAATTTTTTTTTTTGAGTCACTGCTCGTAAATGCGCTATGGCCCTACTGAGCGTGTAAATCTCGAACGATAGCACCAATATTGTTTGTGTGTGAATTGTGTTGTATCTAAAGCTGATTAGTTTAAAGCTCTTTACACTAATCAGCTTTAAAGAATTTTACCCCTGTGTGAAAACGGGGCATGTACTATCCAATGAAAGGACAAATGTACTCACGCATGGATCTTGCCATTGTAGTACTGTGTATCCATGACAACGACGAGATGAGCATTGAGAGTCATGCCCCAGCACATCATCCTGGATGCTACCACCACCTGTACTGCTCCAGACATGTAGAGCTGCTCTACCACCTTCTGCTCTATCTCTGAGAGGCCCTCGTGCAGGTAAGCGATACCGTTACTCAGCATCTCCCTCAGGGTCTAGAGGGAGGGTAAAAGACAAATAACAGTTCAAGGGTTCAGTACACAAAGACACAAAGACGTAACTCCATATTTTGCCAAAATGAGTATTTGATATCAAAATGTTCAGAAAAATGTGAACACAAAGACTTTACTCCATCCAACACCCCATTGAAGTCAATGGCTAGTGAAACATAGACTTAACTCCTAAAGGCCTATGTGCTCAGTGACACATAAACCACTTTTTCTCAAAATGGCCAAAATGGAGTTACGTCTTTGTGTTACCTAGCAGTAATCGTGGAAGCAAGCCGTCGTGACTGAAGAATGTCTAGCTTATTGTAAGGGTACTGAACATATAACTACAAACATGCCAGTTGAGATAACCATGCATGTATTTATTGAACCCTGACATGTCAGCTTACTTGACTAATTTGCTAGAGTAAATTATTTACTGGATACTATATATCATTACCAATAATTAAAAATTTTGAGCCATGCCTTGTAGTTAAAGATGAAGTTGAGTTCTGGTCATGCGATTGCATTGTGAAAGAAACGGTGTGGAACCGACCAGAAAAGGTTGATCATCTAGCATATAAGAATTTGTGTGTATTGCAAGGTTCTGGAATCATCAAAATGATAAGAAATTTAGCCAAGTCTTGGTAAAATTACAAACACTTGCACAGAAAGATGTATATGGGACTACACGAACACGTGGTGTAAAAAGCCGGCCCCCCCCCCCCCCCCCGAATTTTACGATGTTACATGCATATTTAGAATATGAAGGCATTTGAAGAGCCATGCTTTTCAGGGAACATGTCTTAACTGATGTTCTTCCATACTTGCATAATAAGAATGAGTAATATTCACAAATTATTTTTCACCTCTTCCCAGAACTCAACCTTCTCTTTAAGGGCAAAATGACTATAAGTCAAGGTGTTAACTGGGCTCTTGCAATCTGTTGTTTTACCCTGTTCTCTAAGCCAATTCAAATATGAAGACACATACAAGTGATGTGTAATTTGGTATAATAACTAATAGTGTTCTACTTTTTCTTTGAAGGGAATATCATCATACTTATTTATTTTTCTTTCTTAATCACTTCCCACCCAAAAGAATTTAGACTGAATTTCTTTCATGGCATGTAAAATGTTGATGAGTACTTTGGCCTCTGAACAAGAGAGTAAATCTAGGCATACCTCATCATCCACCTTGCTGAGATGGGCAGCCAGATCATCCTTATCAACATGGAGGAAACGACTCTCTGCTCCATCCTCGGCCGTCACGTAGGTCAAGAGATCAATGGCGGTCAGCTTGGTCTGCTTGCGAGACGGTACAAACACAATGACGGGCTTGGTAGGGGAGTGCTTGATGATGGCGTTGTAGGTGGGCTTCACCATGGCGATGAGACGCGATCCCGTGTGGGTGATGTTAAAGCCCTGTGTGCAAATGAAGGAGTGGGATAGGGTGAAATGAAGGAGATGGCTAAAGATCAGAATACTTGGTGAACCAGTTGTTTGAGTAGATGGTTCATGTAGGCTCACTGTCTTTGGAGGGATCACTATTGACGATGATGATGATGTATGCAAAAGCGAGGAGCAACATCTATTTAGGAATTTTTAGATTTTCGATTGGCTATCCTCAGTAATCAAAAAGTACACTTGGCAGGTTTCTTACATCATATCTTCAGATTTATTCAGTAAACATTTAATTATTATGGTATATCATGTATTGTATATATTTGAGGGATTGTATAATGAAAACCAACACAAAAATAGTCACACTTCGGATTACACCTTTTAGCCATTTTTCACTCTCCCCCCCCCCCCCCCCATTTTTTTGTTGGAGGGGGTGCAATATCAGGCAAGTGTTTCAAGATGAACAACCACAGAATGCTAGCCTGAGTGCAAAGTGATGATGTTGTAATGCTAGTGATATATTCAGAACAGTCAAAGCCTGATGTTAATTGGCTGACTGCATACTGCAATAATCTGTTGCCAGTGCTAACATAACAGAGTAGAGATGATGATTGATCGTACCTGGATGTGCAGCTCGAGAGGAACTGGTCTCACATTGGGATGGAAGTTGAAGGTGTTGGTAGGACTAGCTCCAAGCCACTGAGCGATATCCTTAGCGTTGGCCAGGGAGGAGCTCAGGGCTACCAAACGGATGTTACGCTCGATCTGAGACGAGATGTAACGCATCCTGGAGCAGATCACCTCAAGAACAGGCTGGAAGAAGATGAAAAGACATTATCAGACTTGTATGATGTATACATATAAATAAGCAAAATTGTGTTCATATTGGCAGATGCAATACTAACATATAATAAGTAGATATAATAATGTATTAGAGAAGCTCTCAATTTACTTGCTCAGTCACAATGCTTATGTTATGATGTTTCTTTTCAAGCAATAGAAGCAATTGAAAAGTAACTGAAATTACCAAAAATTTGTTATGGTTCACATGCTCGTGTATCCCAATGTGATAAAATCAAATGAACACAAATTTACTTACTGCATAATACAAACATAACAATGAGAAAGTTGATGTGTCCATAAATAATCATTGATATCTAAAACATGCACAGAAGTATAAATTGTACACTTTTGATTTAGTGACTAATAAGCGTTATTTCACTTAATACTAACCAATTTAAGATTCTTTCAAAAGATATCCAACATATGCTTTGGTCAAAACAAAGATACTGCTAATTCTATAGGATGACATAGCATCAACTCACCCCATTGTCACCACCAATCAAGTGCAGCTCATCAATGATGAAGAGGTTGACATTCTGAACGTTCTTACGCTGCTTCCATCGTCGTGACAACACATCCCATCGGTCTGGTGTACTGATGATGACATTACCCTTAGCTAAGAGCTTGAGGTCAGTACTAGTCTCACCGGTCAGGAGGACCACCTTCTTACCAAGCTGCATCTGGAACTTCAGATGCCACTCGTTGTACATCTAAGCAACAAGATAACCATATAATATTAGGAACAGGGACCTTTTCATGAGAGGTGCAGACCAACCAAGACATTGATTAGAGCAGCTAACTAGAACAGCTGAAGACAGGAAGAAATGAAGAATCTGTGTCTCAAGATTTATTTCATTGGCCTCCAGCTTTGTGACATAGATAGTGGGATTCGATATTGCAGCTATGGCAGGGAACCCATAAAATGATTCTCTTGCAATGCAAAAAAAATTCATTTCTCTCTAAATCTAAAGATGCTGAGAAAGAAGAATGATCACTTTTCAGCTAGAGTTTGATATCACTAGACTTGAATCTTCAAACCTGATTTTCAATAAACATCATCAAAGTTCAATCAAATCTTCTAACCAGCAAATCAAGGGTATCACATGTATAACATAGAAGTCATTCTTCAATGAACCTCCAGTAACGCAGTCTATGAATGCAACTTCGACTTTAGATAATCAATGAAATACACCAGTACCTGCTCACTCTAAAATCTGCATTTTTCATATTCAGCTATGTTGTTACCTGATTAAAAAGTCGATTTGGAAATTCAACTCAAGAATCACCAATACATAAATTTTACATAATATCAAGTACAAAACTACAAGTTCTACTGTAAAGGTACTTTTGATGACAATCCCTCAATTGGAACACTACACCAAAATGACTTAGTGCACATGAAGATACTACAGACAAGTTTAAATTCTCAATTATAGAAGCCATACCTGTTCAGCTAGAGCCTCTAGCGGTGTGACGTAGACACACCTACATTCTGAGGATTGAAGCAACATACGTAGGATGGCCAGCTCGGCGATGATTGTCTTCCCGCTGCCAGTGGGGGCGCCAACAAAGATGTTGTCATCTCCATTGTACACAGCGTTGAACACTGCAATTACATCAATGATATTCATTCATTATAATACTTGTGTAATTCATAACAAAGAGCCTACATCAAACACACACACAACTAGGCGTTGTGGCGTGCGCCTGTAATCCTGTAACAGTGGAAGTTACAAACTGATTCTTGTCTTTCGGATGGTGACGTTTAAAGGCCGGTCCTCAGACATAAATAATCATATCTGATTGATACACGTCTGTAAGTACCCAATACACACACACAAAAATACTCAAAACATATTCAAGTGTACAACAAGAGCAAGAGAGAACCCTGTAATGATGCTAGAGGATGGGACCAGGGCATAAGAACCCTGACACCGAAGGTTCATCATATTTATCTTCCTCCTGGTTGCATTCATCTCATAAACATGATAAGAGAGTTCAGAGATGCCAAGAAAAGGAGGTTAACATGGTATTGAAACATTTTTGACCACCTGTAATTTGAATAAAGTTTGTTATCTTATCTTGATTAACTTGAAGCTTTAGTCATAGTGCATTATAAAAGTTGCAAGATGTACAAAATACACTTTTTTTCTTCAAAACTACACAAACCATGTCGTAAGTCATTTTTAAAAAGCAAATGAGGGTCCATGACACCCGAAAGCCTGAAAATGCAATACCATATGCAGTAGAATTGTGTTTTACTGTTATCCTTGTATGAAATGAGTTTTACCTTGAGTTTGTATGGGATTGAAGACAGAACTTTATTTTTTTTTATTTAAGTTTTATTTCCACATTAACTGCATATGAAAAGAATTTACAAAGTAAGGCATATACAAGGTAACAAAACAGTTACAACAAAGGTTACAACAGTAATAAAAACGATGTAATGGCAAGTCATTAAATACATATGATGCTAACAATTATCTGCAGTAATGAGGAGGAAACCTTGGAAGCATTATGCTTGTAATTAAGGTTCCCTTTAAATAATACATTTTTACATTATATATAAAACAAAAAACTTGGTGCTGCAGAGAGAATCAAAGGCAGTGTTCCTCAAACCATTCACCCTTCTATACCAAATACAGTCAAACCTGTCTACAGCAACCGCCCAAGGGAAACAAAAAATGTGCTAGTTGTAGACAGGTGGTCTTTGTAGACAGGTGGTCACTAAAGCAGGTTTGACTGTGTGTATATATATATATATATATATATATATACTATGGATTGCTAAGTAAAGCAATGAGTTTTACCTTGAGTCTGTATGGGATTGAAGACAGAGAACTTGGTGCTGTAGAGAGACTCAAAGGCAGGGTTCCTCAGAGCTGAGACTGGTAAGGCTTGAAGATCTAGGAGCTCTGTAGGGGGTAGGTTCTTCTCAGGGAGGATCAGGTGACGGAAGGACACTGGCAGCTGTGTTTCAGATACTGTTTCAAACAAACAAAAATAAGTGAAATGTTATGGGCAGGAAGGCAAACAAGAAAACACACATCATGTGAAATATTTCTTAATAACATTTAACTAATTGGAGTGAAGGCAAACAATCCGTATTTCTAAGACAGTATATTGCTTCACGTAATGGCTGCTGGGACAACAGCACCACTGCGCCTAGAAGCAATGTATTGGGCGCGTTATAAATGTGATCTATTATTATTATTATTAATACTGGTACACCTATTAAAAAACAGTTATACATTCCTTGTTTCCAGTGCAGTTCAGAGTTCTTCTATCTGAAGAAACATCTGTTTAATTTAGCCTATAATTGATAACCATTACCTTTCATGTCCGTACCTTTGCTATTGCATTTTTGTAAATATTTATCATGTATTTCATGTTTCCCACAAGCAGAGCCTTGAGCATTTGATTGTCAAGTGGGTTTCGCGCCTTACAAATTTTATGTATTATTATTATTACTATTACTTGAAAATGCTGATGAAAAAGAGGAAAGATAACTTTTCAGCTAGAGTTTGTTATCATTAGATTTGAATTTTCAAACCTGATTTTCAATAAACATCATCAAAGTTCTACAATCAATTCTTCATATCAGCATATCAATGGTATCACATGAAAGTTAGATGAGGCATTCTGCAACTAACCTCTATCAAATCGGTACAAGATTGAGTATAAATTTAATGACTAATGCAAGCTGAAATTCCTCATTATATTGGGATCAATACTATCAAATCATTTCTGAACGACCCCTACATTACCAGCTAAATAGGTAAGATGAAGCACACATAGCTGCATTACTATCTTGGCTGTGTATTAAAAGCTGTGCAATTGATTCTCAACATTTCAAACACCACTGTACAAAACTCAACTTTCTGATGTTAGAAAGAATAATTTAAAAATTCAAATTGTGAGTCTACTGTCAAACTTGCTGTTCAGCCGCATTGGCATAATTGTGTGCATCTGTGTGTTATGAGTGTATTGACTATTCATGTATTCAAATGCTTCCTATTATCACGTAGTGCAATGCTAGAGGTCAATACGCATGAGCATTGACTCTCTATGCTTTGCTGGGGTGAGATGAAGAGCCTTACCAATCCACCTGTCTGAAACCACCCTGATGAAGTACTGAGGAGGGAGAGGCTCAAACACAGGAACAGAGAACTTGACAATGTGCTCATCTTGGGCAAACTTGCTGTGAATGGAAACAAACAATTACAAGACTTTTAGTTTACAAGTTTTGTGATGTCACATTATCATATTATTTCTCATTCAAAACAAGAACTTTTAATCATTGTTATTCCTGATACCAGTGTAGATCATATATCATGTAATTTTAATTCTCAATTTCTATGACCACTTGGAACCATAGGAAAGGAAAATTTGATGTTCTAAATCACACAAACTTGAAAGCAATGTATCATTTCTGATTAGAGTCAAATACAAATAATTTGAGGGACTTACATTCATTATTTCACATTTTTTACAATTTAAAAAAAAAAATAAAATGATGATATATTACCTTTTGAGTAGAAAGTACTCATGATGTAGAATGATCTCACTGTCTACATCCTCTACAAGAATCCAGAAGGCCTGCCAAGAATATCATGATAGGAAGAGATATCAATGTGAAGCACTGAATAACCATGGCATAACACAGAAGAGTGAACAAGAAACTTGATGAATTCTCTTTCTCTGATAAGAAAACTGTTATTGCACATAAATTATACAGGGTTCATACTCTTTCTCATAAATTTAATTCCATGACTTTCCATGACTTTTCTAGCCAGAATTCCATGACCTTTCCATGACTTTTACACATTTTTTTTACACGGTAGACTGAAAATTTGATCTCAAATCAAAGCGAAGCAAAGTGCATGTTTCAAGTCTACTAATAGAAAGGCAGCTTTTGTTATCTAGTTATTTCATCTGTTACAATTACATGTTATTTTTTCATCATATTCGATATGCACTGCTATATAATATTCTTACAATTACACATACATGTATTCATATCAACAATTGTCCATTTTTTAATGGCAATTTTCACTTCTAAAGAATACAAATTGCCTGTTCCTGGTTTCATGGACCACCATGATTCCTTCAATAGCTCTCCTTTGCATGTACAAGGTAACTACCCCCCCCCCCAAAAAAAAGAAAACAAAACAACACCAACACACAAACTCACACACATACCATCACCAATTTTGATTTCACCAACAAAACACAGTAGGCCTACTCACATCAGCTGATGAATTCTTGTTTCGCTAGCATTAAGCTGGTCAATAATTTCTGAATGAGTTTTTTCTTGAGACATCTTCATGTAGCTGTTTGAAAGAAATCCCTCTACACATTGCACCTGTCTGAATATTTGGTGGCATTGGTAACAAACTGTCCAAGTTCTTTAATAATTCTTAATGGCATTCAGCTGTTCATCAATCTGTTTCTGAATTACTTGTAACTGGGATGCCTTCTCCTTTGCTGTACGTCGGAGGCTGTTTGATTTGGAAATACAAGTCAATCTTCCTTGTGACTCTGCTTCCTCAGCATACTTGTCTGCTGAGGTGTGAAGACTTTTCACATCTGCTTGCAGTCTCATTTGTTTGGCCTTTAGTTCTTCCAAACCATCCATCAGTCCTTTTCTCTTTCCTTCTTTCTTTTCCTTTTCCTTTTTACGCCTCTGTTCATCGAGATAGATGTGGTATTTCTGCCTGCCTGCAGACGCAGCCAACATGATTGATTTGTCAATAGTCACATTCTTGATTCCTCCAACATACTTGATATGGTCATAAATGGCCCTCAATGATATCAGTGAGTGTCCCAGGAGATTGTCCTCTTCAACTTCGTTGTTGATTGAGAAACCTCTCTCAATGGAGGCTTGTCCATGGGACAAGACAAGCAACATGCGGACCAACTTTAAGAGGGTCGAATAGCGAGACTCGGACAGAAATTTGCACATTACAGAGTCCAATCTCTCTTTCTTTGGATCAAAGTCTCTCATCTCTGCACTTCTTGATGCCTCATCACATGCTTCTGAGTATTCTCTTAGGATATCGTCACATGAATCCTTAAGTCTGTGGGCATCACTAAGGGTGTTAAGCACCCTCTTCAGCTTTGCAGTGGAGTTTTCTTTGTCTTTTGCCATGTTCTTTGGACTCAAGCATCCTATATTTCTCACAAGTGCATACTTAAGCGGACATCGCTCAATGAGCTTCCGGGTCATTGCAGCAAGAAACTTCTTTGCTTGAGTGCGAAATTCCAGAACTTTCAGCTCACTGATGATATTTTTCGCCTTCAGATCTTTCAGCTTCTTCTCAGTGTAGAATCCAATGTCCAACTTGGCCAAGGGCAGCTGAATGGCCTCACTGCTAACATCTACCTGCATTATCTTGTAAGGAGAAGTAATGGTACTCCTGTCCAGCTTTAAAAATCGCTGCATAAGGGATGCAAGCATTCTAGTAAGGTCTTCAGCTAAAAAGGGCAGCATTGGTGCATCAGTCTGATAGTCTGTTAGGAAAGGATTGACCAGCTTTGCAACAGATATGAAGAAGTACAGTCTTGCTAAGAAATCAGTTATATGAGTACATTTTGAAACAGTTTCAAAGGACTTGTTCTTTGGGTGAGGGATTTTCTTCTCTTCTACTGCTTTAACATACGCACATACACTCTCCCAGATGCTGATTGCTCTCTCTGCAACAGGAAGGTTTTCCAGCCATCGGGTCTTGCAAAACTTAAGTGGCATGGTATGATCTCCAGTTATCTTCTGATAATCCTCTCTTCTGGCAGGGGAATCAGAAAACAGGTAATACAAGGATGATAGAAAGCTTTCCACCTCCCAGTCAGCAGCCTTGGCACCTGTCAGAAAAGCACCATTAACTATATGGAGCCCGCATGAGCCTATATTCAGTATGGATTTGGTCAGGTCAGCAGTGTACTCTCGCGTAAAGTCATCATACATCTTCCAATTAAAGTTGGGACCATCCATTGATATTTGCAGTAATTTTTCCAAGCCAACTGTGTGCAGAACTTTATTCAGTTCTTCCTTGAGGTGAACAGCTGAACCATGTCCGATGAACACAGACGTCAAGTAGCGAGTGCAAACTTCATTGTGTTGCCATGTTCTTATGAGGAAGTCCATCTGCTTTTTCTGGAGCTTCTTGTTGAGGCTTTCATCAAACAGTATCACATAGTGGTTTGATTGTTTTATGTTGTCATAAAGGAGGTCTTGCACATATGGGCCCAAACCAAACACCGTCATATACCGACATTTTGTTTCTGACAACGTGAAACCCTTAGCAATAGCTGAGTCCGGAAACATTCTTTGAAAGAGCTCACTGTTGTGCTGGCAAGAATGAAATGATAAATGATCCTCCACCACTTTCAGACACCAGAGTATTTCAGCTTTTAAAGTTTCCTCTCTTGCAGCAACAGGAATGGGAGTTGTCACTTTAGAGGTTGATGGCGCACAAGTACTGGTTGTTGCATCTGTAGACGTGATAGATACTGATGAACTTTCTGCACCTTTTGCCTTGAAGAAGCTCTTGAGTGAGAGAGTAGAATCTAGGAGAAAAGAAAAAAATGTCTATTAAAATAAATAAAATATAAATATCATCATTTGGTAAGATTTAGGGCCGAGTCAAAACGTTTAACTGCCGTTCAAACGACCATTAAAAGCATAAACGTTTTCCTATTTTGACAACCGTTTGACAGTATGGGGAAGGAAAAAAAAAAAAAATTCACGGCAACTTTTGGCCAATTGATGTAAGTCACTAAGACAAGTGGACTAATTTTTGACTCATTCCTTAAAAACATATTTTAAAGAAATAGAAAGGAGGAAATACTTCTCAAGGCAAGCAAACTGTTGGACCCAATTGTAAGTACAAAATTTAGTTTTATGATTTTTGGGGTCAATTTTAAGGTAAATTATTATTATTTTTTTTTTCTGCAGTCCACATACAGTGCCCGGTACAACACTGGCGTGTGAGTGCGGAGCCCCCTGGGTTAGCGTTCGGGCTGTTGCATGCAGTAACCTAGCCGGCCCGGCCCGGGGCCGGGGACGCTCCCGAACGGGCTGGTCGCAGTAAGCAGTAACCAATGCCTGCGAGGTGACATCGCATCGCTAAATAATCTCAAATCTTTCATTTTTATATAATTATTATCAGTCATTATTTGGATTCATGCTCAATAAAGGATCGGTAAAATTCACATTAAAAATGCTCACTTACGACGTTGTTGCTGTTGGAGGTTTGCTGTGTGTTTTTCACTCTTCTTGTGGCTCTTGACGGCTGCTTCGCCCATATTACGGACACTGAATTTACACATACAAACAGCACATCTAGCAGTCCCCAGATCGGAACTTTCTTTCAAAATCCAGCCACGGTAATCCGGGTGTTCTAACCAAGCATCCTTAAAATGACAATTTCCAGGCATTTTGAATATCACTTCCACAAAATTTGTAATGGTGAAAATATCCACGTGACGAGTTCCAAGGTCTGTGAAAATAAACAACTCCGTTTCATGAAGAATCAACACATGCACAAAAGTTTCAAAACACATGCCGTCGCGTCGATATATAGATCGTCAACGAGCTAGCGCTGCCAATTTGCCTTGTTGACACGTCAGTATTGTTCCTTTTTTATTTAAATAATGAAAATTAAAAAACAAATATTACTAATTTACTTTTTCCTCATTTATTGGAGAAGTGTAAAAATTGTAGTAGTCTAAGTGGTCGCAATTTAATGCAAAGCCAAAGTGCAATCGAGGCATTACATTCGTTCTTGGAGTGTCACATGTCGCGTTGGCACCATCATCATATGCACACACACACTGCACACGTACACGTGCGCTAGCTTGCTGAACTGAGCTAGCGCTAGCGAGCTCGCTCGCAAGCTAGCCATGTGCGCACGATGTGGACCGTACCGCCATACACTGACCATACACACGTAGTTCGTATCGTACACGTACACACCCACGTACACAGCGCTTATCCATCGATCATAGTGAACACATTCACAAGTACAATCAGTCGGTATGTTACGAATGAAAGAAAATACGAGAAGAAAATGGTTGAAATATCTCCATTTATTCACTTGTATAGTGAGAAAATACTATAGTTGTCCATAATTTTGATATTCCATGACTTTCCATGACTTTCCAATGGAAAAAATAATTTTCCATGACTTTCAAGGCCTTAAAAGCAATAAAGTAAAATTCCATGACTTTCCAGGTTTTCCATGACCCGTACGAACCCTGTTATACCATTTCTTTTATCTTTATTTGGTTACATACCAAATGACACATCTTCAAACAATAGATGGTTTCTTGATTGATAGGGAATGAATAAATATTATTAATGAACAATGAGCTGCCCCTATAAATGTCCCTATACAATACAGATAACCCATTATAGACATTTCTGTTAGCTTATGGTAATTTTCACGAATTCAAAGCAGATACATATGCACATTACGATTCTTAGAATGTTTGAAAATGCTGATGAGACAACAAAGAAAGATCACTTTTCAGCTAGAGTTTGATATCATTAGACTTGAATCTTCAAACCTGATTTTCAATAAACATCATCAAAGTTCAATCAATTAATTCTTCCAATCAGCAAATCACATGCATTCTTTAAACACAAGCACAGATTATAAAAACTTTAAACAAGATACTCTCAGGGTCTTTTGTCATCTTGAAATAGTCATTTCCCCCCGAAATGCGGTCGTAAAGAGACATGAATGAACATAAAAGTCAACAAGTTTTATTCCAAAGAAAGTTATTAAGATGACGTCTACAGATATATAAATCCTATACTCCTAAATATATAGATGGGTTCCATCCCAAGACTAGATCCTGCATCCTGCACAGGATAAGAAAAGTTTAGTGACTGTTAAAAGGAAAACCATTTATAATTTTGTATTCAATATATCTCACGATATACCTCCTTTCCCAAAGATATCTTTCTATAGATCTAGGCCCCATCTTATAAACAGTTGCGATTGATCCGAATCAATAGCAGGTCCTCCAATCAGTCACAAGTTTACAGTCTCCTATCTGTAATGTACACAGTTGCGATTGTTTATAAGACGGGGCCCTAGAATAAATTCTAGTCTCTAGTATTATGTAATAATCAAGTTTGGAAACGCTTAGTGATTGTAATAAGCGCTATATAAAACTGGTTATTGTTATTATTATTACTCACCTCTGAGTTTCCATGTATCTTCTCATCCCATTGGAAGTCTGGTCTGATGGTAAGCTCTACTCTCAATGTACTCCTGGTGATGGGCTGGATGTGAGTGGCTAGCTCCAACCGAGGGAAGTGATGGATGTATCTATGCAAATTTGATTGAGTCATAATTGAGAACATTATCAACACATAACGGATTGAATGAAGCATCTCATGACCGAGACAAAGGAGCTCTTTGAGACAACTTATGAAAAATTTACTTTATTAAACTTTCCTATTTAACAGTTTCTAAAAATGTGTAAATTTCTATAATTTCTAAAAATAAAAAGTCATATCTAAACAATTGTTATTCCTAAATCAAACAGCACAATATACAACATGCTTTATCAATCTGACTTTCTCCTGTAATGATACTCATGATTACTATGAGTTTCTGAATTTTGTGAAGCAGATGGAGAAAAAAATTCTTAAATTTGGAAAATAATCTAAAATTCCAATGAAAAGTCTTCAGTTCCATTTCCCATTCCTGCCTTCAAAAAAATATCTTTAATCCATCATAAACCTGAATAAAGAAAACCTAGACAGATTGCGAGTGGATAATCACTGACCCGTTTGACCTATAGATGGTGGTCAATGAGATTAGAATGCACATACCTGTGGATGGTCTTGCCCATCTTGGGCATGCGGATGAACTCTCCAAGCTCATTGGGTCCGAGATCAAAGAACCTCTCCCAAGGGAAGTTCTTCTTCTCTATCTTCCTCACGACCTCCTCGGGGATCTTGCGAAATTGACGGAGGGGGCTCATCGACTGCCACCTACAAAGCAAATATGGGATCACGTTACCAGAGATGCCAACCTCTTGACACAAAAAAACAGACCGAGTATCCTAAAAAATCAGATTTTGGAGATCAGATTTTCACGAAAACTTGACACTACCACTGGCCTGTCGGCCCCTGGCCAGTAAAATTTCAGAAAAATGTTTTACTGGTAAGTACGGTCAAGTTAAATGTTTGTTAAATTTGTTTAAAATTCATTAAGATTTAATGAGAAAATTGTAAAGCAAAGTTTTTGTTGGGGTTGCCGGGGTTTACTTGTACATGTTTCTATGCGATTCCGATGTTTTTATGGGTTTTTCTTTTTTTTTAAAGATGAAAAATTGTATTTCAAGAGGTGATATCGTACTTCACTCTTATTATCATACTAAATATGATTAAATCGTACTGGTTGGCATCTCTGTGGTTACAGGTATCGTACAGAAATTACATCATAAAAATGGCTCATCGATCCTACTTGTAACTTGAACTATTCCTATCCCTGTCCCTCAACTCTAGTTCATTAAGCAGCGAGGGACGTTTTCATATCAAATCTTTACTTTTTATTAGAGCAAGTCATAGACACTGATCTTGCTGATAAGTTGGAGAATGAAAAGAACACTTTTCAGTAAAGAGTTTGATATCATTAGATTTGAATCTTCAAACCTGATTTTCAATCAACATCATTAAAGTTCAATAATCATTCCTTCCAATCAGACAATAAGTGATGTATATGAAACCCAACAGAGAAAAATATACAACAGTGCTTCATCATTCCTAGAAAATTGCAAGCTTATTACAAACATCCCTTTTGGGGGGGGGGAAGGAGGACATGAATACGATACAAGTATTTACTTATGCTTGCCCCACATTCTCGTATCTACATACAGACAAGCTCCCATTACTGACATTCCAGGAGCTTTGCTTACATTCTCTTGTCGATCATCTTAGCCAATGAGAGAGTCTTGTCTGCTAGCTGAGCCCAGCCATGATGAAGGACGATCTCAAAGATGGCCCTTACAAGACGTCCTGCAGACTGTGGAAATAAATGCACACAAACAACAGAACAAGAAGATGATATTAATAAATGCATGTTCTGATTTTTCATCATAGACACTGATCTTGCTGATAGGTTGGAGAAAGAAAAGAACTTTTTTCAGTAAAAAATTTGATAGCATTAGATTTGAATCTTCAAACCTGATTTTCAATCAACATCATTAAAGTTCAACAATCATTCCTTCAAACCATAAGTGATGTGTATGAAACCAACAGAGAAAAATATACAACTGGAGTGCTGCATCGTTCCCAAAAAGTTGCAAGGTTATTACAAACATTTTTTTTTTGTGGTTTGGGGAGGGGGCAAAACATGAGCAATACTGATAATTCCATTTTAGTTTGGAGAGGTATGATCTATTAGTGCTGCTTTTCATTCATGTTTGATTCCTTCCATTTCAGATCCTGTTTCATGAAACTTATTATCAATAACAAGTGTCACATTTCTTTAACAAATTTGCTATCAGCCATTTAAATGCAACAATTTCAGTAGCTTATAACAGTTATGGCAACTTTTCATTGATAACAAGTTTGATGAAACAGGGCCCAGGTTCTGTGAACATATTAGAAATGCCAGAAGGCCATTACTATATCAGAGGAATGCAGATACAGTTTTTTCAAAACTATACAATTACCTCTCCTACTATTTTGTACATGGTGAAAACTTGGAATACAACTCTACCTCATTTCATTTCATTTATTGGTTCAACCATTTTTTGTTAAATAAACATTCAAAATTACAAACGATGTTCGAAAGATATATACAAATAAACAAAACATATTTGACAAACAAAGTAACAAAAATGGTTAGGGAACCTGAAAGAAGCTTGAGTTTGTAAGTGGGGTTCCCTTTACAAATAAAAAAAAGTAGAAGTGTATAATGAATCTGGATAATAATGTGAACATATACATATTAAGCTAAGACAGACTAAACCAAAGCACCAGCATTCACCGGCTATAACATTACGCCACACGAGTAGAACCTTATGGTAAGGGTTTGTCTGGCCGTCCTCAAAGTTTCTAGAGAGTCTTACCTGTGTGATGAAGACCATGTCGGCTACCAAAGCAAAGCCGTCCAGTTTCAGTTGAGAGATGTATGCCTGGAGCAACACATTCACCTGTTAGGTAAGAAAGCAGTTGAAGAAATAAACCACTCGTACATATGTGGAAGGATGAGAATCGGCATGCTTAAATGTACAACACGAATGTTACACTAAATACCAAATTATACAGAATCTGTTACAAGTCTATGGGAAGCATGATAACAAGGAAAAAAAAAAAGTTGATATATTTCTCAGAGTCATAAATTTTGATAAAAATCACAGTGAGTACTATTAAATGTGCATGTGGTTTCCACATGAATGTAGAACGGAAAGAAAAATACAATAAGGTATTTCATCTTCTCACAGGGCATGAATGACATTCTGTTGCAAATTTCCTTTAACACACAAAAAACATCATTAATAAAGAGAAAGCATTTCAAGAAATTTCAAAACAATCTAATTGCCAATGATATTTTGTAGTTCTCAGAGTACTTGACAATGCTGATGTGATACAGAAAGAAAGAAAGATCACTTTTCAGCTAGAGTTTGTTATCATTTGATTTGAATCTTCAAACCTGATTTTCAATGAACATCATGAAAGATCATCAATCATTTCTTCAAATCAGCAAAATCAAAAGTATTCAAAGAATAACAGATACTTTACTTTCCTTTCCCATACACTATCATCTCTAGAATAGCCACTTCTGATCTTTAATAGAAACCTACCCAATTATTTACTTGATACTCAATAATATTAATTATCAAGTGGCATCATGGGACTCCTCTTGTGTCAGTAAATATCTGGGCAAACAGCAATAATTTATGAAATTGTACATATCTTGTAAAAGTCACGAGGATCAAATGAAGATTGTGATGGAGAAGGCAATGAAGTGTTAATCTAAGTTGAACAAAAGGGAAAAACTGGAATGAAATGAAATGATATAATTTTGTATCGACTTGGTCTCACCTTTGCACTTGGTTCCTCAATGCTTTCTTTGATAGGTATAGGAACTCTCTCCAGTAGCTTCGTCAGCTCCATCTTCTCTTCCTACAAATAATCATCAGTTAGACAGAAATTAGCAATCACTGTTCAAACCATTTCATGCATAACAAGCAAACAAGAAATTCTGATGTTCCATCTTTGACCATTTGCACCTATATAGACACATATAGATACTTTGAAGTAATTTGTTTTCAAAGACCAAATAAAATATCTTGTATACTAACACCTCCTATTTCCTGTTTTCTTAAGTTGCTTTTAAAGAAGTGATTAAAAAGAAATTAAGTTTTCGAAGAAATTTAAAATGTAGACTTTAATAAAGAGCATCGCGTGTATCAAAGATTTTCAGAAAGTATGAACATCAAAAAAGAATGTATTTTGTTTTGTGAAAAAAGAACTTGAAATGTTCGAGCTTTCGCTCCAGACTGCTTTTCATTTTCCGGATGGTTGCACCAGGTCCACAGAATCCATTAACCCTTACTGTACTGGGGGGGGGGGGCCTTCGGAGGCCCCCCCCCCCCTCCCCCTTGGAATTTTAAATTGTCGTTTCCTGACTTTTTTCCCTTAAGTCTTATGCACATTTCGATACCATTTTCGTCAAAATCGGATATACCCGTAAGGTGTTACATAACAATTAGTATGCGCATGTCATCAAAAATGACTATGCATTTTCAAATATCATAAAAATAATGTAACCTCATGAATTTGAGATGAAGGAAACATTTATTCATTACATTTTCAACATTCTTCACAAGTCTACAGACAAATATGTAGAGTTTTCTGTAAAATGCATAAAACTAGCATTTTGCATAATTAATTAGGCTATAACGACAAAAATTTGCATATTAGGAAAAAACTAATTATACCATCTTGTCCCTTACGTAAGCATCTACAAACATGCAAATTTTCGCATTCATCGGACTTTCCAGGGCCGAGATCATAGGGGGGGGGGGGGGGCCTCCCAGGCCCTCCCCTAGTCACATGGTGCTCAAAATAGCCCAGTACAGTAAGGGTTAAAAAGAAGGTGGCAACGTCATTATAATATAGTGTCAATCAGAATGGTTGTTTGTGATTCTTACCTCCCTGACTACCATGTGTCTGAACTCTGATGAGAGAGAGAAGAACGGAATGATTGTTTGTGATTCTTACCTCCCTGACTACCATGTGTCTGAACTCTGATGAAAGAGAGAAGAACGGAATGATTGTTTGTGATTCTTACCTCCCTGACTACCATGTGTCTGAACTCTGATGAGAGAGAGAAGAACGGAATGATTGTTTGTGATTCTTACCTCCCTGACTACCATGTGTCTGAACTCTGATGAGAGAGAGAAGACACGGAAGAGATCAATCTCACTCAGGGTGGGTTTCAGGAGACTGTTGTAGGTCGACATGGAGTCGTTGGTGCAGTAGTAGTGGCTGGCAATCCGTCCAAGCTCAGTCACCTGCAAGCAAAGTTAAACATAAAATTTTATGTAAACCGTCAGCATTGTGACTTGTAACCTGGTATATATCCAATCACAACTCTAGAACCAACATTCATTCTAAAATGAAAATTTATCGGCTATGCAATTGAAAAGAAAGATTCCTTCATTGGGCGTTATGGTGCTGAAAGCTTAATGTGAGTAGGCATGAGCCATAGTATTATCATTAGACAATTTACTGCACCAGCATCAGAAACAGATAGATAGCTCTGTCCAGCACAAAACCATTGTGAAGATGGTTTAGAATTGCTTGTATTAGGACAAGTGTTGTCCATGTGTCCAAAAATAATAGTGCTTTCATAGCTTAAAGGCATCGTATAACAATGTTTAATCTGAGATGCACGGCCCAACGTGTTATTAGTGTCTGTCATATGGTGTAATATTGAAGCCCTAACAAAATTGCAATTCAAAATTATCAAGAAGTGCCTCAAAAAAGTAAAAATCTTTGAGTGACCGGTTTTACCATACTTGTTTTCCCCAATAGACTGTAGTGTTATAAAAACCGTTAGGAAAACGCAAAATTTGATTTTGATTTCCAATCATAAATATCTTTATAATCAGAGAGGCGATAGGCTTGTAAAAGTCATGGGGTTCCAGACTGACCTAAAAGTTTATAATTATCATTGCAGCATGACCTAAATCCAGGATTTTGTTTCAGAATCTGAGACAAAAATACCCAATCCCTTTAAAAAGGTAGTTTAGAAGAATGCATGAAACCATATTCACCTGCAGGTTGCCTGACTTGCGATCATACTTCACTAGGTTGTTCTTATCCAGGGCGATGGCCGCAGCATGGATCAGGTCTATCCTGAACTGGTCCAGGTCCGGGTCCGTATCCTTAGAGTCCCCAGGGATCCCGTACAGCGTGGGGTTACGCATCATACGGATGTAGAGGTAGGTGTAACCTAGCCAGGTTACAGCATCCTTCATGGTTTGGATGTTACCTAGGACCACCTCAGCGTTCAGGTTATCAGCTAGCTTACTGATGAATTGACTCTCAACGGGCAGCTGTAAGGTGAATAGAATGTTATTTGTTATGACTTTACTCCACAAGAAAACAAAAACGAATAAGACATGGAGTTGAGAATGGTTTAAAGGCCCACGGTACTAATTGAAGCTACTTGCTCCCTCTATATAGAAAACAATGCCTAATCGGTGCCTATTGGTCCCCTATGACCCTCTTTTTCTTATGTTAATTGAGAGCTGAGTTGATGAGTTAGCCACCTGTCAGTGAGCACCCTGGGTGGTCTAATCCCTCCTAGCCAACTAGTACAGACAGTCTTTAAATCTGGAAAAGCTCGAAAAGATTTAGGGGGGGGGGGAAGAAAACAAACCTGAAAGCTACCTCAAGGAAATATCAATTCCAAACAAGCTCCTGTGAATAAAATAAATAGAATAATTTCACACTACACTAACTTTGTGTAACAGGGCAGGACAATCATTCCTTTGTATCTTTAACTGCATCCAGTGACTTAAGGACAGCATGAGAATCAATTCTAAACATAGATTAACTGGAATGGCATACCTTTTTTTCCCTTGATTATCACAATAGAGGTTATAAATGAAAGAGGAAATCAAGGACATTGATACAAAATAGCTATTAATACAAGTAAAAATATTACTTGAGGACAATATGACAATCAATTCTAAACATGAGCTATCTGAAACAGCAAACCTTTTCCCCCCTGATTATTAATAGACGCTATAAATTAAAGCTAAAATCAAGGACACAGATACAAAATAACTATTAATGCAAGTAAAAAATATGATTAATTGAACTATAAACACAAGGAAACTCCTCTGACCTGTTGATTCTGTAGTGAGAGATAGTATTGAAGCTCATTTTTTAATTCATACAATGGTTGTTATCAACATATCTACATATGACAGAGAACCCTGTAATGATGCTAGAGGATGGGACCAGGGCATAAGAACCCTGACACCGAAGGTTCATCATATTTATCTTCCTCCTGGTTGCATTCATCTCATGAACATGGGGAGAGTTCAGAGATGCCAAGAAAAGGAGCTCCTTCAAACACAAAAGCACTGATATAACATAAATATTATACAAGTTTTAAAAAATATGATCGATTGAACTATAAACACACCTGTTGATTCTGTAGTGAGAGATAGTATTGAAGCTCACTGTGGCTGGTGATGAGAATACCCTCTCCCTTCGTATCATACTGAGGGCGCCCTGCACGTCCCAACATCTGCAGAACGTCTAGAGGTCCAAGCTCTACCCATCGACCCTTCTCAGGGTTGTAGATCTGAAAGCAGATCGTACAAACAGTTGGATGAATTTCTCATCACGCAATTGTCCACGACTACTCTCATTACATATGGTTGTTTTCTTTAAATCTTTCTTCTGTATTTCTTCTGTTCGCATTTCTCATGAAGACCCTCATTCAGTATATAGAATTATGAACCTACTGTATCTAAAATTTATGCCGTACATTCTAGTTTTACATATACATTTTCTGAAATGCTACAGGTATGTATATGATTCAATCCATTTCAAATCTCCAGTCCATCAGCATCACATTTGACAAGTTCAGAAGCATTATTGAGATGTGCTGATCTTGTGGACAGCTCTCTGTCTTCATCTACAAACCAACTCTAACAGATTCCATGAAAAAATCAAGTCATTCCTTTCATTCCATGGTGATGATAAAGGTCTGTCCCTTGACAGAAATTTTATTGTAATAACCCAAGTACATACATACATACATAAACACATTTGCAAAAGATTTGTGTAAAAGCAAAAAGACAAAAATCTACCATCAGCCCATCAAGTGTATCCTAGAGTTCTAATCAAGTGTATCCTAGAGTTCTAATCAAGTGTATCCTAGAGTTCTAATCAAGTGTATCCTAGAGTTCTAATCAAGTGTATCCTAGAGTTCTAATCAAGTGTATCCTAGAGTTCTAATCAAGTGTATCCTAGAGTTCTAATCAAGTGTATCCTAGAGTTCTAATCAAGTGTATCCTAGAGTTCTGATCAAGTGTATCCTAGAGTTCTGATCAAGTGTATCCTAGAGTTCTAATCAAGTGTATCCTAGAGTTCTAATCAAGTGTATCCTAGAGTTCTAATCAAGTGTATCCTAGAGTTCTAATCAAGTGTATCCTAGAGTTCTAATCAAGTGTATCCTAGAGTTCTGATGAAGTGTATCCTAGAGTTCTAATCAAGTGTATCCTAGAGTTCTAATCAAGTGTATCCTAGAGTTCTAATCAAGTGTATCCTAGAGTTCTAATCAAGTGTATCCTAGAGTTCTAATCAAGTGTATCCTAGAGTTCTGATGAAGTGTATCCTAGAGTTCTGATCAAGTGTATCCTAGAGTTCTAATCAAGTGTATCCTAGAGTTCTGATCAAGTGTATCCTAGAGTTCTAATCAAGTGTATCCTAGAGTTCTAATCAAGTGTATCCTAGAGTTCTAATCAAGTGTATCCTAGAGTTCTTATCAAGTGTATCCTAGAGTTCTAATCAAGTGTATCCTAGAGTTCTTATCAAGTGTATCCTAGAGTTCTAATCAAGTGTATCCTAGAGTTCTAATCAAGTGTATCCTAGAGTTCTAATCAAGTGTATCCTAGAGTTCTTATCAAGTGTATCCTAGAGTTCTAATCAAGTGTATCCTAGAGTTCTAATCAAGTGTATCATAGAATTCTAATCAGAGGACACTCACCTGAGTTCCTTTAATGATGACAGTATGAGCAGGAAGATTGACACCCCAAGCTAGGGTTGCCGTGGAAACCAAGACCTGGATGTGACGATCAGCAAACAGATCTTCTACCAAGGTCCTGTCCAGCCTGGTCATTCCTGCGTGATGCATGGCAAAGCCATAGGGAAGCAAGTCCTTCAGCTCCAGATTCTGTTGAAAAGGACAGGATAGATGAGAGGTACAAGATCGTGTGGAACTTCCCATATGCTAAAGGTCATGAATGTCTGACGTGTTTTGGTATGAAGTCTGTCATTGATTGGGTTTTCCATGGACTTCAATTGGAATGATTATCATCTTGTGGTTCTGAAAACGATTTACTTGTTACATATAAATCAACTTCAAAATTTAGAAAACATATCGTGGTTGTAATCAACTTCTACACATGATAGAAACTGATATACTGCTGTTTAGAGCCAGGAGGTGTTAACATGGAGTAAAATTAAATAAGTTAACACCCTTTGGTTTCAAGTAGAAGCCAATATAATTCTTCTTTAATGCAAAAGAGAACCCTGTAATGATGCTAGAGGATGGGACCAGGGCATAAGAACCCTGACACCGAAGGTTCATCATATTTATCTTCCTCCTGGTTGCATTCATCTCATAAACATGGGGAGAGTTCAGAGATGCCAAGAAAAGGAGGTTCTTCAACCACAAAATCTAAAATTCATACAAAAGGTTGAAATTCAAAACATAAGCTAATCCATGGTTTAAACAGTCAGCATATATAACTGTATGTTGACATTCATATGACATGAGGCCACATGGGTACTTCACCTATGGAGGTTTAAGCCATAGTTTATACCAACCTCTGTGATTTCTGGCCAGCGATAGATCTTTCTTTGGAATGGCAACTTATTAATTATAATGGTGTTGCAAGTCAGTTTAGTAATATCTATATATCCATGAAGCATTGTTTTCCACTGCATTTTTTTTTTGAGAATATGGAATTCAGTTGATAAGCATTGCTTACCTCTGCATGTTCCGCTTCTGACCTCAAGATCTCCGTAGAGGCTGACCCTTCTCTCAAGAACTGACCTAGCGTGTCCTGCTCTAGACACAGGTCTCTGATGGCTCTAGCCGTCTTGCCCGTCTCTTTACGGGAATGCACAAACACAAGCACCTAGGAGAGGAGAACATGAAAAGTTATATGAAATTCAAATTATACTACATGGTCCTTGCATACAAGCAGTAAACATTTTATGCAGTTTCATGCAGGGTATTATGGGGGGGAAATTTCATTCTGCAACACTTCAAGCATGACTAAACTTATCTTCTCTATAAATATCCCCAAAGAATTATTTATAATATGATAAATCAACTTGAGAATGAATTTTCAGGAATGTCCCATTAAGTGCTGATGGGCAATGCAGGGCTCAACATAAGCAGGGACCACCAAACTGCCCCTCCCCCACCCTTGAGCCATCAAATATTATAAGCAAGAGAAATGACAGCCTGGCATTGTGAAGAGCAAACCCTTATATTGTCTCTTATCCTCTTCACCTTCCTCTTTTCAGCGAGAAATTTGAGAATCGCACCAAAACAAGGAACTCTTATTTAACTGACCTCTTGATTCATATAATACAGAGGAAGCCAATATTACCTGGTTTTTGCCAGCGTTGTCCATCACTTTCTCATAGACAATCTCATTCATGAGCTGGAATCTCTTGAGAGCTTTCTTCTCCGTGATACCGATGTACTGCTGCTCCAGGGGAACGGGACGGAAGCTGTTATCAAAGAAGAAGAGTCCCTTGTCTGGCTTGACCCTCATGAATCCAGCCACATCCTGGTAGTTGGGTAGGGTGGCGCTCAGGCCGACCAGACGAACGTCTTCCTGGGATGTCTCGATGTTACGGATTGTCCTGAGAAAGGGTCATGTGACATTTCATGGTTTTCATGTTGTCTATGAATGATCTATACTAAAATACCATCAATACACTTCTTTTTTCAATTCAGTTGAAAGGATGCCTGGCATGGTCACTTCTATTCTGTTCATAAACAAACCCATTAATCTGACTTCACAAGAAATTTCACATTTCACAATTTCACACTTCACAAGAAATTTAAATACTGCTGTTTAGATTCAGAAAAGTGACAAGTTTGTGTTAAATGAGATAACACCCTTTTGGTTCCAAGTAGAAGATATTAATCTTCCTGTGATGCAAAAAGAGAACCCTGTAATGATGCTAGAGGATGGGACCAGGGCATAAGAACCCTGACACCGAAGGTTCATCATGTTTATCTTCCTCCTGGTTGCATTCATCTCATGAACATGGGGGAGAGTTCAGAGATGCCAAGAAAAGGAGGTTCTTACATTAGCAATCTGCATATCTGCTGTTAACGGCAGAACTACAACAGAAATACAAATACTTATCAAGTAAAAAATGACATATGTCAGGTGTTTGAGGGTAAGGGATTGTAAAAAGGGTTTTTACCTTGAAATCACTGCTTCTAAGACTGGGCCACGGTCGTCATGGAGGAGATGAATCTCATCCTGGGAAAAGAAAAACACAGTTCGTTTCAATCATAAAGAGGTCTTACTGACTCTACAATAAACACACTATGCCTACATTATGAAGTAGGTGTGCACATCAGGGAACTGTTTTCATAAAATTTGTTATCAATAACAAGTTAGAATAAGAGATATGACCTACTGAAATTGTGGCATTTGATTGGCCGAGAGCAAATTTGTCATACAAATTTAGTTATGTTCTCAATAAGAATTTTTATGAAATATGGCCTTGAACCGATTATACCCCAGTGGCACCGACGATATCGACATCAGACTGACATTACAAAGAACACAAATATTAAACTAACCCCTATGGTTATCATTTAGTTGATAATCAATCATTTTGGAATAAGTCTGGGAGTATGGCAGAGGAAATAGTCCTTCATATACATATAAATGTGGAATCTAAAGTCTACATAGGCACTTTGTCACATGTACATGTGTCAAAACCCCTGCCCTTTTTCTATCTTTTGCAGGTAAAGATGATCAGTACTGCATATGGTGAAATCTGTATATAAACACCGCTAAAGGGAGACACCAAAAGGGGTCATTAAAGATAGTTCCCTAAAGTACAGGTTTCAATGAATCGAAGTCTACATGGGCACTTTGTTACATGTAGATTTGTCAATACCCCTGCTTATTTTTATCTCCTGCAGGTAATGATGATCAGTATTACACAGTCAAATATGTATATAAACACTGCTAAAGGGAGACACTAAAAGTGGTCATTAATATTCAAGGGGATTGAAAATAAGGTCTTTCTCCACAGGTGGTCCCTAAAGCAGGTTTGTCCTATTTACTTACGATGATAATGAGCCTGACAAGCTGAGTGTAGGTCTTCTCTCCTCCTTTCCTCGTGATGATATCCCACTTCTCTGGAGTACAGACAATGATCTGGGTTGCTGTGATCTGATCTTTGGTCAGCTGATGGTCACCGGTCAACTCGGATACAGTGATTCCGTACGAATCCAGCCTCTGTTAAAACAAATGCATCATCATCATCAAGTGCATTAGTAGACTATTATCCAATCCATGTGATGCGATAATATGCTTATATTAACTTTGATATATGACAGAGAACCCTGTAATGATGCTAGAGGATGGGACCAGGGCATAAGAACCCTGACACCGAAGGTTCATCATTTTTATCTTCCTCCTGGTTGCATTCATCTCATAAACATGGGGGAGAGTTCAGAGATGCCAAGAAAAGGAGGTTCTTCAAAAATGTATTCTTATAAATAGGATTAAACCTTTGTTTCAGATTATTCTTTCTTAGCCAACACTGCTACAACGAGAAATCACATTATAGAGAATAGTTCTTCTTTGTCTACATCATTTCCATAACCCCGTTAAAGAACCTTTCTTTCTATGCAGGTTATACGTGACGCATGCCACAAGTGAGGCATGATGGCTCAATGGTAGAGCATAGGTCTCTAAACCAATTTTTATGAGCTAGTGCCCTTTGGTAAAGCATCAATCCTCATTACCAAGTCCATCAGTACCCTGGTTGCTTACTTACAAGCATACACACGCTTTCTTAGCAGTTGGGTAAAACAAACTAACTAACCAAACCAACCAAGAACTAGCAACAGTTTCAATAACCATTAGCTACAAGATTTAACATATTCTGCCTTGTATGAAGTATGTTCTTCAAAGATTCCCCTTTCAGTGACTGTATACATGAGGAGTTGCTGATTTTATCAAATCTGTGCTTTGAGATGTTCATACTGCAAAACAATGTTAATCAACATGTCATCTACTAGTTATCTATCACTTTTGAAGAATTCATAAGATTATGCATTACAGTTGAAGTAAATTAATGATATATCAGGGCTTTGGATGCCCCTTTGATTGGCCTCAGTACCCTTCTCATTGGCCTTGGAGATTTTTTTTGCCCTTTCCAATTCTTCCTATTTGTGCTGTAATATAGGAATGTGCCCTACAGAAAAGTGGCCTTACCCTAAAAATATTGTAATTTAAGGCCTGATATATGATTATTTTGCAAAAGAGTATTTGTTTGTGCCGCGTCTATTATTGCTGTGTTATATCTTTCTAAATGTACTATGGAATTTTATTTTAACTATTCTGAATAAACATGCTTTTTTATGTAAATACGTTCATGTTTATTCAGGACCCCATGGAAGACCACTACTTATGGGTGAATGGGCTAATGTACCTTGACAAAAGATTAGAAATAAATTAATAAATTAATAAATGAAATAAAGCTTGATGTGCCCATGAGATGATTGAGTGGCAAACTGACCTTCCTGAAGTTGCCCACCATCTCCTGTACGAGAGACCTCATAGGGGCGATGTAGATGATCTTGAAGGCTGAGGTGTTGATGGTTCCATCCAGGTTGATGTTCTTACCAATCTCTCTCAAGATGGTCAGCAATGCAACATTGGTCTTACCAGCACCCTGAGAGGATGGAGATAAATGGTTCATATAAATGACGAGAGCAAGGATCAAGCATAGTGTAAATAGTTCACTACAACCCTTTAGGAATTTAATTTGTCTAATATTATATATTTCAAAGGTGTTGTAACAATTAAAGCTCTATTTGCTTATGTTTTATCACCTTTGTGTGTTCATACTTTAAACTGTATAATATAATTGCAACTTTTCTTTGATAAAACATTGTTATATTCTTTTTCATGTGAAGTCAATTCAAATGGATTGTAAAATTGAAAATGATTTGTTATATTATACTATTTTTTCTTGTGATGTTAACTCCAATGAATTGTGAAATTGTGAACATGCTGGAAGTGGCAATTGGAGAAGTGTATGTGAAACATTGAAATTCACAATTTTACCCCAGTCTGAGATTTTATGACTGGCCATGCAACATTTGAAAGATGAATATTGGGGATGCGCCTATAATCAAACAGAATGATCATTTGGCTCCAAGCAATTTTTTTGCATTCTTCTTATATTCTATAAATATTAACAAGAACATGGTACAAAATGATAGAAATAGATGGAAAGCCTTGAACGCCAATGTGTGGAATAGACAAGGCACCTAGCAAGCAAGGAAGGTACAAAGAAGTAAAACCATTGCATCTCCCCAATCGTTCTAATCTCATGCTTATATCTATTACATATCACATTGTCTCATTTCTAAGATATTGTATAGCCCTCTTGGGGGGTGTTTCAGAAAGATCCTAAGTTGAACTTATCTCTAAGTTGGACTTAACAATTATGGAAAGCCGTTAGCATCTATGAAAATATTTTAAAAGTTGTTTTAAAAGGCATAAAATGTTGATTCAAATCTTATATATTTTCTATTATCAAGGAGATTTCATGTTCTTGATGTGGAATTTATAAAAAGTCTAAAATACTTGAATTTTTACTTTTGAACATATTTTATTTTAAGGCTACAAATGGCTTTCCATAATTTTTAAGTCCAACTTAGAGTTAAGTTCGACTTAGGATCTTTGTGAAACACCCCCCTGGACACTTACTGTAGGGGCACAGAGTAGCAGGTTTTCATCACTCTCTAAGGCAGCTTTGTACAATCTACTCTGGATTCGATTCAGACTCTTGAATCCCTCAAACGCTGGCTGGGCGTACTTGGGCAGGCGGTCAATGGGCACCAAGGACTGATACAAACAAAGATAAAATGGAAAATGTAAATCAAAACTATTGTCAAGAAATGTTGGCATATAAAAATACCTTGATGGTGGTTATGGGCATCTGGCCATATATTCAAATTTAATCACACAAATTGAAAACATGAATGATAACTGTTACATTCACCATTGGAGAAAAAATGCTTCTACCTAACTACTACACAATAAGAACAATAATTAAAAACACTTTTCATAAACATTTACATATAAAAAACGGCAAAGTAATTTCAATTGCCTTATCCACGAACAAGCTTTAAAAATTAATTAAAAACTACTCATTTCAGGTTACGCACAATTCTCTTGTTATCACATACCATTTAAATCTCAATTTCAAGACTGTGAGATGTAAAAATATGACTTGTTTTGTTTACCTCATCATCTTCATATGGCTTTGGTTTGAGGGCTGGTACATGAACCTCCTCGTATCCTTTCCTCTGTTTACGGTAGGATCCATCAGGGAGCTGACATCTCTTATTAGCCATCAGATGACTGCCTTGAGCAAAGACTATATCCTCCAAGTCAACCAGCTTTTCTGGAAGCATGTTCTGAAGAGAGAGAGAGAAACAAGCATAAAAACAAAACATTAATCAGGACAATCAAGACGAACTATTTCAATTTGAGACATTTTAATAAAGTATGAAGAAATGCCAACAATACAAAGTGGAACACTTAATTCTATTACATAAGGATACATCAAGAAGAGGTCTATTAAAATAGGATTGCTACAAATGAAATACTAACTATTCAGCCACAGCAAATGAAAATAAACCCAGTGAACATAGTTTCTTAAAATTGTGTTGTAATAATAATAATACTACTGTACCATTAGCTATAATTTGAATGCTATCAATAGTATTAAATTATAGAGTCCAGTTCTTTCTATTCCTTCCATTCCTTGACCGTCACTTTATATTAAAAACAATTCTCTCTCTAACTATACTATCACACTATCTACACATAACCCTTGGGATTCTAATGTTAAGTCAGATCCACCATATTGCATAATGATTTAATTCACTCACATTATCATCATCGTCTACTTCCATTGCATCCAGGTCAGCATCGACCCTACTCTGCCTGGCAGCGGCCTTCCTGGCTCTCTCTTCCTTGATCAGATCCTCTTTGTCCGTCTCAGTGAGGGCTTGGAGTATGGCTACTAGATCAGGGTCCTGCTTCATCTGATCCTCAAGCTGCTGCTTCTCTGCAACAGTCTGTGATTTGGCCAGCATGGTGCAGCATAGGACTGTCATTCAAATCAAGAAAATTGGTGTATTTGTAATAATAATAATATAATAGTCACATTTGTAAAGAACTTAAAGCTCATCTGTACTAGTGTACAGGAGGGATTTTGACCTCCCTGCAAGGTCACTGGACAGGTGGTTATCTCATCAAATCTCAATTAACAGGATAAAAAGAGGATCATGGAGGACAAATGGTCACCGATTATGCCTTGTTTGTTATATAGAGGGTGCAAGTAGCTATAAGTAGTACAGTCTGGCTTTAATACAACGTTTCTAAGCGCTTTACATCGTAATCATTATTACCTCGGTCATTGGATTCAATTGCTAATCATGACAGTACACAAGCTCTGCTCCCTGCAGAATATTTTGGCCAGGTGCCATTTTACAAGTGCACACATTCCAATCCCATCACATCAAGTTTAAATCCTACCTGGGTTGAGAGTGGCAAATGTAGATTAATGTCTGGAAATTAGCGCTACGTTGGTACTCGAAACGCAAATCATGTGATCCACAGTCTGGTGACATATCCACTAGACCACGACATCAATACAATATCACCTCTTCAATATTCTGAGTCAAATGGAATATGGATCACATCATAAACATCCTCAGACAAGACATTAATCAATAGTTGCAAAACTCTTCTCAGGTGAGGTAATTGGGTACCTGGCAGGTATTAATTCCTTAACGGGACTTGGTAACATTGTTCAGATGAGAGATAGTGGTGCTAAGGTAGTGACTTCAATGCTAGATGTACAATTAAAGATAATCTGAAAATTTGAGTGAAAACGGACCATTATTCATGGTACAAATTGGGAAAAACTGATCTGATCGATTCCTTAATTCTCCCAACTATATTATAACAATTTAATTACATTTTAGGTGAATGGAAACCTTACAAAGCAATAAAAAATGGTCGGGAGAATTTAGTGTTAATCACTGTGAGAGGGTGTCGTACATGGACGTCTTCAAAGAAAACCATAAATATCTTTGTGGTTTGAGAATTTTTCAGGATTTTTTTTCATGTCAGAGGGTTAGTACAGTAGAGGGAATATAGTAAGTAACATTTAATACAAAAACTACCGGTATGCAATCTTTTCATCAACCTTCAACAATGTTACCAAGTCACTTTAAAATGCTAGAGCACCAGAATAGCCCTCATGCTAAATCTGGAGTTATAATACTGGAGCATGATTAGACACAGTCATAATGCATTAGTGTACTTACTCATCATTCTGTTCTGTCTGAGGAGTTTGATGAACTCAAACTGAGTGGTACCAAGAAGCATAACAAGCTGATTCTCACACTGTCCGTCATCAGATGCATTCTGTCAAATAAACAATTGAGATCTATTGTAAAAACCTTATCAACAAAGGAACTACTGACCAAACCTAACATACATGACAATTCAGAAAGATATTTGTTATTCATAGGAATATCATTACATTCTTGCAAGTTTGACATTAATTTAATCCACTATGGCACCTCCCCAAAATTAATTGGGTAACTTTGATTCTAATTCTGAAAATTGTAATGCGCCATATCCACTTGCCTAATAATAAACATCATTAGAATGCAGAACACTGATTATACAAATTCACATTTTATATTGTAAACCGGGGCCCTGCTTACAAGCAACCTGCTTATTAAGGGTATCCCTCCATTTTTATGTTTATATCATTATTTTAATACAATGTGTCAATACGATGCTATATTTGTTCTTTTTTAAAGATGCAAAATAAATTGAATTGAAGACAAAAAAGAAAAAAAATCATGAAAAAGGGTCTTGAGAATATTTCAATAAAATTCTGCAGTTTGGAATATGTAAATGTCTAAAGCAAAGCTTCGAAGTAGAACACACTGATCAAAAGCAAGACACCAAGGATAGACTGTAACACTTCCTAGGTGTAGAGAAGAGTGTTACACAACCAAGGTGTAGAGAAGGGTATTACACACCCAAGGTGTAGAGAAGGGTGTTACACAACCAAGGTGTAGAGAAGGGTGTTACAAAACCAAGGTGTAGAGAAGGGTGTTACACAACCAAGGTGTAGAGAAGGGTGTTACACAACCGATGTGTAGAGAAGGGTGTTACAAAACCAAGGTGTAGAGAAGGGTGTTACACAACCGATGTGTAGAGAAGGGTGTTACAAAACCAAGGTGTAGAGAAGGGTGTTACACAACCAAGGTGTAGAGAAGGGTATTACACAACCAAGGTGTAGAGAAGGGTGTTACACAACCGATGTGTAGAGAAGGGTGTTACAAAACCAAGGTGTAGAGAAGGGTGTTACAAAACCAAGGTGTAGAGAAGGGTGTTACACAACCAAGGTGTAGAGAAGGGTGTTACACAACCAAGGGGTAGAGAAGGGTGTTACACAACCAAGGGGTAGAGAAGGGTGTTACAAAACCAAGGTGTAGAGAAGGGTGTTACACAACCAAGGGGTAGAGAAGGGTGTTACACAACCAAGGGGTAGAGAAGGGTGTTACACAACCAAGGTGTAGAGAAGGGTGTTACACAACCAAGGTGTAGAGAAGGGTGTTACACAACCAAGATGTAGAGAAGGGTGTTACACAACCGATGTGTAGAGAAGGGTGTTACACAACCAAGGTGTAGAGAAGGGTGTTACACACCCAAGGTGTAGAGAAGGGTGTTACACAACCAAGGTGTAGAGAAGGGTGTTACACACCCAAGGTGTAGAGAAGGGTGTTACACACCCAAGGTGTAGAGAAGGGTGTTACACAACCAAGGTGTAGAGAAGGGTGTTACACAACCAAGGTGTAGAGAAGGGTGTTACACAACCAAGGTGTAGAGAAGGGTGTTACACAACCAAGGTGTAGAGAAGGGTGTTACACACCCAAGGTGTAGAGAAGGGTGTTACACAACCAAGGTGTAGAGAAGGGTGTTACACAACCAAGGTGTAGAGAAGGGTATTACACACCCAAGGTGTAGAGAAGGGTGTTACACAACCAAGGTGTAGAGAAGGGTGTTACACAACCAAGGTGTAGAGAAGGGTGTTACACAACCAAGGTGTAGAGAAGGGTGTTACACAATCTAGGTGTAGAGAAGGGTGTTACACAACCAAGGTGTAGAGAAGGGTGTTACACAACCAAGGGGTAGAGAAGGGTGTTACACAATCTAGGTGTAGAGAAGGGTGTTACACAACCAAGGGGTAGAGAAGGGTGTTACACAATCTAGGTGTAGAGAAGGGTGTTACACAACCAAGGTGTATAGAAGGGTGTTACACACCCAAGGTGTAGAGAAGGGTGTTACACACCCAAGGTGTAGAGAAGGGTGTTACACACCCAAGGTGTAGAGAAGGGTGTTACACAACCAAGGTGTAGAGAAGGGTGTTACACAACCAAGGTGTAGAGAAGGGTGTTACACAACCAAGGTGTAGAGAAGGGTGTTACACAACCAAGGTGTAGAGAAGGGTGTTACACAACCAAGGTGTAGAGAAGGGTGTTACACAACCAAGGTGTAGAGAAGGGTGTTACACAACCAAGGTGTAGAGAAGGGTGTTACACACCCAAGGTGTAGAGAAGGGTGTTACACAACCAAGGTGTAGAGAAGGGTGTTACACAACCAAGGTGTAGAGAAGGGTATTACACACCCAAGGTGTAGAGAAGGGTGTTACACAACCAAGGTGTAGAGAAGGGTGTTACACAACCAAGGTGTAGAGAAGGGTGTTACACACCCAAGGTGTAGAGAAGGGTGTTACACAACCAAGGTGTAGAGAAGGGTGTTACACAACCAAGGTGTAGAGAAGGGTGTTACACACCCAAGGTGTAGAGAAGGGTGTTACACAACCAAGGTGTAGAGAAGGGTGTTACACAACCAAGGGGTAGAGAAGGGTGTTACACAACCAAGGTGTAGAGAAGGGTGTTACACAACCAAGGGGTAGAGAAGGGTGTTACACAATCTAGATGTAGAGAAGAGGCATCATAACTCACCTTGAGGATGTCTAAGATTTCTGCCGACCTCGCCTGTGAGATGTTAGGATCATCGTAGAATTTCCCCAGCTGCCTCTGAAGCCAGAACGCATCAATGTCACGAGGGTGAAGTCCCTTCTTAGCAGCCATGAGCACATCATCGCCACCTCCAAGCTGATAAAGGAGAATACAATTGTTAATATTCACAGCTATATCATGGGCACAGAGAAGTAAGTTTGTTCAGTTGGTACAGCATTTGCCTGTCAAAGAAACATTTGAAGTCCAAAATCCAGCCAAGGCAGATTATTCTTAACAAATAGTAACAGTGATAAATTACACGTTGCTTTTCTACCCCTTTACGCTACATGTTGACATGGTAGGGAGGATAAAATGTGGAAAATTATCAGGGGGGGGGGGGGCATTTCACAAAACTTGTCATCAGTGACAAATGACAGTTTTTGTTATAAGCTACTGAAATCCTTGCTTCTGTTCGGTTATCAACAGATTTATCACTGATTTTTGTCATTTGTCATTGAAAAAAGGCTTTGTGAAATGGGTCCCAGGTGCTTACACTAGTCTTGAGCGTGGATCCTACACCAGAATCTTCCATCCCTTCCTCTTCATCAGACTCCTCCTCTTTGATCTCACCAACATCTTCATCGTCTCCTCCGTCATCATCCGATTCCTCAAACTGGACGTTCACACCAAGGGTTTCATCAATGTCATCATCTAAGGTGAGAAATTTATTCAAAGAATGAAAGGAGTTTTGTTAGCTTGGGGAAGATATATTGTGGTGTTCTCTCTTGGTTACAGATTGTGTACTTGATCAGTTAATGAAAGTTGTCGGCTGCCTGCAAGAAGACTGCCATTTACAATATGTATCTTCTACAGCCATCTTGCGGGCAGCCAACAAAGTTTTCTGAAACAAAGAAGCCATACAACCAGGTTATTTATATATCAAGACATTGACAGACACAAACAAAAATAATCACATTTCATAAAAGTATTTGCCACAAAGTAATGTTACCTTAAATGGAGAAAGTATAACAATATTTATCAAGTGTTCAAAAATGTATATTTTATTCTTCGTGTTAATATACATCAAGGCAGTAAACTTAAACAAACCTGATTTTGAAATGGTCATCTCCTTCAGGCATATCATATTTCACAAAGCAGGCGTGTATCAAGGTCCAGGAACAGTTGTAGCATCACTGCCTATTACCCATGACCATCTTTGACTTTCATTACTATCAAACCTCTACCATCACTGTAATTAACATACACCTTTCTGAATGTTAACTTGTTCCTTACTATTAAATATACAAAAATTATCACTATTTATTAAACTTTTAAAGGATAATCTGTGGCCAATCAGTCTCCTTACCGATATTCTTCTTCTCCTTCTCAGCTCCATAATCTGTGATCTTCTTGCCCAGGTTGACCAGCAGAGCAAACCTCTCTTCAGCCAGGGTTCCAAGCAGCTGCTCCAGCTCTTTCTTCTTGTCTTTGTTCTTACTGTGTTCATTCTTCAGAGTAGCTAGCACTTCATCTGCAGCGCCACACAGGATGTCACGAGGCTGGGTTTAAGAGAGGTTCAAGATATTTCATCAATGAGTTTTCAGAATTCATTCTTTTCCCCTCCAAAGTAAAACATAGTTTTGCAAAGACCTCAGCCTTTTTCACACTTGAGCCACATTAACCTTTTCACAGGTGGTCAGGATTTTTTTTTTTAGTCTGTATGCACAAGATGCTGTTTTGAATGTCATAATTTTGGGAGGTAAGGGCCTCGCTTCATTACCCTTGTTAACAGTAACAAATGCTAAAATTCTATAACAAATTTGCTTTCAGCCAATCAAATGCCATGATTTCAGTAGTTTATAACAGTTATTAAAACATGTTATCAATAAAAGTTGTACAAAACAGGGCCCTGGAGTTGAAATTTTGGGGCCCTTGTGTGCTAGACCCCCGTAATGTCATGCCCTACTTGAGCAGCTATATCTACATCACAAAGTTCCTGAAATAAAGGATTGGAAAATTCCCTTGAAACAATTAGAATTTTTTTATGATTATGACTGTTTAAATAATTAGCTCAAAAGAATATGATCAGCTGAATAAACAAAAAAAATATTCAAATAACAAGTTAAGAAAGCCACAAGTACTAATACAAATGACCCAACTAGTAACCTGTCCAACCACTCACCAACTTACACACAATTTGAAGAGAGAATAGCTGTGTTATAGACATGTGCTAAGGTGTCCACACAAACAAAAATGTAAAGATTAGCGAGATAAGAAGCATACCTGATCTCCAATAGCAGCTTGAATGAAGCTAAGCAATGCCTCATAGGTTCCTCTGGTTTCTTGTGTCTTTGGTCTGTAGTAGATTCCAACAATGTCTTCTACACCAGCAGATAGCAGTGTTTGACCTTTGAACTTCTTCATGTCATACCGAGCTTCATCTCGTTTCTTTCTCCTGTAAACAGATCACATGTAAATATGTGTCAAACAGGCTAGACAGTTGTTCATGCCACTACACTGGAAGGTATCCTTGTTCAGACTATTAATTCCGATAATTACATAAAATACATGGAGTTTAAAGCCCCAATTGCGCCCTCTATACAGCCAACAAAGCCTTAGCGGTACACATTGATCCCCCACGATGCCCTTTTTCTTATGTTAATTGAGAGCTGATTTGATGAGATAATCCTCTACCAGTGACAAACATGCCAAACTAGTGCAGAGAGGCTTTAAAGGCACTAATACAAGCTTATGTTTTACAAAGCATTAGTCATTCAACCAGTAAACCAAAACACTTGGAATATCTTTCTTTCCTCTTTGACACCTGAAACTATTGATCCAATGAGTCACTCACTAGGCACAATATACGCCTGCAACAACTAACTTTCCAATTTGCCAGGTTTGTCTCTCCTGTCTAAATTTCAAAACCCACTTATGGTCACAATTAAAATAAATTTTGCATAACACCTAAACAGTACAAAATTGTTCACAGTGTCAATCTAAAATTTGAATCATGTCCTCTAGCTAATCCCTACTTGATTATCCCTCTTAAAAAAAGGAAAGCCAGGATTCAGAAAATTCTGATCTGACCAAATTTACATACTTTGCCTCTTTCTCTTTCTGCTGAGGGGGTCTGGTTCTCTGAGCTCTGTCTCCCATCTTACTATAGCCCAGCTTGCCCACCAAGCTCATCACTTCACCGGTCGCCTCATCACGATTTCTTCGCTCGACCAGCGAGCGATCGACTTGAAGTACAAGATTGGAGTTCTGAGGGGAGATAATAGAAGCAGATTTCAATGGTACATTAAAAGGTGAAGAAAAAAAGGTTTAAATAGTTATGCACAGTGAATGTAAAATGCATCAAGAAAATCATTGCGGAATCCTTTTTCTGCATCGGTAACGCGCGGATCGGAAATATGAAACATCTGCGAAAATGCGATTGATCCTTATTTATTATTGCGCAAGCGTCCGTCAGCGTTTAAGACAACGATCCTTGTTACTGTGGACGATCCTTATTCTCGGACCAGCGCCCCTACTGGTAGCAGTACATTAGCGCTCCTTGTGTTTCCTTGCTCTTATCTTAAAACTGTCACTTTGTCTCAAGTTATAATTCATTGATTCACAGTCGACATTGAGGGCGCTTATCTCATATCTGCATTCATTTCTCACTTCTCAATAATGATCTTCCAATCCGATTTCTGTAGCCGATTTGTTTAAAAATGCAAATCAATGTGCAACTCTGAAGCTCTGAATCAAAATGGGGGTAGCAGCTATAATGTAAGAGGAATTGGCATTTGATGAAATAACTAAGAACACGAAATGCAACAGAAACTCAGAGGCTTGAACAAAGCTCTATACACTACACAGGATCAAGCAGGTGGGACAAGTGTAAACTTTCATAACGTGCGGCGCGTGCCACAAACCACTTTAGTCTTTAGATAACACTGCGTCAAATCGTCAATTATTCCCCTCCGAACAGTATTGAATTTTTCATAAAAATTAAATAGAACTTACTGCTTTGTACTCATACTGCAATGACCTAGCCGTAGCATCAGCCATGGTGAAATGTAGTTTTTAAGACGAATTTGTGTACGATTTACTAACGACGATTCATCGTCGCTTTCAATGCTTGCGTGAGAATAAAATAACTAGGACAAAAGATGGCAGTATTCATGTTTGATGGCATCTCTTTGGGGTAAAAATAAATTTTCTAAAATATGAAATTTATAATATTTAATAATGATAATAATATTGAAATACAAGACAAATGATAATAATAAGGACAATAATAACCACAATTACTATCCCAAATGCTCCCATACATTGCCACTGTAGTGCTTATATCATTCCATTCTGTATTATACGTTCTAAATTTTGTTATGAAGAGTGTTGAATAAACTTTGACTTGAATTAAAATTGAATTGAATGATAATAGTATCATCACTACTGTTTTCATTATATCATTAAATAATAATGAAAACAGTAGTGATAATAATGATAATGATAATTACAAAATACATATTACTACTGATAATAAGATTTTTAAAAAATTAAACAATATCGAATAATGGGATATGGGGGGAGGAAGCGAGTGCCCCATTTATTAACGTAAGATATTAATGCTTCTGTCACCTTTTCAATTTCTGAATAAAGTACAACAGGTGTTATGCTGCTGTACGGTCCCTTAGACCCTTGTCTGCCCCGATTAGACACCTCATTTCACCCATAAGATTTGACCTGAATCAAAGTTACACTGAAACCATCGAAGTCCATGACAAAATGGTAATTAGTTATTTTAATATAGCCGTCGGGTTCCCCAAGGGTCCCCGAAAAAGACTCCCTTTTAAATCTGCACCCCATTCGTCCAACGTTGGCATTGAGGAGTATAATTCGGCATCAATATACAAAAAATAACTGACGAAAATGGGATGAGTTGTTATAGACGCCCCTATAAATTGAGGCAATTTTGTCCTATATAATTATAGTCCCTTAGTACTCCGATTAAGCCAAAGAGTTTAAAGAGCTGGAGTCCCAACTGGCAACAAATTATTCCAAGCAGCTGCCGTTTTCTAATGTTGCACAATAAAATCTACAGGTTTGCTGTTACCTTTGATGTCCGAGGTTCGAAGCCGCCAATATGATTGGAAAGCTTGAGTGATTTTATTTCCACCAAGAAATATTGTTAATGTTTCACTTTTTATTTGAACTAACAGATGATAAAATATGAACACAAAAGAAAAGAAATTTGCTTACATTGTATAATAAAAGTTTTAATTGGTGAAAAATAGTGAAATTTTACAATCCTAAAACCTGCAATTTAAAGGTACTATGTCCCATTGGCAGACTGAAAAGAAAATTCCAACGGCATTTGAAAGATAATACTAATTTAGAACTTCCCTAAAAAAAGGGGGGGGGCTTGAAAATGTCTTTAAGTGGGAAAATAACGAATATTAGTTGTCGAATAGAGCAATAGAGCCAGTAAATAATAATTTGATTTTCGGACCATTGTACCGAACGGTACTACGTTCTATATGCTGCTCAAAGATTCAATCAGTTTAATTTTGGCCGCTACAAGAAGTGGGTTATTAATGTAGACAAAATAATGATGCTCATGTACACAGTTTACAGCTCATTTTATGTATGTTATTACCACAGAAGAAGAAAAAAAAGTAATTTGAATATAAGAACACTGCTTACGTTTAAATTTCACAGATAGGATGACATATTCATAGTTCCTGCAAAGTTCTACAGAGTTTGATGTTGGCTGCAAAAGGGACATAGTATCTTTAAAACTTTCCCGATTATTTCCGGCTAACGAAAATTAATAGTGAATTTGTTCAGGTACAGTTCTTTATGATGTTATAGACCTATGTCAAATTAGTGCCAACATAATGCCCAGTCGAGTAATTTTGATTAATATTTCAGGAAATTTTGCTTCATTTCCTTTCGCTTGCCTCCTGTAAAGGTAGACAATGTTTACTGCTCCTATTAGATCAGACGAGTGATAGCGAAAGGTAATTATCATTACAAAAGCATCCCTTTGAAAGATGCCCGAATTTTGTTTGCAGCTAGCTAGGCAAAACTCATGATCACCTGTTTTGCGAAACAAAATAGAGGAGATGCTGGATATTTAAACTATTTGACTGCAATGCAACTTATACAAGTGTCACACAAAAACCTTGCATACATCAATGTTTTTAGCCAATAGGCCATTTTCGTGAGATTATCAAATTTCATGCACAACTCTTTGTTGAGTGCCATGTTACAAATCATTTCTGCATTCACATGTTACGTATAATTGAATTTCAATAGTCAGAATGCGAATTGCATACATTGCGTGTTGTTAGGTAGCTAGGACAAGCCATAATAGGCCATTTTCGTAATGTAACCAAATTTAATCTTTGTAAAGTGCTTCAATACAAATTATTTCATTCACCTGATAAGAATAATAGTATTTCAATGCAAACTGCATATATTAAGTGTTGCTAGGAAGGGCAAGCCAAAATGTTTGTTCTTCCTGGCAACAACTAATGTAATTATGCAGTTCGGATTATATTTATTGAAATACTGTTATTTATCAGGTGAATGAAATAGTTTGTATCGAGGCACCTCACAAAGACGCATGCACTGAATTGGTATCGGTTACTTACAAAAATAGCATATTGTTGTCCGACCTAGCACCAATTACCAATGTATGCAATTCGCATTCTGACTTTTGAGATAGGCCTACATTATTCGTAACAGGTGAATGAAATGTTCGTATAAGGCGCTTTACAAAGGCACAAATTTGGTAACATTACGAAAGTGACACATTTAACATGTATGTGTAAATTAAATACCTTGCCTATAAAAGCAAGGTGATTTTTTAGCCAATATTCCAACCGTGAATATGGTTTCGAATTCTCAACCCTCACATAGTCACATATAATGTATCCCCTCAGTTTCCTTCAAAGAGAATGAACATGAAAAAAGAAGGATTCCTCAAAAATGCTACAGGGATATGCTGACTGTCGATGTTTTTTATTTTCATTTTTGTCTATTTAATTATGATGAGAAAAATTATTGATTGTTTCGTCCATATTGTGAGTCAAATTGTCTATTTTGCCTTGGTATGTTATATTATATAAACCATCATCATTCTGTTCAAAAATGAATGTGCTTTTTGGTCTGTAGAACCGTATGATATGCCAACAAAATATAGTCCGATAGAAGTATACAGAGAAAGAGAGACGGAGATAGACATGATGAAAAGGGAGGACGCAAAAAGAACTAATTGACATTTTACCTCTGAAATTTTAACCTTTTACAATTTATACATCATACCCTGTGCCCTCTACCCCCCCCCCCCTCTCTCTCTCTCTCTCTCTCTCTCTCTCCCTCTCTCTCTCTCTTTCTCCCTCTCTCTCTCTCTCTCTCTCTCTCTCTCTCTCTCTCTCTTCTCCCTCTCCCTCTTGATATATCAGACAATCTCTCTCATTCCCAATTCTCTCTCCGTACTGTAATATCAAGCTCCACAATGAGAATTTGAAGTTGAGGGTATACGTGGGCCGGAGATGGGGCGGCGTTTGGGCATTTCATTATTCTACCAGGGAATTTTGTGGGAAGTCACCATTATATTAAGTCAAGCGAAAAAATGTTAATTAAATGAGCTTTGGGTACTAAGGATGTAAAATTTGGTGTGGGTCCTAGCTGACGCCTTATCGGGGGAGCTGATTTTAATCCCTCACCTTGTAAAATGTTCAGTTTCCTTTCAGGCAGTGGCGGATCCAAGTTTTCCACTAGGGGGGGGGGGGGGGCGGACATTTGAAAATCGCGCAGAACATCATTGCACTCAACGGGGGAGGGGGTAGGCTAGTGAGTACTAAATATTATATACATATTTTTAAAAACAATTTTTCCCTCAACACCAAATCAAAATATAGATTCGCAGTTGCATCAATAATTTTGCTTATATTTAGAGCATGGCACGAGCGATTTTGCGAATGTAAGTATTTGGAATGTTTATCATTTTCATCAATGCGGTCCGCCTCTCTCTCTTTTATTTCCTTTTTTTCGCATAACTGTCATTTTTGTTGGTCTCAATTTCTCCTCTATTATAGATTAATGTTTATAATCCACGGAATTTATTTCAATACGACTGGTCAAGAAATTAAACAGAAACATTCAAATCACAACTGAAAGGTTATCGTTGTAAATTTTATTGCAATATTCATTTACTATGTCTAGGCGGAGAATTTCGTTTTTTTGTTTTTTCTTTCTTATGTTTGTCCTATTTGTTACCACCGTAAGAATAATTTTGCTGAGGTTACATTTTTGACTTGTACTATACGTATAATATAATTGGCCTAGCTCTCTTATTGGGAAATATGAAAGGCCCCTCCATGCATAAAGGCCCCTCCAGTGTTGTTTCTTCAACTGGGCCCCTCCATCAGATATGGGTCAATTAAGCCCATTGTATTGTAGGCCTCACATAGTAAGGAAGCCTGATCGAGATTTTTTAAATGAATGGGAGGGGCTTCATAAAAATGATGATTATTATTACTCTTTATCAATCAAATTAACACAAAATTTAATATGCGCAATATTTTGATAGGAGCTGAAAAGTGCATCTATCATTTTTCATGCGCCTGTGAAATGATGGACTCCTTGCAAAATCAACGCTGCGCGCGCGGAATCGAATCTGCATGCCACCTAGGGATAGACTTTCTACGTGAATTGCCGGTATATCATGGACCGTACCATACGTGCACGTGGGATGTTCAGGCTTGTCAACGTCGGCGACTTAATTGTAAGGTAGGGTTTTTCTACTTTTAAATGCCGATATGTGGAATAGAAAATCCAAATTATCACTGTCTGAAAAAGACAGTATTTGCCTGCGGCGTAACCCCCCAAATGCCACGATGGCAGGAAACAAACCAAAGATACAGAAAAGTTTGGCAGTTCAAACACCGAAGATGAAGGAACATGCTGAGAAGAAGAATGCCCTCGCCCAGCTGAGTGCGATGTACCCAGCCAGCTCCTCCGGGGAATCTTTATCTGAGATGTCCGATGACAATGGGGGTGACGAAGGACAGTGTGATGATAAAACGCCCAAGACTTGCCAAGCTTTGCAAGCTGACGTATCAGGTAAATTCGACAGTCTTCTTGATATCATATTATGTTCATATATTGTAGTTCTTTCGTGTTGTTTTTATTATTGTTGTCAATGTTTCATTCAATCATGGCTCATGCAGCCTTTCAATTATTATTAATGATTTCGGGCTGGGGGGGGGGGGGGGGGGGGGCATGCATTGCATACAACACAGGGCGATATACAAATTACAATACACATGTATTATTAATGCAGGGCTTAAATTAATCCAAGGCCACCAAGGCCATGGCCTTTGATGCCCTTTCGATTGGCCTCAATGCCCTTCTCATTATGGCCTTGGAATTTTTTTTGTGCCCTTATCCAATTCTTTCTATTTGTACTGTAATATAGGAATGTGCCCTACAGAAAAGTGGCCTTGCCCTAAAAATATTGAAATTTAAGGCCTGTCAATGTGAATGTCTAGTATTTAGTTTTCTCATTTCCTTAAAATAAACCTCCTGTTTTGAGCCAGAACTGCAGAAGAGTGTTATTCTGTTAAAGGTACTATGTCCCTTTTGCAGCCAACCTCAAATGCTGTAGAACTTTGCAGGAATTGTGAATATGTTATGTATGTCCTATCTGTGATATTTAAACGTTAGCAGTGTCCTCATATTCAAATTACGCAAGGAAACCCGTTTACTTGCTAGACTTCACTGTCAGACACTATTGAGTGACTGACTGGCTTTTTTTCTTCTTTGGTAATAACATACATGAAAAGGGTTGTAAAGGGTACATGAGCATTTGTCTACATCAATAACCCACTTCTTGTGATGGCCAAGATTAAACTGATTGGATCTTTGCATAGCATAAAACATATGACCATTCGGTATTATTGTCTGAAAATCAAGACCATTACTTTTGGGCTCTATAGCCCTAAAGTCGATTTGACAACTAATAGTCGTTATTTTCCCACTTGAAGACGTTTTCAAGCCCCACCTTTTTTAGGGAAGTTCTAAATTAGTATTAGCTTTCAAATGCAGTTGGAATTTAACTTTTTCATTTTTATGACCTGCAAATGGGACATAGTACCTTTAATTCACAACATAACCACTTTTTGCCTCAAAAGATATAAAAATATATTGTGTCTTTCAATGTGAATAGTGGTAATAAATTATCATTAAATACCTCTGGAGAGTGGAGAGTGTCGATGAGGCTCCATTCATTTTAAATGATGATAGGTATAAATCATCAGGATTGATGTAGAGAATCCTGAAAATTGGCTTCATTGAGATATTAGGTGACTTAAGGTCATTACTTTAGGTGATTTTCATGCTTCTTATGTGTATTTTTCTAATTTTAAACTTTCGCATATACATGTATACAGTGTACTGTATTTTACAGGGTAATACATTGCATTTTATGTGTACTTACGCATATAGTCCTTAAATTCAAATCGTAACATTATTGGTATCAATGAACATATCCTTTACATGGTCTTTTTATTGTTGTGTTTATTTTCAGGTAAAATGAAGGAAAACAAGGAGAACGGCAAGAGTGAAGATCAAAGTGAGCTGGAGGAGAAGGAAGTAGACAATCAGAAATATAATGGATACTCCGTAGGAGGGCTGTTGTCACAGTTACGATCAGAGGATGCAGTGAAACAAAGGAAATTCAAGATTCAAAATGTTAAGAGAAATGCAAAAACAAATAATGACGTGCTTTCCCAACCTCCAAAAGATGCGTTAGAAGAAAAATCCTGCAGGAAAGAAGCAGAGGTAACAGAAGATGAACACAGATCATGCATGAGAGGTTTGGAGCGGCAACAGATAATAGTGAGTCCTTGGGTCCAGCTTAGCAAAGATGTAAGCCTTCAAAAGACGGTCACTCTAATTTACCAGAGACTTGTAATATCACCAAAACAGCATACAAACCATCAGAATGCAATCTGAAGCAAGCTGTTGTTGAAGTGCCACATCCTAAAACCCATTCTCAAGTAGCGCACATGGTTGAAAATGACCTCCACAGTCCAGTGGTGAAGAACAAGGTTGCTCAGAAGGACTCTCTTACTATGAACATAGGGCCTCCAAGTTTGAACTCAGCTGTTGAAACAGAAGGGACTGGGAGCGTGCCTTCAGAAGAAGTGCAGTATGAGTGTGCAAGACAGGGAGTAGGGGCTCCGGTAAATGATTGGAAAGCAACAAAGAAAGCGTTTGATCTCATCGAGGACAGTAAAATGTGCAGTACAGGGGATGAAACAGTTAAAGTGGAAAATGATCAGCCACAAGAAATGAAGGATGAAAAGTCTGATGAGAACTGTACAATGCCTGATGATTCCAGTCACGACCTCTGTAGGAATTTTGAACTCCATCTCCAGGACAACAAACTACTGACCCTAGAAATAGCCATGGAAAAAGATGGGCAGTGTGAGAGGGATGAATATGTTGATGAGTGTTCACAAGAAAGAGGTGCTGTTGAAGCTGATATAGGCAGATGGCATTCATCACTCTTTCCTCAATCCACAGAATACACATCAGAGATGCCAATGGATGACCAAAACCCTGAGGGTGAGAGAGCAGAAGAGCCAGGCAGAGATGGTGCTGATGAAAGTACGGAGTGGAATGATGAAGCATTACAAGGGTCTGATTCCTCCTCCTTAGACTTGACCAGAGAGTGTCCTGCAGAAGATGTCGTTCATCTGTCATCACTTGAGAAATCCCAAAGGCTGTGCATCCCTGACAAGGTGGACGATTCCTGTCTTAAAATGAACTTTGATCCAGAACAGGAGGAGAGATCACTGCACGAAGCAGGTGATGACTTGAAAATGAAAATGCCTGGCAGTTCAGGCCTGGAAACATATCAAAGAGGAGAAGAGCTTGGAATGCCAGAAGAAAATTTGAGTGGAAACAGCTTTGACGGAGTGCCAACCTCAGATGTGCATCGTGAGGTAGAAGAACAGTTATCCACAGAGAATAGAGTCGAATCTGAAGAAGCCTCTGCTCTCGTCCCAACAAGGAAACCCATCTCCAGAGAATGCAGTCTTCAACCTAACACTGCTTTGGACGTTTCTCAAGGCCCTGACTCTGCAGATACTGAGCGTGGTGACTTGAGTTTGACTTCAGATGGCAGTGAAAGTATAAATGAAGAGGCCACCACTCCCGTTTTTCAGGAATCGGACCTAAGTATGGACAGTTCATTGATGGGCTTGAGTGATGCCCTAGATCTAGAGTTTGGTTCCAACTCTCCTATTCCCATAATGATGAACGACCTCAACATAAGAATGGGTTCGATTGGAAATACCGACTATGCATTTAACATGAAGGCAGAAGAGAGCATCAATCCTTCATCGATGGACACATGTGATGACGTTGAACGAGACGTTAACAAGGATCCAAACTTATCAGTAGATGATCACAGCATCAGACTTTCCAGATCTGCATCACCTTTTGCAGAAGGTAATGAATCGGCAGAAGTACCTACCAGTGATCATATACAAGGGGTGTTCACTTTTAAAGAGAAAGAAGCGTTAGCTGAAGATTTCAACCACCCATCTTCTGAGCTTCCTAGAGAAGGTGATGAGGGACGAGTTGAAGTGATAGATCAGGGTGAAACCGTGGTATCGGAGTTTGACATGCTCATCAGTCATGAGACACACCAGGGTGTAGATGAGGGTACTCGGCAAGAAACATTCCTGAATGATTTAGTATCGGACCAGGATAGTGGGGCGTTGGCAATAAATGCAGAAGAAGAGCCTCTGTCGACATCCCACCCTGCTGAAGAGTTGACTGAGAATGATGATGCCTTGTCCCTTGTTTGTGATGCTGAGGAACTGATGAGGAATCTGGATGATCTTCTGCAGGATGAAGGTCTCCAGTTGAGCGAGCAAAGGTTAGTTGGTCTTTACTCTCACTTTTCCATCTCTTCCCTTCATTAATTATCTTTCCCCACTTTCTTTGATATTTGATGGTTAATGTCTCCCTTCTCCATCATTTAACTATTAAATGCTCTCCCTTTTCTTCCACCTTTTCTTCCACCTTTTCTTCCACCTTCCCTTTCCATCTTTCCTAGCCTGGAAACCAGATGAAGAACGGAAGTTTTGCCCTGCAGAAACCTGCCGTTTTTGTGTTTGTTTTTGTTTTTGTTTTTAAGTGGTTGATAAAAGCATTTAACTCCTTTTCTGTAGGAGAGGTCGCAATGCACAAAACCTTCAAACATAATTTGTGTAAACTTTCAAATTTGCTTTTCATGTCATTACATCTTAATCCAAACAAATTCAATTTTTCCTTTCTGTCAACCAACTTTAGCCAAGAAACAGACGAGACCTTGTCCGTGGGTGAGAGCAGTAAGTCCACATCTACCAAAGATGTGATTGTTACCGATGCTCCCAGGTCACGCAGGTCAAGCTATAGAGAACCCTCTCCTCAGAGGTCAAGGGTCAGGGGTGAGGATAGAACCCCTGGGGAATCTAAACAAGGGTAGGTTTAATACTTGCTTCCATTTATGCTGATTGTCTAATACTGGATCTGCACTTCTGTGGTTCTGGCAGCAAGATTTATAGAATTCTGTAATTTTAAACACAATTGTTCTAAACCTTTAGAGTAAACTCAACTCAACTGAGCTAATCGTATGTGTAGTTTGTCATTTTACATCTTGAAAGTAGGATTATGCATTACACAGGTCCATGCTGTTGGGGCTATCATCACTTAGATACTAAACAGGGTAAAAATTAATATTTATTTTTCAAGCTTGCCTGCATAATAATATCACTCTAAAATTTGTTTTGCATTGAACTCTATGCAACTTTACGGGGGCTTTTTTCTGATTTTCGGGGGCTCTCTTGGGCATTTCGGGGGCAAATTCGCCCTGAGCCCCCGTGTAAACTTTTCACTGCTAACCAATCACTTTTCTCATCACAATATCATAGAAGGAATATTTTTTAAATTATAAAACATGTAATTAAACAATCTTTCAAACATGATATAATTCATCGAGATTTTCTTGAGATAAAAGAATTGGAAGTCCCTAAAATCTTATAAAAACATGGATACATCTATCATGGTACTTATTTTTGTAGACTAGACAATGCTTATTGAAATTGTTTTATCATCAACAATATAAAGAGATGTTTTACATGTAGGTGTGTCTCTGTAGCATCTCTCCTGTTCTGATATGAGATGACAAGATATTTCTAACAGTTCTAACTGTTAATACATCCTGTTCTTTCAGGTATAACGTATCGGTCCATTCACGGAATGGAAACACAAGATTTGTTTATAAAAACCAAGATTCTCATAGGGTAAGTTTGCCTTTCTCTTTGTCAAAACCTGAAAAGGTAAAATAAACACAAATAAGAGAGAGAGAGAGAGGAATGGAGAGTTCATGATTGAGAAAAAAATGATACAAGTTGATGGCAATGGAAACGTTTATCATAGACCAGAAACAGTGAGGCAATCCTCAAGCTGAGAAAAATATATGAGAAAGTTTCTAGAGGATCAGAGTCAGACATAGAAAAGAGAAGGAGAGAGAGACAGAAACAGAGAGAGAGAGAGAATGAGAATGCTGCTAAATTTACAACCATGGATCATAAACTATCATAAGATTTGTTTTTATGATTTGACAAGTATGTAAATCAAGATGATTTCCAGCTAGAGCTTGACACTTTTTTGACAATTGATTGTCAAATCTTATCCTGAAAATGCAGAACAAGCAATCAGGTTACTGCTTTGAGGTAGCTCTCTTTTATCTTGGTTACTTGGCTGTTGCTAGTATCAAGTCGTTTCTTTGATGAACAATTCTTGTTGATGCCTTCATAGGCTAACCTTCGTTGGTGAAGCTCTTTGTTAGGTCATTACACAAGTTTCTATGATAACATTTTAACCATTGATACTATGGCACCAATGGCTTTTCATGTCAATGTGAGTGCTATCATTGGCAAATATTTCTCGTTGACATGCCAAGGAGTGATTTTACCCTGGCTTTGTCTACATATATTTTCGACAAAATTTATGATCTTCTTTGCCAAGCGAATGCGTCATTCAGCCCAAGTTAGTAATTCAAAAGTCATCTTCAAAATTCATTCAGACTGATTAATAGTTGACTTTGAATTGAGCATCTGTCCTCTGAAATGAGATAGAATTCCACAAATTTAATCTGCAGAGTACAAAATTAATGCTTAATATTTAGATAAAACAGGATGCAATGCATCAAGATATTAACTCATATTCGCAATTTGCTTTTGTTAAACAATTTAAAGGAAGATGTGCCATATAAGTTTAATCTATTTATATATTTTTTTAATCTCTTTAGAAAGAATGAATGTCTTGTACTACATTCATCTTTATGTGAGCGTCTGAACGTAAAAATAATCTTCGTCAACTAAAGGAAAGCTATATACTGTACAGTAGGCTTGCGGATGCACCATGTGAGAGAGAGGGAGGATTGAGGAGTCCTGAAAAGGACTCTCGGTAATCTTTCTTGAGGTGTGTAGTCCTAAAAAGGACTGTTGGTGTAGTCTTGAAAAGGACTGTTGGAAAGCTATGTTGATATGGCTTCAAGTTGATTGTGTTGACATCAGTGCCAATGAAAGGCCTGTCTACGTAAGCCAAGTGCCAACATACATTGTGCATGTATGCATGCTATGTGTGACCACTCGACTACAATTCTATCAGGAGAGTGGACTCATAATGAAATGCCCCTCAGTTATATCTGGGCACCAAAGAGTCAATATTCTTTTCACTAACGCCAACGTAAAGTCCTCTATAAACTATGGCAGGTGCTGAAATTGCCCTGTGTAAGGCTTTGATTTTCCAGTGCCATAAAATTTTCATAAGCACTTGTTGTTGTTGTGGTACTGGTAGTAGTACATAGCAATAGCAAATTGTTGCACACTACACATTTACATAAAAGTTTCTCATGAAAAATTATTTTCATCAGTGATGTTGTGCTCATTCGGACCAGTTAATTTTATACCCTCTGTAGGGTAACATACATAATAAACACGACTGTTGTCATACTCGTTTGCTTACAACCAATGAAAAGGAGAGTGAGTTTTAAGATAGATAGGAGAGATGCACCAAGAATTGGTCTTTTCATCAGTCTTGATATATATTGATCACTTCCAAGTTCTGTTCAAGATGTGTACAATTAATCAAGCATACTATGATTTGGAGATGCAGACTTAGCCCAACTGGCAGTTACATTTTTCTTACAAGAGATTCTGACTAAGAGCACTGGGTATTGAATGCTCGTGCAATTCTAATGGTTATTATATGTACCTTGAGCGTTGTCTTCTATAATTTGAACTTGAAACTTTAATGAGTCGTAAAGATGAACTCTACGTTCTTCACAACGGGCTCACAATGCAGGCGGTTGTAGAGAGGAGTCCCAAACGAGTCACAGGTCCTAACAGGAATTGGTCGGCCAACAAACCGTTGAGTGCTTCAGAACGGTTAGCCTTACACCAACGTCTGGGTGCTCAGAATGCTGCCAACGCATCACCAGTGAGTTATTCTTGCTATACTTTACCCCAAACATTTTACCAGAGCCTCAAAAAATATACCAGAGAGCAGAAAAAGCACAGATTTCTGCATACATTGTCATTCCTTCTTTTTGAGTTAGTGCAGGGTATTTAATGCCAGGAAATTTTGCAGAGAAACACAAGTATTCAAATCCTTAAATTAGCAAACATTGTTGGAATGTTAAAATCATTATTTTCCATATAGATTGACAACATGTAAACTTTTCAATAGCTCCTTTTCATATCTACACTTCTAAGAACCATTGCATGTTATTACAGAATGGCAGGAATGAAAGAATAATACCAAGTGTTACCAAGTTGAGGAAGCGAAGCTGATCAATTCAGCCTTTATAAATATCTTTCCACCCACTCCTCCTCTTCCCATGAACCTAATTGTACTTCTTGAAAGAAGTTTGTTTGTAACTATACACACTTCCTCATCTATTGACAAAAACTGCTTGTAAGAAGCTATGTGGATGCAGTCAATTGCAAATTAGGACAACAAATGTAATTTCTGCATTTAAACTTCATTTGAAGCCTAAAACAGAATTCATATGATTTTCCATCAGAACTTAGCCCTTCACCAATTGATGAGGAACGGTCCAGCTATTCAGCATTCTGGCCTCCTACAGCACCAGCTACAGCAGCAGCAACAAGAGCTTCAGAGACAGCTTCAGAACCAGCTCCCTCCAGCGCTCCAACTCCGCCTTGGCTTGATCAAAAATAATACAGGACTACAGGTATGTCTGACATGGGGGTTCATTCTTGAAGATTCAAACAAACATTCACATGTTCAGTCAAACCTGCTTTAGTGACAACTTGTCTACACAGACCACCTGTCTATAAAGACCACATTTTTTGTTTCCCTTGGGTGGTCGCTTTAGAGACAGGTTTGACTGTATTTGAAATTATACTCTGTGATGTTCTTGTCGGATATCAGTTAAGAAGTCATTTGCAATGAAGAACATTGTAGGTTGAGTGTTTGTGTACTTTGAAAGAAAGCAAGTAAATGCTTGATAATACTAGGGACATGTAGCTTACGTCCAAGGAACTAGATGATTGAGGATGATTGCCTTATCCGAGATGCAGTGGTGCTGACCTTCTCTTATAAACATATTTTTGAAGAACAGCACTTTTCATACTGATTCATGTGTTTGCTTTCTCTCTCTCCCTATATATATATATATATATACATGTATATTATATTGGGGGTGCTTTACTCTTATTTTGAATACATAGTGGATAAAGAATTATAAAATAAAGTAATCATATATCTGTTACAAATGATTAGTAGATAAGGCTAGTTATAGTCTTTAAAAATTCCAAGCAAAAAATATGAAAAGTTACATTCTTTGTGTTCAGTCACATACTCTGTTCAGAATATGTTCCAAGTTTCTTGATACTTTACCGTAGTTTCCCATTCACCTGAATAAGCAAATGCAGAACACATCTGATGACATAGCCCTCATCTGCCAGCGTCAACAGGTGATGGTCGAAAAGATCCTCCAGCTCTACCAGAAACAGCGAGAGAGCGATGACCTCATGGAGAAGCAGAGGGATATCATCCGACATTACCAACGAGCCTTCCTCATCGCTAGGAAAGGAGGACCTCTCTCAATGCGGGAAGCGCCTCAAGAGGGCAACTTGCGCCCATGCACCTCACCTAGGTAGAGTCTTCTTCACATTTAATCAAAGTTAAAATGATGCTTAGATGAGAATGCTTATTGGGAAATAGTTGACGCTTTGCTGTTTCATATTTGGCATGATGATAAAAAAATGTGAAAAAAATTCTTGAAAAGAGGTACTAAAATTTTGCAATTTATTGTGACAGAGCTAAATATTCATCTTGATTGCCATTTGCAAATGTTAACAATGATTTCAGTTGCATATACATCAAGATGCTTGGTAAATTTTAAAAAATAAAAGAGAAAAGGTTCAGCTTGTACAAAATAATAAGGTCAAGATTTGGGACCATATGGGATTGGAGTGATAATTATTTTTTTTAAAGGAGCTTAATGTTATCTTTTCTAGTGACTACATATACTGTATTATGAGGAATAAATAGGCAGTTTACATGAATTTATGTCAAAAAGTCTATTGTTGTTTCTTTAAATAGGCCTATGTCTCCCTCACCAAGTGCCAACTCAGAACTTGATAGACAAATTGGAAGGAAGTGGCCCTTGAGTGACCATAGAGAGGAGCGGGTATACAAAGAACATCCGGAAGCTAAGAGGATGAAGCGCTATCCTGGAAACCTGGATATGAATGACCATTCAGTAGACAGGTTCTCAGGTTATCCAGATGAGGAACATCCACAGAGACATGTTGAGCACAGAATCATGACATCTAGAGGAAATCCTGTAATGAGGTCTGGTCCTGGCTCAGGATCTGATTTCCTGGAGGGAAGGCAACCTGGAAACCCGAGATTCCAGAGCGAAGAACAGCTACTGATATCAATACCCACCAACCATCCAGAAGATGAGATATACCAAGAGAGAAAGTGCATCCTCCAGAGGTCTTCACCAATATTTCCTGGCACAAGGAATCATCCAAATCATCCGCATCCTCAGTGTGATGATGAAGCGTTTCAACCGATCCAGGACAGCCGTCAGGAGGTGAGAGTTTGCCGTCCCAGAGCTCTATTTCTTACAAGAGATGTACCGAGGGAAGCAAGTCCATTGACTGGTGCCGAGGAGTATGGCGACTTCAACTTGGATGCAAGGAGTCCACGTGAGCTTCAAAGAGGATTTCCACATCAAGGGCCGTGTGGCCATCCTGGACACACATGCCAGGAGAAGCGCACTTCTCCTGAGATATCCTGCCAAGGTAGAAGGACTCCATCACCCCTTCAGTCAAACTGGGAGTCTTGTAGGATCACAGAAAGAGATCAAAGAACAGGGATGATCATTGATTACTACCATACATCCTCGAACAAGGATCATCCACAGGTAGGAAGACAAGATACGCAGGAGACACATGAACCTCCTCCATTCACTGATCCAGGTAGACAGGGTTGTCCGTCTCCTCTGGACGAACATCCGCTTGCATCAAGGGTCTGTTTCCCTGATGTGAGCCAAGGGCCTTGCAGAGGACCAATGTACCCTAATAGATTCAACAGCCAAGGTGTTTTCAGGGCACCTTTGAGACTTCCTTTAGTTGATAACGCTTGCAGAGCTGGGCTACGCCCTCCTGCTGTTGGTGTCCAAGGTAATTGGAGAGCACCAATGGGCCCTTCTTTATTCAGCAGTCGAGCTCCTGGCAGAGCACCTATACACCCTTCTGCTGTCGGCCGCCAAGGTGCTTGCAGAGCACCAATACACACTTCTGTTGTCAGCCGCCGAGGTGCTTACAGAGCACCAATGCATTCTTCTGGAGTTTCCATCTCCCACCATTTAGTGGCCCAAAACTTTGAAGGTGTCCTTTCAAGAATACCTCACACTCCAGGACCCGGGCTGCTGGAATCACAGATGCAATCCAGGGTCGAGTATAGGCAGGAACATGATTTTCGTATGGATGGACAGTTTGGAGCTAGGGATATTGAAAATGGATTTGATTGTTGTTAGTGGGGCCATGATTTTCATGGTTAATCTTGGGATGAATTGAGAAGCTGGAAAACAAGATCTGCTTCCTAGTTATTTTCCCAACATTGACTTGTTGATTCCAGTGATATGTAGTTGAATTAACAAGTTTCATAAGAGTTTGCATCAAGATCAACATAGACATGTATGAAAGATTCCAAAGCCATTTAAACAGCCTTTCTTTTCAGTGGAAATTGATTAAGATGTGGCAATTTTGAGGGAGAATGAGAGTTTTTAAACATCGTGTAACAACATTAATTTAGTTTACTCCCTAGCATAAAAAAGAAAAGACAAAATGTTGTTGTCTGTTATGTGCAATTGATTTTGCTTTATGTATTTGTGTAGGAAGGCAGAAAGGGACTGCATAAATTCAAACCCCCGATTTGTATTCATAAAGGTCGAAATGTACCAGTTCTTTTAATGGTTAGGTACTTTGTGTTTTTTTGTATTAATGTTCATTTCTTTAAAAACACTTAGCAAGAAATAGTGTTACGTTTTGCTCAAAAGTACAGGATCATTGTCTTCCCAACAATATTTTGAAACTGATGAGGGTTATCATCAAATGAATTATTACATATATGGGATTTAGCAGCATGAATCATAAGTTTTTGGTGGAGGATTCCATTAAGATAATTTGTCTCGTTACACATATAATTCTTAATATTTCTTTAATGAGTTAATTGTGCAGAACCTTTTTTTTAATTGTACATGTAACATCAAAATAACTTTTAAAATATTACTATTTCCCTTTCTTTTTCCCCCAAAGTTATTTCTGAGTGATCTAACAAAGGTTTCACCTGACTACTAAGAAAGCATGTGTATGCTTGTAAGTATAAGCCAACCAATTGTGAAGTTGAACATTTCCATTTTTGACAGACATGGCGCATTATAAATGTTCACTATTTTTATTATTATATTTTCATAAATCGTCAAAGGAATTGATTATTAATTTAATGGTATTTTTAGGAATGCAACTCCTAGCATGAAATGACATGCTGTTTTTTTTGTTTTTGTTTTTTTTAAAGAGTGGGCAAGGGCAGGGACAGGGGCTTATATTTTCCCTTTGTACAGCTTTGTAGGAAATGCAACATTGAAAATATTTCAGGGTTAAACTTTTTGTAACTTAGAAAAAGATATTGATGCAATTTTTTTTTTTTTAGCAGAGTACCGGTTAATTGATATAGAGAAATAAGCTTTGTATTTCTGCATGGTATGCATGCTGTAATGTTATATATTTTTTTCTTTTTTTTTCTTTTACTTTTTTTTTTAAAACTCCCTCTTTGGGCTGATATTTCTCAGTTGATTGCTTTAATACATTTTTTTCTTCTAAAAAATGGTACAAAAAATAAATCTAAAGCCCGACCGTCGATTTAAAAAAATTTGGGTCGGTCATAAAGGGCAAATACAACATCTATTTTGTTAGGCCTAATTGTGGTAAAAAACTTAATCATGCTACGAGTTGTTTTAAAGTTAGGCCATTGCATTATTGAATGCATGCTTGTATACAAAGTAATTTATACAAATGAAGTCTTTCCATCATGGTTTAGCTATAATTTACTTCTTTTAAAAAGAAATTTTTTTAATTGTGTGCCCGAAATTATGATGATTTTTTTTTTTGTGCACTTGCATATAATGAAGTGTATTACAAAACAACAGATTTTCTGTCTTTAATTTTCAGAGGTAAAGCACACAACAATTTATTAAAATGTTTTAAAATAATCACTGTTAATGAATCATAGTGATTGAAGGCAGATTTCATACACAATTCAACTGTTGCCAAAGGAGATGATATACCGGTATGTGAAATGTAAAATACATGTTGCTCTTATCATATTTCATGTAACACTGGAGCGGTGTCATGGTCGAGTGGTTCAAACGTGTGACTGAAGATGCGAAGGTCATGGGTTCGAGTCCCTGCATGGCACTGGTGTCCTTTGGCAAGACGTTCATCTGCAAATGCCACTCTCCACCCAGGTACCCCAGGTGTTGAGTCGGTATTGGTTGGAAGAAATTAATGTTGTCAGTACTGAAATCTGTATCCTGGCTAGAGCCTGGCAGAATGATTTTGGAGCACCTTAAAGATGAAGTTGAGTTCTGGTCATGCGATTGCATTGTGAAAGAAACGGTGTGGAATCGACCAGAAAAGGTTGATCATCTAGCATATAAGAATTTGTGTGTATTGCAAGGTTCTGGAATCATCAAAATGATAAGAAATTTGGCCAAGTCTTGGTAAAGTTACAAACACTGTACACAGAAAAGATGTATATAGTACTACACGAACACGTGGCGTAAAAATCCTACCCCGGAGTTTTACGATGTTACATGACATATATATTTAGAATATGAAGGCATTTGAAGACCCATGCTTTTCAGGGAACATGTCTTATCTGATGTTCTTCCACACTTGCAAAATAAGAATGATAACGCTCACAAATTATTTTTCACCTCTTCCCAGATCTCAACCTTCTTTTTAAGCACTTTGCAAGGTTAATGTGAGTGCTATATAACAAAAAAACGGTTTATTTTTGTGAATTTGTACGAGTCTCTTTTTAAAAGAGAAAAGTTGAAAGCTTTGATGTATCATGTGATTCATTCGTAGTGTGCAGTACTTATTAAGTGACTGTTTGTGCTGTTAATTGTGCTTGAGCACTCACTCCATGTGTTGTACACTGTTGTACCTGTATATATGTATTCAAAATCTTGTTGTATGATTTAAGTGTTGGTTTGTGTATTGTTTTTCTATAAAGTGTAAAATATCAGAGTTGAGAAGTTGGTTATTATAGTTATTATGTTACAAACGATGAGTGACAGATATTGATAAGTATTTGGTAAGTACATGTTTAAGTAAACAGGTAAATAGCTAGGCCAAACAAGTACATGTATATATCTTTAATTACCCTTTTTTAAAGAGAGGGGGGGGGGGGGGTAATGAGTAGGGAGAGACTATTCCTACGTACGTGTGTTAAAATCTTGTGACATGGTGTTTTCACTTAGGAGCGTCACAACGTGACGGACATGTGCGCCATATAAGAAGCCACCATTATTATTATTATTATTATTATTATTATATAATTACTGTTGGTAAAATCCATTGTCAGTGCCTTACTGTTTGAGTGTATACATGTACCGGTACTTCACTTTAAGTTGTTGGATTGCCGCGGAGAAATATTTATGAGGTCTATCCCTGTTGTCATTCTTTTATACAAATAATGCTTCAAGATATTTTGAGCCATTTTGAAATCTGATAGTACTGTTATATTATTACAATTTAAATTAAGTTTGATTCCCTTAAAATGAAATATGAATTTAGAGAAGGGAAATGCAACTTGGCATAAGTTAGGTTTTTTATGATGGATCTTTCTAATGAAAAGAAAAGAGAAATGAAACGAGGAGATAACTTTATTAAGGACTAAAATTATATTCCGCGACCCCCCCCCCCCCCCCCCCCACAATTTGCTTTTAAATGATATGCACTTATATTATTACAATTTAACTTAATTACGTTTGATTCCGTTAAAATGAAATATGAATTTAGAGAAGGGAAATGCAACTTGGCAAAAGTTAGGTTTTTTTATCATGGATTTTTAAAGAAATATTAAACCTTTTAAATGTTACTCACTTACTTTAGGTCTTTTGTGTTTTCAATGACAAGGTAAAATATGGTATTCATCGACAATTTGTCATGAATCAGTATAGTGCAATTTTTTAAGCATTACCTGATAAATGAGCAGCCTTCGATCTGGTTCAAAACGTTTTCAGTTGTGAAAAAGATTTTATTTCTATTTTAAAGAATCAATCTGGAATATCTATGGATGCAATCTGTTTTTAACCCGAAAAAATGGGACTTTAGATATGAATAGAGCTAAGTTGTTTTCAGTACCGGTATATAAAATCTGTACTTGGTTCAAAAAGTTTCTATAATATGTATTAAGATTTTTTTTTTTTTTTTTTTAAAGAATCGATTTGCAATATCTATGGATGCAATCTGTTTTTAAAGCAAAGATATAGGACTTTAGATATGAATAGAGCTAAGTTTTTTTTGTAGATATTTAAAATCTTTAGTTGGTAAATACATGTACACTTTTTTTCTTTTTCTTCTAGTGTATTTAAACAGGTAATTTTTGCATGGCCCACGGCCTGAGTTGTCTTTGGCTTAGTATCCAAAGAGTTCATGTAAATCTTGATTCTTTTTAAGTTTCTTCGTTTTTGTGTGTGGAAAGAGACTATAATTTCATTTCATCCAGGACATTGTGCTTCCTAATCTGTTATAGGAGATCCATGATACATGTAGACCAGGGCGTGGTTTCAAGAAAACCGTCACAAGTATAAATTCACTGACAACCCATTGGAACATGTATATTAAATTCAACATGCATTTTAATGCGATGTTGGTGAACTTGCTCAGTTCGTAGATAGCACAACATGGTACAAATGACTCTGAATACCCACAGATCTTTGAACTATGGAGAGGTCCCACTTAGTGCATTTAAACAAAAATCATCCCCAAAGTGATGCTTCATGAATACCTTTTGTTCATCCTCTTGAAAAGAATACTTAACCAGTGTATCATTAAATTTACTGTGCCTAAATACATACTGATTACATGTCTTTGATGAACATGTATCTAGTATTCATCTTGATAGGCCGTGTACAGTTTTGTTCAAACGACCTTTATCTGCTGATGTGCTGGTAATATCTAAGAACAGGCTTAGTGGGCGTTGTAAGAAGCATGGGTATTCCCTTTTAAAATGTGAAATTACCATGGAAACTGAAGCATGTATTAGATTTACAAGTCGAGATGCAACAGCAATAGGAAATAACTGAAACTATGTTTTCTCTTGATCCCAGTTTTTGTTTTAAAAATGCAATGAAACGATGTTATTGACATGACAAAGAAGAACTTAATATTACAACGTACACATGTATATGTAATCAAATGTCCCGTTCTCAAATGTACTGATATTTCAAGCATACCTTTACAAATTTGGTCGGCCCAATGACCAAAGCTTGCCTGACATAGCAATGTTTGTACAGTTTATATGTAACATGTATTCTGGTCTTGAAATTTTTTGATTTTTAAAGCTGAATGCAATGCACATGTGTTGTGATCTCATCTGGGGTGTAGTGGATAAGTCTTGAGACTGTTGACCACAAGGTACAGGGTTCAAATCCCTGCTGCAGCCTTTGGCCAGACATTAGTCTATAAAAAATACCACACTCGACTAGGTGTAGGAAGTGGTTACCTGGTAGGTATAGGATTTATTCCTTGAATGCACCGAGCACTACAGTTGCTGGAGCTAAAGCCATGGTAATGATAGTCCTTTGGAAGCACATAGAGACAGACATTCTATCACAATGTGATATGAGCTATACAAGAACTGAATATTATTATTATGACTACGGTAGTCCATGATTAGGACTCTGCGTATGTCATTTTCAGGACCTTTGTGTTGTCACAAGCTCCGTTAACAAACGATAGTTGTTTGTAATCGCACATAGCTGACTTTATTTTTTTTCAGACATTGTACATGCATTTGCACTGCACCTCAACAGTACGATAATACACCTGATGGTGGCCTGTACTGCACTTAAAGAAGAAGACCAAGCCAAAATGATATGTCAGTTATAATATTGACTTGCCAAATAATCATGAAGGAACAGATGATATCCTCTCCTTGTTGATTTTGTATTGTTTTTTTTTAAATATTAGTATTGTTCTGTCTGTATATATATGTTTTATGTTCTGAAGTCATCCTTTCTATAAGAAAAGAAAATGAAAGATGAGAAATAAACTGAGCATATCTTTGCTCTTTGTGTTGAGTTGAAACATGTTTGTGATCTTGTTTGTGTGTGCTGTAGTGTACAGGCGCGTACGCAGGGGGCGGGGTTTGGTTGACCTTACCCCCTCCCCCCCAAAAAAAGTGTCCTCTTACCCCCCCCCCCCTTATTCAGCGGCTGGCTGAGTTGCGATTTTTTTTGGGAAAAAAAAAAAAGTCCTCATACCCCTCCCCCCCACCTTGAAAAAATCCTGCGTACGCGCCTGGTAGTGTATAATATAAAAGTCAGAAATTTTCATGCACCTAAAGCGCTTTCATGCTGCAAAAAAATTCACTTCTGAATTCACAAAAAGATTTTGCCACGCTTCTTATATTACACGTTGTGAAAGTTTCTGATTTTACTTTAAATGAGCTTCATGGCATGAAATCCATAATGAAAGTAGCTAGAGAGGGGCATTACCAAGCATGTCTTGACAGTAAAGTAAATATATGTATGTGTGTCGTAATTATCAATGGCCAAAATAAAAAACAAATGCACGAATGCATGATTATATATTTTTAAGCATGATAATTTATAATTTCATCATAATCCAAGCAAAATCATTACAAATTTCATAAAATAACATCAATATATTGTCATGAAGTTCACTATCCAACTCTGATAAAGAAGGTATACACTGTAACATAAGTTAATTTAGTCCTAAAATAAATGGAAATAGAAAATGTACACATCCATATTAAAAAAGAGTAATAGTACATGTACACAATTGTTATATTTGATGCTTTATGTTGATAGTATGTCAAGTATACATGTTCATCTTTAGTAAATCATCAACGTCCTTGACAAGCACAAATCTGAAGCACCATGCATACCTCTCCCCCCCCCCCGTATGAAAACTTGAGACTTGAGTTCGGAAAGGAGGTTTAAACCTCTGAGTAACGCACTTTTCTATTGGGTGATTCAAACCATGACTTGGACCCTGGATAAGACTTAAACTTCCTTCATGTTTTCAGGTCTTTGATTCTACCAAAGCAGTATTTGTACTCGATATCCTACATCCAAACAGCAAATGAGTAAACTAACCAATTAAAAGAGCAGAGAGGTGTATAGGTGAAAGAGTTATCCAAAAAGGTTAGGGTAGTCTTCACTTTAAAAAAAAGTTATTATTGTGCTTTATATCTTTACTTTGACAGAATTTTTTCTTCTTTTAATGATTTTTTTTTTTTTAATGCATGGAAGGGGGGGGGGGGAGGGGGGCAGGCCATGATTAATGTACACAGGTGGCACTTCTTTCCATATCGTGTTTAGTTATGGAATGCCAGACTGGGTTTGAGGCAATGGGAGGGGCACATTTTTTGTTGGGGGGGGGGGTCTTTAATGATTCTTTATTCTCTCATTTGAAGAATATAAAAGAATCTGTCCCCTTAAGATGCTGCTGATGCTGCAGAAAGTCAGAAACCAGTACTTCATACCTTTGCAGTACATACATTACATTACATCATCATAAATTGCACAATGAATTCTCAACTTCTCAGTCCTAGAAATCTTTACAGTATCAATATGCCATCAGGTATACAATTGTTAAATATGCATGTAATGTACAATGTACAGGTGCACTGTATTATAACACATTTAAAGGGTTTTCAAATAGTAACTGTTCTTGGATCACAACTATATTCGGATCAGATGACCACTGCACTAAATAAATTGAGGTCGGTTCACTATAAGGCCTAAAAATAAAGACGTTATATTGCCCTTTAGGTGCCAGCACCTGGGTCGGTCGGTTGGTTGATTTTCTCTTTTCTTTCTCTTTTCTTTCTTTTTGCTTTTTTCCCTCTTTGGGCTTATAATTTTCAGTTTTGAATGCTTAAATTCATATTTTTTTATTTTTTATTTTTTTTAATTTTGTTTTATTATTAAAAAGCCGACCATAGATTTTAAGGTTTTGGGGTCTGTCGAAAGGGCAATACAACAATTTTTGTTTAAAGCCTAATGCTCGAATACAATGCTAATCTATTCTAACATCCTTGAAAAATGAAAAGTGAGTAAATATGTTAATTGTTTGACATCTGCTTGGGGCACAGTTGCTTCGGGGTACATTCATTAGTTGAATTGATGACTTTGACCCTAGATCCAATTATCCTAGTCGCTATACCAAATTCCTCACCTAAACCTAGTAACCTTTCCTATTCCCTAATAAGCAATCACACATACAGTATAATCTTTGATGAAATAAAATCCAGAGCAAATACCAGCATAGCATGTCTAATTACCAAATAGCTAACATTTTGAATTACTCTTTAACTGTATGTGGTTACAAGCACCAACAATCAAAATTGATAAATTTTGTATAACCATAACATAGTGAGAGTGGGGGGAGGAGCGTTTTTCTAAACCTTATACCACATTGTGGAAGAACACTATTATTGGCTGAATGGAACAAATTTGATACTTGTAATATTTTGTTAAAATCTGAAATCACAACACAAGATTCTACTCAAATATTTTGAATTAATCCTAGGTACATGTATAAAGCACATTTATATGTGATTTGTGGGTTATTTAGTGAAACGGTCAAGGATACATGTCCAAGTAGATGTACATGTACATGTACATTGACCTCGATTTTACTTAATTCTTGGACTTGAGCATTAATATTAATAATAATATTTTATTTTTATATAGCGCTTAATACAAATGTCTCTAAGCGCTTTACAAATATACTATTACCCCGGTCATTGGATTCAGTGCTTGCCCGCACACACTGTGTGCACAATGTCCACTCCCTGGGGAGCAGCCGGGCGTTACTTGACGCTCACAAGTTATCAGCTATCAGCTATCAGCTATCAGCTATCAGCTGTATCACAAAACGGTTGCTATTGTCCGCACAGCAGCAAAGATTATTGTATTACTATTATGACAGGCTAAGTTCTTGTGGTAAAAACTGATGTGAAAATTGATCTCAAACATTTCATTCCATATATTCCGCTATTTTATATGAACAATATACTGGTTACATAACATAACAAATGATATTAAGTTATTAACATGAAACAATTCTGTGATGTGATGTTGCTTTTGATTGCACATTAAACTTAATAAAACAATCACATAAAACCACCTTTATACAGTGTATAAGATAGGATTTGAAACAGTCAGGAATACTCCACAATACAATGTTAAGTGTGGGCATTCAAAAATCAAAGTTAAAAAAATACAAAACAATTTAACAAATGTGCACTTCAAGATATGTCAGTTGGGTATTTATTCTCTACAGAGAAGGTCGAGGTCTGGTAGTAAAAGTGAAAATAATTTGTACATATTTCTTATTCTTTTAAGTGGAAGAATATAGAACTCATTAGCAATGTCATATTAGAAAGAGTACTCTGGAGACACCCTTATTTCCCACTACTAGAAATGATTCAAAATCTTGGTTTCATCCATTTTGAGCATTATAAAAAATCTCACAAAATACAATTGTTCTTGTTTCATTATTAAAAATACTTTCTGAGTTGTTTCTGTCACAGTACATTTGCGTGTGCAGTACTCAACATTCTTTTGAATAAAAACATGTTATGCCAGAAACAACGCTAATCATCCTGAGCTGCATTCTCATCAACTTCATCATGCCTCGTATTATCATCATCATCATCATCATCAGGGTCTTCTGGTACCATGATCTCTTTATGACATAGAGGGCAGGAGTCCTGAACATAGAGCCATTTTCTAAGACACATGGCATGGAAGAGATGATGACAAGGAGTAACACAGGCATTGTTAAGCTCTTGATAGCATATCGCGCAAACGTCGTTATGACTAGCAAGCATCTCTGCAGTGGCTTGCTCCATCAATGTAATCTTCTGCACGGCTAGACGTCGGTTCTTGAACTTCTTCCATCCGTCTTTTCCAAGCTGGAAGATATTAAAATAGGCATGAATACAGATCATGAAGGCTCTGATGATTCCGCGTGATTCAAACACAAATATCCACGCTCCATTCACAAAGAGGAAAATACCGGAGATGAACTCGATAGTGCTGCCGGTTGCTTTCACATAGTAAACATAATCATCCAGTTGTTCCCAGAAAGTGTCACCTTGGGTGTCAATGAAGAAGAGGATGTAGACGACGAGCGTGACAGTGACCTTCACGACGAGCTCCAAGCAGAAGGCAGTTAGCGCGAGCATCCATGTTCCGATGTGATTGGTCGTCCACAGGTAGACAATGAACCAGATAGGAAGTACGATAAGCAAGGTAGCTATGGTCAGAGCTCTTGCGTGTTTACCTCTGTTGATGACATGTGAGGTAGAAAGCTGCATCATCGTACCATTAAGCATGGTGTGGATGAAGTGAAGGATAGCAGTACTTAACAAGCCCATATTCCTCCCAAGCCGTACAAGTCTGTTCTCTGGCGAAAGATCAGGCAAGCCAGTTTGCAGGGCCAGGATGAAGAATAAAACGGAAGCCAGCGTGCCAATGTTCTCTCCCCCATCACGCTCCCCTCCTAGAAACAATCGTGCTAAATTCCCAATTGCATTTGCTACAGGTGATAAAGTTGCACTAAGCCCTAAGACTGCTATCATAGTACTACAGCTTTCAGTAGCGACTTCAGAGAGGGCCGTGGATAACATTGTTCTATCTACATACATTTCCTTAGGAGGGGAACTTGTGGGAGCATAATGATACTGTAGGACCAATCTGCCTACATGAAGCCCGAATCTTGTTAACCAAAATAGTCGTAGTACTGTCGGTACTCGTAACCTAACCCACTGGTTTTCAACTAATACCTGAATTCCAAACTGGATATAAATCCTTGCGTAAGTCCTTGCAATGACACGCACATTAGTCAAGTAATAATGCACAAAGTACAGCATACTCCACACCACATCTAGTAAGAGGATAGGTAAGATAGGGTAGAGTCTGTAGAACGTTTTGATGAGATAGGTTGCAGAATCCGGTGGAAGGACTGGAAAGGTGTTCAGAAACAGGCAGAGAAACACCGGCGAGACGAGACATAACCAAACTGAGAGCACTGGAGCTTCTGATTCCATAATCCTTGAACGATTCAGCAGAGCTGGCGTCTTGGTGAAGATAAAGCTGTACATTAGCTGGATACAGAGATAGAGGAGGAATTCATCACTGGACATGACATCTAACGTGTTCACCGTCCCCTCATCTCCATCTCCAAACGATGAGAGGACTGTCTGGTTGGAGTCTTTGGTGGTGATGTTCTCCATGCCGAGTTTCTGGAGGAATATACCATTCCACCACTGCGATGTCTTCAGTGCTGTCATGGTAACCATCAAAGCATAACAAAGCTTCAGGGTCGATGAAGGCAAGAAGAACAGTACCCCACAAATCAGCAACACTGCAGAAGGAAAATGAGCAAGGAAAATTTAATAAGAAATTATGAATAATTATCGATGCTGCATGCAATTTACAAACTTATATCATGAAATAAAAGTAATGTTGTAGAGGAGGGAAGTTTATATCAGCCATTGTTAACAAATCTGAACATGTATAAAAGAGATTTCTCACTGCTTTTACTGCTGAAAAGCTTACCTTTCAAACATGTTCATCTCTGGATCAAAAATGATTTACGACTGTTCACAGATTTCAAAATTACCCCTATTTTAGTAGACAAATATTATTATTTAAAGTGTTTAAGATTGTTAGGCAAATACCCCCCCCCCTCCAATCCACCACCAATCCTACAATGAATGAGGTCTCATTCCCATCACGTTAAATTGATTTAGCATGAAAATGAGGGAAGGAGGAAAATGTAGATTGTAAAATGCCCAAATTCACACAAATTCTAATTCAATGAGACTCCATGGTATTCTCTACTTTTAAGGAGGATTTCTGAACAAAATTGATAACATGACATGTTATTTTTAAACAAACAGTGATTTATTTATAATGACATAGCATGATAGCAATTCGCATTTTCTACCATGAAACTTGAAAACCGATATACCGATATGATCCTGATCGGGAGTTGTAAAAATGGACAGTTGTCTGTGATATTCTTATCATTGTTTCGGCGGCCGTTGTCGCCTGATTAAAGGTGTTTTAATCTCCAATTCCTGTCTGATCTCTGGTCATTCCCGTTTGTACTTAGTGAATCCCTACAAAAGTAGAGTCTATGATTGATTTTGTCTTTTAAAAAACACTTTATTGTAGATCTTGCAGTAAATAACATGAATTCATTAGGTTCAAAGACATTGGACTTTCCATCAAACATATGAACACATACATGGTCATACGTAGAGTATTATTTTAATACAGATACGTACCCGCTAAATGGATCAACGTTACAAGCAAAGAGTGTTCATCTATAGCGTCTCTGAACAACGTAAGCCGCCCGGAGATCAAGGCGTCCATGACCAGCAGCGGTGGGACCCGAATCAGGGGCCCGTACCTTTCTTCCAGAGCATTTTGGGACATTCTCAACACCGGATCTTTCCCAAGTAAAATGAAGAATATTTCAGATTGGCCTTGAATATCAAAAGTAACCCATTTGAAACTTAAGTTAACTTTACAGCCTGCTAAAGATCCATAAAGATATATTTCGTATACACCCGCTAGGCCTACACGGTTCGGAGTAGATGGTCCAATAAAAATATGTTAGCAGGCCGAGATATAGATGGCGCTCTCGCATTTTAGGCGTGGCGTAAACGCTATCAGAAGGGGGTTTCCCCAATGGTTTTCCCCAACCGGAATATACCGATGAAGAACAAAATTCCAGTGTTACTTTTTTGTTGGCATTCCAAAGGGGCTCAAACGCCATTGTTTTAGTGTGGCGCTCTTTCGAATTGAAGCATGCTCTGGGAGCGAAGGTTTTCTTAGATTCAGCGGCTCGGAGGTGTGTCATCATGATGCTGTTATTGTTAATGCTGTTGATCATGCGATATTACTTGACAGATGCACCCAGATGCATTCTGATTTCGGCATAATAATTGTGTGACACTAAGCTTAAGAGTGGTTTAAGACCTATCTTTCTGACAGATCTTTCCTTGTTTCGATAACCGGTCAATTTACAGATATACACTGTAATAATAATAATAATAATAGTAATAATAATGTATTTCCGAATCCTACGCAATCGTACATTTTCAATTGTTGTAAATCCATTTACTTTCTTATATTATTCCACAATGTAAAAACGATATCCTTGTTTCCATCTGACTACGCCATTGCAAATTTGCTACTGTGTATTATGTATTTGTGTATTATATTTTCTATTGTATTTTGTTCATGTGCTCTATGTAATGCCGACAAACTGAATTTCCAAATGGTCCAATAAAATTAATCTGAATCTGAATCTGAATTGGTCATAAAGGTGGAATAAGGATTTTATCCTGGGGCCTCACAGTTACGAGACCATTGCTTTGCCACTGATTCATGAATGTACGCAACGGGGGCAGCCCCCACAAATACCAAAAAACAAAAAAACAAAAAAACAAAAAAAAAATGCCATAAATTATCAATAATTCATAGCATTTCTCCCAGGTCCTCAACATGAAAAATTTCTCTGTGTGGCCATGCCTGGAAGTTGGAACCATAATGCTTGGCCGTACAGAGAAATTTTCCGTTTTCACGCCATCCATATCTCAGTGGCGGATCCAGGGGGGGGGGGGGGGGGCCGGGGGGGCCCGGCCCTCCCCCCCCCCCCCCCCAAAAAAAAAAAAAAAAAAAATCACGTGATTTTTACCTTTTTGGGGGGTTGGCCCCCCCCCCCCCCTGGCGCTCAAGGGGGGGGGGGGTGCAAATTGAATTTTTTTTGAGGATCAAAAAAAAAAAATGTGCTCACTACCCCCCCCCCCCCCCCCTATCACCTACTTATCCTAATCATAGATAGAAAGAAATTCGTTTTTCAACAAATATACTGTAGAGGTGTTCATGCCATGGTTCATCGAATAGATAATGATGATGTGTGTGTCGTACACGATGCATTCCACTCCTGATCTCCATGGTGATCATTCTGCTCATCTCATTTCTATTTGTTACCAATGATGAGAAATTATGGTTTCATTTTGAGGGTATTTCATGTCTTTCTTTTTTTTTCCTTCGGGGGAGGGGGGGGGGGGCGGCCGCAAGTAATTAAAAATGAATCATATTATTTGTGTACGATAGTAGATTCAGTGGAAATGATTAAAGCCCCAATACATTGACGGTTAAACAATATTTAGATTTGCATTGTTTGCCTAAATGAATTATGTAACAGAATGAATCCCCCGGACATAATGTCGATAATCGGAGTTCATTGTTGAGCATTAACCAAACTTGCTCTATGGCACTATTTTGTATTTATTTAGCGTCTATTTTCTGTGTCTACATTTTGAATGTTTCTTCACAGAAAGACATTAAAATTTCATTGTATATTTGATAAAGCCATTAACACATGGACATACAAAACAAACTACTGTTTGGAAATCGTTTCTTTTTGCCAACCTTCTTCCAACCGCATAAAACATTATTTTTAGTTTCAAAACATAAAGCACAATCATAACAATAGATTCACTCTCTTTTTTAATTACACAGCAACCAACAGCAACTTGAGCAGGAATAAGAGTAAAGGAAAACGTTTTGCAACGAAATGCGAATATTTGGATTAGAAAAGTCGTATTTCTAAATGAAATGTATTCTTGACCGATGCTGAGCACATCGAGGCCTATATCATCCCTTTGAAAGAACTATAAAATATCCTACCATCTGTACTATCAGAATACTAGGAATCAATTTCTGTTCATAATAATTAAATAAATATTCCAAATACAGATACATATTTTGCACTCTACAGTATACATATTATATTTAAATGAATCCCACTCAAAACAATAAATAAACTGATGAAGGTATATGTATTTTCACACCCTAAACTGTATGAAAAGATTAGATCTTCGTCATCATCAGTAACACCAAATAACAACACATTTGAAGAAAATAAGTTATTAATATATACTGAAATATTATGTACAAAGTAGCGAATAATGATTAACAAAAAATTGATAGTGATTTGTATACAAGTGTCTCTAATCGGTTAACCTAGGTAAATAATTTGAAAGTTCAAGTTACACTTCTGCATTCTCAAAATTGTACGAGGCTGCATTCAAATTCCATATATTATGACATTGAGCTATAATAATGTTTCATGCTTTTTTGAGGCCAATATAAAAGGAGCATATCAACTAAAAGCAAAACCTCAACAAGACATAACATGAACAGGAAAGAACGTATCATTTTCATCGTTCCTCTAAAAGAACCCCGATAACTTCAGCATTAGCCTATATTCTAGAAAATATATACTGCAATACGTAGAAATGTGATTTTCAAGCATTCTTCCTTTAAGATGAGTTCACATTGACATAAGTGTATCTACAGTGGGGCAACTAGTGCCGGTATATACAACGTGGTGCAGAGCAAGATATTTAAAAAGCCCGAAATTAAATATTCTACCAGCTACTTTTACAACGCAATTTTTCTCGAATTTGTAGGCACAGTTTGTGTAGTTGAACCGACCCCCCCCCCACTATTATGACATCGAAAAACCTTGGCGGTTTTTTAATATTTTTTAATGACGTAATAATGAAGTGTAATACGTTTAACATTTCTGTATCGTATCGATTGATTGATTTTATTCGCCAAGCCTGAACATACAACAATATAAAAGAGGATCAGATCAAAATTAACTCAGCTTGAGCCCACGAAAGCTCGAGAGCTTATTTCCAGTGGGGTCCTCGACATATGTATATATACCAAATGATAAGTTAAAATCGTATTATTTACAGACAGATAAAACAAAAAAACTTATCAAAGATGATTATACCACAGAGCTCAGTGGATACACGCAGGGCCTTTGGTTGCCATTCACCCCCCCACCCCCTCCCCCCCCCAAAAAAAAAAAATATATATATATATATAATATATGTTTCTAGTCTTTTTCTCTTTGTTGTCGTTCTTGCGCATCTCTCCCTCCTTTTTTCCTTTGACGTATCCCCAGTCGTTTCTTTGTTTCATTTCGTCTAGCAGACTTATCCTTTTTGTTTTCTGAACAGAGCGCACTCGGCAAGTGTTGCGCCCCATTTTTAAATTTTGAAGTTTGCAGGTTTGGCATAAATTTGTCATTACTTGGCAAAGGTTTAAAAGCCGGAAAATCGCATATTTTGTTTCTCGCACGTTGTTTTCTTCTTCACCTGTCACATGTATTATCTTCAAAGATTGAATACTTGAATTAAACTAATCGATTTCAAAAGGTTTACCTAGAATATTATGCGTATCAGTCCAAGAAGAATTTTTCAATAAAAATATCGGAATCTCATGAAGATTTTGTTTACAGACCCTTAGAACAATACTAGTTCACCTTTACAGTGGAGAAATATACATTAATCTACGAAAGGGGGTTCTTAAATATCATATCACTAAGACCTCAAGCAGTGAACTCTAGCGTCTTGAACAGTATCCCAGGGGCAGTTGTGGGTGCCCCATCCGCCATTACTGCAATCAGTCAACCTGGATTCATTTCCCGAACAGCCGACATTACTCAGGTATATCGGGCCAGTTTCTCGTTCGTATAATATCAAGGCTGTACGAACTTTGCCTGAGTATCCAAGCTGTCGACAAACTACCCTCTTATCAGAGGGATCCCAACCGTGATTACAGACTGCCTCCCATTGTCCTTCATGGAAGATCTGAACCCTGCCTTCATTTGAACCGTGCACGCCATCAACCAGCCGGATTTCTCCCTCAATTTCATCTTTCAAAATAAATGAAACGGAGGTATAAGAGTTAGAAGACCTCTGGTATGAGAATGTAGCAAAATAGTCACCCCATTTTAGCCGTAAGATTTGTCCCCCATCACTGGCGTACTGGTGGTGGTGGGGGGGGGGGGGTTCGCTAGCCCCCCCTATATAATTAAACCATGACTTATTTTCAATTCCACACAAGTGATATAAAATGAAATGTTCGAGATACAGGTAGCACATGATTTTCAACAAAATGCGCGTTTCTCCATTTCTGTTGCAAACTGACACATTCCAAAATAGCCAGGAAGAGCAGATGTTTTTATAGTCACTTATGGGCCTTTTTATAGTGGCCACTAACAGTCAGGTAAACACTAGTAGAACATTCCTTTCCAGAAGCTACTGCGACAAGCACTGTCGGATAGCATGCTACTCACCACTCGGGCTGTTCATGCACAGATTTGCGAACGAACGTTCCATACGAACAGGCGCGTACGCAGGGGGCGGGGGGGGGGGGGGGGGGGGTTAAAGATAAACTCCAGTTCTGGTAAAAAAAAAAAAAAAAAAAAAAAAATCTCACAGAATCAAACGAAACTTACACTGAATGTTCAAGATTACAAATAAATGACATGTGCCGAACAATTTTGGAAGAAAATGTATCCTGGCTGAGTAATGAGCATAGGAAGACAAGGAAATCAAGGTAGTACTAGCCCCGACACCATGTGTGTTGTCCCATATATAGCTTTTTGTGTACAGGGATTGTTACTTTACCAAGACTCGGCCAAATTTATGATGATTTTGATGACTCCCAGAACCTTGCAGTGCACAATTTCGCCAACTATATTATAATAATTTAATTAAATTAGAGGTGAATGTAAATCATCACAAAGCG